TAATTGATGTAACCTTAAAAATTTTTTTAACTTTTCAAAACCCACTTTTACTAATAAGCAATCTGATTTTGAAATTTCCATTTCGTGGAGTTTTACCCAGCACATTATTCAATTAGACCACAAAAAATAGAACCTCATTTTGCCCTGCAATAATTTTCGTTTTAATGCACATTTTCAATGCGATTAAATGGAGTTTCCCGCTGTGCAAGACAAACTTCTGACTGGAAGCATAATGTCCTCTTAAAAAGGGTAAAATGAGAAGACCAACAATTGCTAAGGAGTCGCAGGATGAAATTTTCAAAAACGACGATGGCGGCGCCGCTTGCAGCAGCTCCTACTTAGCAATTGTTGTTGTTGTTATTGTTGTTGTTGTTGTCGTCGTGGAAAGGGGACGAAATTGGGAATGGGAAAAGGGGTCGCTTTGCACAAGGTGGAAAAGGAGTCGCCTAGCTGAGGTCATGCCAGTCAACCGAATAAATGAAACAACAAAGACTGAGATACACAGACACAAGCACACACACACACACACACACACACTTACCACCGCATAAAATATGCGAAAGCATAAGGCTGCATGCCCCCTTCTTCCTTCCTCCATTGAGACGGAGGAGCTCGCTCCAAAGTGTCCTGGGATACGAGGAGTTGAAGTTCCATCCCAGACTCATAGTCGCAGCCCGAACTCTCGCATATAAATATACATTTTTTTGTGTCGCAAAATGAAATTTACTGGAGCGAAAAAAATTGTGCGACGTCGGGAATGGACGGCTGGAAGCTCGGAGTGTTTAGCTCTACTTGGTTATAATAGGGATAAATCCCATTAATGCATGATTTGGCAAAAGTTGTCGATGCAAATCATTTTCATCGGTAATATTTCTGTATCCAATGTGAATTATGCTCGGCTGAAACAGATTATATATACTCAATGCAGACACTTGCCAATCAATTAGGAATTTTATGTTATTTTTTTATCGATTGGCAGAAATGTATAATTAATATTATAAAATAGACGGAAAACAGAAATGTAAGAGCAATATGTATTCTTAGTTTATTTGATTTATGTATCATAGTATGTTAAATTTATTTTAAGTATTCATTTCTTGGCTGCTTAATGTGATAAAAAGAGTTAGAGCAAACCTTGTTATTTTCTCTGTAATGCCTGCCTTTTTTATTGTGCACATTTTAATCAATTAGATCTTGCTTTCTGGCAAAGGCAGCTTAACAACCCGAATTACCTCCAAGGCGTACTAGAAAATATTTTCCTTGAGCGAATGAAAAGGGGGGTGCGGCAATGAGGGGGTCATGCCACTACACTTACAGAGGAAAACAGCAAAAACACTTTGCCACTACCTTTCAGTTCACATTTTTTCCCAGTTCCCCCGACCTCCTCCACTTTGGTTTTTCTTGTACTTGGGCTGCAGTTACGTCTGTCGTTCAAAGCGACTAAAATTTTACTGACTTTGACAAGCTGCCTACCGCCTCCCCCCTCCCCACTCTCCACTTCACTTCACCCCCGCCTAATGCAGAGGACCCTGAGTGTGTGTGCAGTCAGTCAGAATTGTGCCTTGTAAATAGGATTCATCTCGCGCCGAGTCGCGACCAGCAGCCGTTTGGTTCTGCTCCGGCACGAAATGCAAAATATTACGCGGATCTGGCTCAGAAACTACGTGCACTGAAAACAATGAAGTCATGAATATGAATGTGATAAAAAGTCTTTGAAGAGATCAATAATTTTAAATATTGTGCAATGAAGTGGGTCTGTTTAAAACAAAGTATAAGATATTTAACCTAAACTGAATGATATTGAATTAAAGGTTATACTTTTTACTTTGTTACAATTTAAAGAGAATTGATTTGAATTTGTATCACTTTTTTAGTTATTTAATGCTGTTTTCAAGTGTAGTTCTCCTTCGAAAGGCGTTCTAAGACCGTTGACGTTGCTGTTGCCATCGTTGCCTCTGTTTTGCGCCCAGACACTCAAGTAAATGGCCGTCAGGCAGTCGGGAGTCCTCCCCCGAACCCCATTTGTCCGCCCAGCAGCCTCCATGGCTTCCATCTATCTATCTATACAGTATCCAGCATCAGGCATCCAGCATCCAACATCCAACATCCAGGATCCATCCATGCATCCATACCGACCATTTTCGCCATGTCAGGCGGCAGCCAAAAGTGCGCTCATCTGTGGTTCGTCGGGCAAAAAGTTTGGCGTATCTATGTTGACTCCGTTAGTGTGTCCGCGTGTGTGTGTGTGTGTGTTGGTGTGTATCTGTGTCTGCTTGTCAATTTATCCTTTAGTTTCTCTTTCAAATATTTTTTTGTGCTGCCTTTGGCCGCCACCCACTGGCCACCCAGCCATCCGCCTGTTAGTTGCGTTTGTGGTTTGCCTTTGTGTGAAATTACCGAGGCTCTGCCGTCTCGCTTTCCCCGCCTGCCTGCTAACTGTTTAATTAAAGACTGCAGAAAGGGGAGTTGTCGTGTCAAAGATATCGCTGGCTGCCCATCGAAGGATACTTTTAGCAGGAAGCCGCCTTAATTATAACGTCGCCTGATGCTGTAAATAAAATAATTATGTTTTAATTGAGGTCTTTGCGATCCTCTCATTTAATTATCTTTGTTAATCCCTGGTGATTAAGAACTATGAATGGCTAAATTTGTTTTTTATGGCCTTCATTAAGATTGAAGTGTCAGGTATCTAAATTCTCAATAAGGACTTCGGTAATCTTAGTTTAAATAGTCACCTTTTCAAAAAATCTAATGTGTTAATCCCTTTTCTTCTCCCCTGTCACCAGGATTTTCTAATTATAATCCAGAAGTTACTATTTTCAATCTAATTAGGGTCGCAAAAACCTGATCCCATTAAATTTATACATTTATCTAATTACGTAATTGAAATGAAAATGCTGCGTCAACATCGTCAAAGGCAAGTCAAGCTGAAAAAGGGGATAATCCCCGATTTCGCCATTCAGTTGCGAAGCAGAGTGTACACACGAGGTGCTCTCTTTTGTAGTTGTTGTTGTAGCTGCTTTTGATTTGGACTTGTGAGCCATATCGGCTCATCCTCCGCTTCGCAATCCTTTGGTGGCTGCAAACAAACATCGCCCAGGCAACCAACCAACCAACCAGGCAACAACATGCGCACACTAACACAAAAGGCAACACAGACTCGCATTACTCGTTGCCAGGAATATATATCACGGCCAACACAATCTGCCTCCTTCGCTACTCCTGCCCCTCGCTCCTTGGCCGCCTTGCCCTCCTGGCCATCTTGCGATGATGAGGATTGAATGGCAATGGCAACGGCTGAACGGCTGCTGCCAGCGGGGGGCGGCATTCGAAAGGAGGAGGAAGGTGTGCCGTGTAGGCAGATGATGCAAAGGGCGCTTGTTAAATTCTTTCGCATTTAGTTTTGCCGTCGATAATGATGCTACGACGACGGCAGCCGACTTCGAAACACTGCAGCGAAGCCACCTCCTGCCTTCCTTGCTTCCACCTCCAATCCTTTCAGTTGCCGACAACCAGACGATGATGTCGATTTTGATGCATGCTTATGTCCGCATATCCGCCTTTTATGCCTATCCATACTCTTTCGGGGGATAAGAACCCAACAATATCAGGAAGATAATATTCGGTTTTACTTTAATATTAAGAATCTAAAGTAGGTTCGAGGTAGAAATGGTTAGGTAATATATGCAAAAATTTATAGTTCCAGTTTCCGTGATATTTTTAATAAGAAAAGAGAAAGATTAATAAATTATGGAATCAATAATTAACACACAAACTAGTTCTGCTATTTCAAGAATGTTTAAATTTGAAGTACTTAATAAAGCTTGATGTTTTAACCTGACTTCTGCTGGTTGTTAAACCTTCTTAAGCTTAACTGTTGCATAAGAGTAATATCGAACGCAACTTGGAGGCTGGTTGGTTGTTAACGTTTGAGTATTACATTCCCTTTGGGCTCCAATTTCTGGCGCTCTTCACTTGCATCTGCTGGCTGCCCCCCATCCCCTTTGCCAGGATTCCTTCCTCCTTTCCCACTTCGTCGTCGTCGTTTTCCAGCTGCGGCAATATATGCAAATTATTCCTGTGAAGCTGCGTACAAGAGCCTTCGAAGAGGGCTTAATACAATTTACTTGGTCAAAGTATCGAATTATTGAACCATATGGGTGTGCTGGACAAAGGACATAATTTAATAGATTTAAATGGGTCTCTAAAGCCATAAAAAGAGCATTTCCGGTGGATTAACTCTGCCTAAGCTCCACACCTTGCCACACATCGCCTCGGGAAGTGCTGAAAGCGAGCCTCCAATTGAATTAAATGCCTGTTCCGAGATTGTCCCTGCCTTCGGCTGCCAATATTTTGAAAGCTGAAAGCAGAGTGTGGCATTGTCTGAAGGCCCGAAAAATTCGAACAAAAGCTGAGTGAGAGAAAATGATACTCGAGCTGGAGAAGAAGTGCAAAGAACTCTCGAAATGAAACTGGTTCTGGCCCAAAACCGAATCGTTCGTTGTATCTCCCTGCTGCTCCGGCTGCTTTGGCGTTCGTGTGTCGCTGTGTAAGTGGCTTCTCCTCAGCTGGTGTTTGAAAATGTGCTAAGTTGCCTCGCTTTTGTGTGCACAGGGGGGAAGCACTACTACCAAAAGTACTAAAAAGTAGGGCCAAGGGGCAGAGTAAACAACTTTGTGAAATGGCGGACAATTATGGGAGATGCGCCGCCGCCACTGCTTCTGCTGGTTTGCTGGCTGGATGGCTGGCTGGTTGGCAGTGCTATCTGTGTGAGAGAGGCACTTGGAGTTGCCGAGGACAGTTGCCACTTTGGTCACGTACCAAAAAACGATTGCAGCTCCAGATATGCCCACATACACACACACACACACACAACACTCTCACACTTTCATTTATACATATATATATGTTTATATATTTGGGTCAACTTTGTGCCCGATTTGGTAAGCAAATATTAATTTCGCCCTTGCGTTCTTCGCTCCGTTTCGTTTCGCTTCCAGGAATATTGTCTCCTCCGGGTCCGTTTCTGACGCCCAGTCCATCGCCATCGATCTCAGCTAGCCCTCGTCTGCAACCATCGCCATCGCTCTCGCCGTTCCCACAGGATGTGGTGCTCGTAGCCGGTGGCAGTCAAGTAAACGCCAACAGCAATCCCCAGGAACACGTAAGTTGATCTCTAAGAGAAAGCCCCAAAAAAATGCAATATAAAAATAAATTTAGTGGAGGGGGATTTATTAGTAAAGTTTGTGTAATTTCGGGTTCAGTTTCGGGAACTCGGAAATCTGGCAAATCCTATATGGAAATACAATCCATTATACCTTATATTATACCTTTTCCCGTTGTAGGAGCGCAAGGCGGCGACGCCTGGCAGGAGACAGTCCATCCACCAGTTCACCAATGGCAGTCCCAATGCTGGAACCGTCGTCTTTCAGCCGAGCCCCTCACAATCGCCGGCCGCTGCCACAACGGTCATCGGCGTGACCAGTGGTGGCCTCATAGCCACCGCCGCCGGAGGAGCTGGAGCCACCGGCCTGAGTGCCGGAGTAGGAGCTGCTAGCAGTTCCGGAGTGGGAATCGGAGTCGCCCTGCACAGCAATGCCATCGGGAACGAGCTGAATGCCACTCTGGTGGGATCGAACAATATCCAGCTTAATAAGGTAAGAAATGGAATGAATGAATATCTATTTAAATAAAATAAGGGATACATTTTTACCATTTAATAAACTCTCTATTATATTGCATTTCTTGTTTGCATTGCAGAAGGGCACAAAGCGGGCCACCCAGCAGCAGCAGCAGCAGCAGCAACAACAGCAACAGCTGGGCCACCAGATCTTCAGCAGCGCCGTTGCACCCACCTCGCTCAGCAGTGCGACTGCGGTGGCAGCCGGAGGCGGAGGCTATGGACAGTTCAATGCCACCGCCATCAGCACGCCCACCTCGTTCGCCACGGCAGCCGGCAGCAGTGTGGTCAGCAGCAGCGCCAAGGGTCCGCAAAAGAGCCAGAAGGGGCAACACCACCAGCAGCAGCAACACCAGCAGCAGCAGCAGCAGCAGTTCCAGCACTACCAGAGCAGCAGTCCCCTGATAGCGGACAGCCCCATTCCGAGTCCAAGCGGAGCCATTGCAGCGGCTGCGATCAAGCCACCGACTCCGCAGCCGCAACCCGTGCAGATGCTGTCCCAGCAGTTCACCATCTCCCAGCAGCCGCAGCAGCAACAGGCGGCGCAGCAGGTCTTCCAGTTCATCCAGGGACCGCAGGGCCAGCTCATAGCCACCACTCCGCAGCAACAGCAGCCCATCCAGCAGCAGCAGCAACAACAACAGCAGCAGCAGCAGCAACCTCAGCCTCTCCAGCAGCAACAGCCACAGCAGCAGCAGCAACATCGGTTCGTTGGCAATGCCGGCGTCACAGGAATGCCGACCGGCAAGTCCGGCAAGGCACCGCAACAGATCCTGCCCAAGCCGCAGCAGGAGCTCCAGCAGCAGAAGAAGGGCTCAACGGCGGCGGGAGGAGCACAGATCTCGCAGACAGTACAACAGCAAGCCGGCGGCCAGTCCAACAATCCCACCCAACAGCAGCAGCAGCAGCAACAGCAGATCCTGTTACCTGCCACCGCCAGTCAGCCGCAGCAGCTGCTCCTCAACCAGATGCCCGTGCTGGTGCAGCAGAATCCGCAGGGAGTGCAGCTCATCCTGCGCCCGCCCACGCCGCAGTTGACCACGACGCCCTCGCTGGTCATCCAGCAGAATGCCCGCGGGCAGCCGCAGCTGCAGACGCAGCCGGCGCAGCAGCAACTGCTGCGGATAGTGGGCACCAATGGAGCGACCATGCAGCTGGCTGCCGCGCCCACCTTCATTGTGTCCTCGCAGGCGAACCTCATCCACCAGACGGCGACCGGCCAGTTCCAGAGCGCCATCAAGTCGGGCACGCAGCTCACCGGCCTCCATGCGGCGCTTGCCCAGGCGCAGGCCCAGGCCCAGGCACAGGCGCAGGCGCCACGATCTCAGCCGTTTGCCACGACGGCCACTCTGAACACCCAGCTCCTCGGCCAGAGCGTGGCCGCCCAGCTGCAGAACCTCCAGCTGGCGGCGGCCCAAATCCAGATGCCCAACGGCCTCACGGCCATTTCCCAACTGCCGGCTCATCTGCAGCAGAGTCTGGGCGGCGCCACCATCAATCTGAACCAGCTGAACGGGGCGCACATCCAGCAGATAGCCAACGCCTTTCAGACGCCCCAGGCACCGGGTGCGACCACTGGCGGAGCGACGAGCACCACGGAGCTCTTCACCCAATCCTCGCCGGCACATGTGCCGCTGGCCGTGACGCCGGAGCCACTGCGTCAACCCACGCCGGTGCCGATGATGCAGCAGCAGCAGCAGCAGGCGGCGATGGCCACCATCCAACTGCAGCAGCAGCAGCAACAGCAGCAGCAGGCGCAGATCCAGCAGCTGCAGCACCAGTTGCAGCAGACCCAGTCGCAGGTGCAGCAGGCGCAGCAATCCGTGCACTCCACCGCGGTGCCGGAACCCAAGAAGAAGCCGCGTCCTCGCAAGAAGAAGCAGGCGCCAGCGGCAGTGGCAACTCCACTAGCGGCCACACCGACGGTGGTGCCTGTGGAGATCAGACCGCCGACGCCCCAGAAGATTGCCATTGCAGCCACGACCGCGCCAACTGTGCGCTCCAAGTCGCCCTCGCCACCGCCGACGACCATCCAGCGGAGCAGCAACGGCAAGCTGGATCTGGGCGATGTGATGAAGTTCTGCGGCATCACCGGCGACGACGACGACGACGAGGACTACGGAACGGGTCTGGACACCGGACTGGCCTCGGAGCCGGAGCCAGCGCACCAGGCACAACCGCAGGCCACGCCAAGTGCAGCAGGCACGGGAACGACGACGGGTGGCGGCGGCAGCAGCGGCGACATCATGATCTCCATACCGAACCAAAACGGCAGCGACGGCCTGCCCTTCACCCTGACCATTCCCGCGCCGCAGCCGCAGCAGCTGCAGAGTGCGACGGCCTCGCAGGCGGCGGGAAGCGAATCAGCCACCGAAATACCAAATATCCTCATCAAGATCGATCCGAGTGCGGAGGCAGCGGTGCCGCCCTTTGGTCTGTCCACTCCGCGGCTGCCGACGGCCGAGGAAATCCAGAAGCAGGCGCAGCAGCACCTGGCGCAGCAGGCGGCAGCCGCAGCAGCAGCGGCGGCGCAGGCGAAGGCCACAGCCACGCCCACCATCAACATCAGCCTGCCCGGGATGACGCTGCAGCCGCAGGTGACGTCGACAGCCATTGCCACGCCCACTCCGGCGGCAAACGCAAATCCCGTGTCCACCACACTGGCTGTGAAGCCGAGAAGGAAGCCAGCGGTGCGGCGGAATGCCAAGAAACCAGAGCCAACTGGCAGCGGCGGCGGCACCTTGATCTCCTCGAGCAGCGGCACCACCACCACCATCAGCAGCAGCACCAGCACCATCCTGAACAGCAGCCAGCCCACCACGGTGAACACCATCACGCTGACCACTCCCTCGCCGGTGACGAGCAGCAGCAATCCCACCCTGATGCTCACCCACGGAACGCCGACGGCAGTGCCGAGTCAGATTGGCAACATCCAGATCTCGCAGGTGCACAACCACCACCAGTCCACGCTGCCCGTGAGCAGTGCCGTGGAAAACAAGATCCAGATCATGCCCATTCTGCCACCGGGAGCCACGGTCATGGGGGGCACCCCGGGAACTGGAGGGCATGCATCCGCCGGCGGGCAGTCAACCCAGTTGGTCTTCCAGCCGACGGTGCCCTCGGTGGCGCCAACGATCTCCGCGGAATCCACTGGGTTCAAGCTGTCCAGCGATGGCAGGCAGATGCAACTGGTGGCCATACCGCAGGCGACTCCTCCGCAGCAGCCGACAGCGAGTGCGGCCCAAGCAGCGGTGACCACATCCACGCCTACTCTGACCGCCGGAGGAGCCACCATTCTGCCGCCTCAACTCACTGGAATGCCCGCGAATGTATCTGTTTCGGTGGGATCTCCCGCCTCGGCTGCTGCTCTGGTGCCACAGCTCACCGGGAGTCTGACGCTCACCGTGTCGGAGCAATGCGAGCGGTTGATCCTGCGCCACGACCCCAACACTCCGCAGGACCATCAGTCGCAGCTCATCTTGCAGGCTCTGCTCAAGGGTGCCCTGCCCAACGTGACCATCATCAATGAGCCGACGCGCGTGGATCCCAACAAGCACTCGACGCCAATGCTGCAGCCGCAACAGCAGGTCATTCAAATCCCGCAGCCACTGGCTCCGCCGCAGCCAATTCTGCAGCAGCAACAGACGGTTTCCAAGGTTTCAACAGCTCCCAAAATTGAAGTAAAAGGTGGGTCAAATTAAATGATTTTAAGGGTATTAATTTAATACTAATAACTATTCCTTCTTTGTGATGCAGTGACGAACAATAGGAAGTTGTCGGGTCAGGGAAGCAGTACGCTGACCAGCACCACAACCACAATGACCACGATGAAGCCACCGGCCACACTGCCCGCCAAGCAGAACGAGGTGCTATCGTTCCCCCAGCTGCCGCTCAACTCGCAGGTGCTCATCCAGCAGCAGCCACTGATTCCGGCGCAGCTGCAGCCGCAACTGCAACCAGTCACTGTGCCCGCGACGCTGCCCACCCAGCCGGCCACCATCTCCGTTCCAATACCCTCGCCGGCGCCCGCTCCGCAGCTGGCCAACAACGGACAGCAGCGGTACATCGCCCTGCCGCCCATCGATCCCACCACGCAGCAGCTGTTCTGCCTGAACAGCGTCACCAACCAGATCACGGCCATGAGTGCGGGTCAGACGGCGGCATCGATTGGACCCACGGAGCGTCTGCTCATCGCTCCGGCCGGGATAAACGCCCAGCAGTTGGCGCAGTGCCTGCAGCTGGGACAGCTCCACTTCAACGATGTGAATCCACTGCCAGCCCAGCAGCAACAGCAGCAGGTGGCGACCAGCGGCGGTGGATCGATTTCCATGCCACTGGGACCGCAGCCGCCGCAGCAGCAGATCGTGCATCCCATCCAGCCGATCAGCAATGGACTGGCCATCACCACAACGGCGAGCAGCACGCTGACCACCACCACTAGCACCACTTCCTCGACCACCACGGTGACCAAGCAGGTGGCCAACGTGGCGCCGATAATAGATCAAAGCAAAGCGAAACTGGAGCCGGCGAAGGCCGCCACCAGTGGAGCTGCGGGCGGAGCGGTGGTCAAGAAGAAGCCGGTGCGGAAGCCCAAGGCCACGCCAACCAACGCTTCAGAGCTGGCCAATCTAAAGAACGCCAGTGTGGTCAAGCCGATGCCGAAGCTGGATCCCCTGTCGCAGAAGCCCAACAACAATCCGGTGCAGATTGTGCAGCCGAATGTGGCGAGTGGCAAGCAGATGATCGTGGTGGGCAGCTCGAGTTGCACGACAACCACCACGACTACGATGAGCGCCAGCATCCAGCCCTTCCAGACGACCAGTGGCACCAAGTTGGTCGGCGTAACCGTGCCCATGCAGCAGCAGCAGCCCACAGGAACGGCAGCGATACTGCAGCAACAACAGCAGCAGCAGAGAACGAGCTTCAGTTTGACGGCCACCACAGTGGCCACACCTGCGCCGATGCCATCGCCCACGGTCACTCCCGGAGTCAGTCAGCTGCAAATGCAGCAGCTGCCACCGCAACAAATGCAGCAGCAGCAACAGCAGCAGATGCAACCCCAACAGCAGCAGCAGCAACAATTGCAAGCTCCGAAGCAACAACCGCAACCGAACACCGTTTCCCGGGTGCAGACCATCCAGCTCACGCCGCAGATGCAACAGGTCTTCAAGCAGGTGCAGATGCAGATCCAGTTCCTTACCATTAAGCTGCAGAACAAGTCCACATTCCTGCCCGTTTCGGCGGAGATTGATCCTGCAACAATTGCTGCGTACAACAAGCCAATGTCCGATGCCGAAATAAATCTGGCGCTGCAGCGACTCTTTGCGGAGCAGCACAGGATTCTGGCCTCTGGGAAAGAAGTGCCCACTCCAGAGGGCATGTTACCCACAGCCAATGGTACTGGCTTCAGTCTGATGGCACAGCCAATACAGCAGCAGCAGCAGCAACAGCAACCACAGCAGCAGCAACAGTTGCAGCCGGTGGTGCCGGAGCCTCTGAAGACAGCCGTGCCGGCAAATGTGGTGCAGCCCAACAATCACTCTTCCACGACCACAACGGGAACAGCGACAGCCACTGGAAGTGTGGCCACGGCAGCACCTCAGCAAAGTGCTCAGCAAAACATCACCCAAAGGATACACATCTACCCCATGCAGCACCAACAACAGCAGCAGCAGCAGCAGCAACAGGCAGGCAACAAACCGAAGCAGGCGCCACCGAAACCGCAGCAGGAGCAACAATCGCAGCAATCTCAACTGCAAATAAAGCCAAAGGAGCCGGCAAACAGGAACAAATCCAATAACCAACAGCTGCAGCCAAACACACCGCAACAACTGCAGCAGCAGCCACCCAATGGAAGCATCAATATGTTGCCACAAAAAGTAAATATGATGCCGATGGTTCAGCAGCAGCAGCAGCAGCAACAACATCAACAGCAAACGCAGCAGCAGCAACAACAGCAGCCTTTGCTCAACAAAAGCGGACCACCGCCCCTGATCTTCGCCAGCTCCACGAATTTGCTGAACAACAGCAACAGCAGCAACAATCTCGCGAGCAACTCTGTGATGCAAGTGAACAACATGTTGTCCCTGCCGCCATTGCAACCCCAACAGCAACCGCAGCAGCAACAGCAGCAATTGCAGCAGCAGCCAACTCCCATCCTGCCACCAGTGGCTGTTGGATTGGGAGTGGGCGTGGGAGTAGGAGTGGGGTTGCCGACCGGACCGATTGGAAGCCTGGTGCCGACACTGCCGTCGATTCCGAGCCTGCCTCTTTACATGCCCAGCAAAATGGACGAAATGCCAACGCAGAAACCAAAAATTGCACGCCTCTCCTTGTGAGTAGTTGGTTGAACAATGCCGATTTTAAGAAAAGCGGCCAACTGGATTGCAGATATGGAAGTGCAAGATCAACTTACTAACTCTTCTCCTTTCACAGATTTGTGCGTCAACTCGAGGTCGACCAGGAAAGCTGTCTGAAGCCGGACTACGTGAAACCCTTCCGCACCAAGGATGAAGCGGTCAAAAGGCTAATCAGGTAGGAAACAATGATACAAGGATAATGTGACTTCATTACTAACATATAATGGTTTTCTAGATACCATTGCATGCATGAAAACGATGTGGAGTTGCCCTCTGACGAAGACGAAGAGTTTGAAACCACTGCCCTGGAATTCCAGGACAAGTTCCGTCAGCTGAACGGCAAGTTCCAAGAAATACTGATGCAGGAGTCAACGGTAAGTTGTCAATAATGGATCTTTTCTAACTTGTTTTAATTAATTCCAATTATTTCTTTAGCTGCCACATCGCACCTCGGAGTTACTGCAAATGCAGCAGCTAATGATCGACGATCTTAAAGGCGAGATCAACGAAATCCGCACGGCTGAGAAGGAACTCGACCAGCAGTTAAAGGAGGAACAGACTAGCGAGAAGCCAGCAGGCGAAAACGAAGTCCAGTCAGAGGCCAAAGTCAAAGAGGAGATTAAGCAGGAACCGATGGACAAGGCAGCCCAATCAGATGGAGTCGTGGACAAGTTTGATCTGCTGAAGAACAGCGCCGATGTGAACAAGGCCTTCAACAAGTCGCAGCCACCGCAACAGTCTGCAGTTAAGCAAGAAGAAAGACACGAAACTGTTGAGCCTTCAGTAAATGGAACTGTCAAGAGCGAGGACCAGGACAAGGAGTCCTCAAAGTATATCAAGAAGGACTATGACAACTTCGATATCGAGTCCGAGTTGACTACCAGTTTTATCATGAAGAAAGTGGAGCACAAAGCTGCTTTGGCCAAGAACTCCGAGAATCGCTACCAGGAAAGAAACTTAATGGAGCAACAACAGCAACATATCAAAGGCAATGGAGTGGATTCGGTGGACCAGGACGATCAATGGTACTGTCTGCAGAAGGAGCTCAACCTAATGAACAACGAGCCCATGCAGCAGCCGCAACCCCAAATGAACGGCAACCAGCACATGCCCATCAATCGCCATTCGGCGCAACACCAAACCCACTTTATGGACAATTCCAGCAATAACAACATGATGGGCAATAGCAATCACATCGCGGACCTGTTTCCCAATGGATGTATCGATAAGAGCAATCAGAGCACCACGAGCAGCAGCAACAGCAGTTGCATGAGCGAAAACCATGCTGGCTCCAATCCCGTCAAGACTGTCTCCTCGTGCAGCGGGCAGCGCGAACAGCCGGTGGTCTTGGATGCTGAACAGCAGAACGAGCATCCCGCCATCAGTGAGCTCTTCAGCTCGGACTCGGATGTCCAGAAGTCCGTGGAGACGCGACTGGAGGCCATGTTCGGAGAGTCGCCGGTGCATTTGGACGGGAAGGGCAGCAGCGATGCCCACGACATTGAGACCAATCTGGACGAGATCTTTGGCGATTCTAAATCGCCGGCTGCCAACCACAAGAGCAAGCTGAGCATGTGGGTGCCAGACGCCACGTTTATGCAGCAGACGCCTCAGCAGGCGCCGCAACAGCAGCAGCAATACGCAGGCACGCAGCAACCATCACAGCAGCAACATCACATTGAGCTGAACTGCAACAACAATCCCCGCTGGATGCAGAGCATGGAGGCGCACTACAGCGACTTCCTTTCCAGCGGCACGAGTAATGGAGAGCTGGTGAACGGATCAGAGTCGCGGAAACGGAGCTGGGACAGCCAGCTGATGGGCTCCGGCAGCGACATGGAAGATGACAACAGCAGCAAGCGCCTGTGCACGGCGTCATCATCCTCCTCTTCGTCGCCGATGTCGTCGCAGCAGCAGCAACACGTCCAGGTGCCACAGCATGGCCTCTTGGACACGGATATGTTGCCCGGCGGATTCCCCCAGATGCTGATGGACCAGCAGCAGCATCAGCAACAGCAACAGACCCAGCAGCAGCACAACTTTGCCTACGCCAACATGATGGACCAGCAGCAGCCGCAGCAGCACCATCAGCAGCACTTCCAGCACAACATGCAGCAGCAGATGCAGCAGCAGCAGCAGATGCACGTGAACCACATGGGCGGAGCCGCAGTCGGAGCTGGCGGGGAATACGACGATGACATCAGTCGTCATGTGGCCAGCGCCATCGACAGCATACTGAACCTGCAGAACAGCGGCGATTCGCTGCAGTTCTCGCTCGGGTCTATCCTCGGCGACAGCATGCTGGACGATCAGCGGCAGGCGGGCGGCAATCTGCCCAGTTGCCAGCAGGAGCAGGCGATTCAGCGACGTCGCCAGCTGGGCGAGGAGATGAACGACTGTTTGATCAGTGGCGGTGGATCTGCTGTCAGCGGAGTGGCGGACACCAGCAGCAACATTCTGCTGGAGCACCACCACCAGCAGCACCAGATGATGCAGAGCCACCAGCAGCAGCCGCACCTGCAGCACCATCACCACCAGAACATGGCACAGGCCCAGCACATGGGACAGATGAACGACTTCAGCTGCGTAACCGGCGGTCTGGACGATCCCGTCAAGTCGATCATGACCTCCTGACTTGGAGCTCCAGCAGTCAGTTCTGCGGCGGAGAATGCCTCCAACAGTCTGATACTAGAGTTTAATGCCACCACCTTGTGAAAAACGGTTGATCAAAACGACTTCCTGATTGTATAGATAAACCCGTCGTCTTAGTTGTCCTTGGTTATTGTTTTACCCCCGAGTACAAGCTCTTTTAGACCTAAGTTGAGACCTTAGCATAAATTGTTTTTACTTATTGTTTGTATTGTTTAGTCCAATGTTTTGTACAATATTTGAAACACCCTCAGATAACTAATTACTTAATGCACGAGCAAAAAAAAAAAAAGGGAAAGAGAACGAGGTGAAAGTGCGGTATAAATATATTATGACAGAGCCCCAATAAAGCCAAGAAAGCAATTGACGTGGTGAATTGAAAACTAAACGACGAATAGCATCAAATGCTTCTCACAGAGGTGCCCCAATCGGAACCCACTATTATAAATTATATAGCTACAGTAACTAAGAGAAGGCCCCTAGACAATTTATTCAAATGAAACCAAGAAAAGTACGTAAGAAAATAATGGGAGTGATGAGAGGAAAATACACGCGCAAAAGGAGAGGAATGAAAACGAATTGGTTGTATAATTCATAACTAAGTTACTTGAAGCAATTCTGAGAAACAATTAAAATCACGTTGCCAATTTTGTTGTCGTTGGAATATCAGGCAGAAAAAAATGAATTCGCGATCGATTTTTAGAGCCCCAGATATAATATATTTATTTACACATTACGTTGCGCAACATTTGTAAATAGTTAGAGCATGCAGCAGTTTCCGAACTGTATAACAAGATTAAAAATACATAGCTAAGCATTTTTAAAACAGCCGAGATATCATTTAAAGCGCTTTACGTACGACTGCTTCTGATATTACAGACAAACAAACCAACCTATTGACGTGCTCAATTCGAGAGTAAAGAATTTTTCGGCATAGCTACGGGTGTCATTGGCAAGCAAATGCAAAGATCTTAGGGATTAACAAGTACCAACTATGGCAAACTACGAAGCAAACCAAAAGCAGTTCAAAAATCACAATTTTAGCCAATTTAGTTTAAACATTTATAAATTATTGAATCTAATGTAATATCTTATACACTTAAACTGATCGATTGAAACGAGATGATAAGCTAGCTGATGATATCGGGAAGAGGAACCACAGGAAAACAAGTAACAACAAATTAACGAATCGTATCAATTGTATCTTGATCTTGCGACAAATCTGACTTGTGATTTGTGCCACGTTTTAAATATAGATGTCTGATTAGCTTGTAAACATACATAATAAATACGATTAAACTCTATACAAAAAACCCACACTCAGTAAGCCACTACGAAGTTTATCTAAAAGGAATCGCGAGCCTCAAGCCGCGAGTCGCGAAAGCAATTGTAAATGTTTGGCGTGGGAAGGGCGGGCGCCACGCATCAATTACATACCAATTACAATACTAACTACTACTTTAATACCACCACTAACACACCTACTACGATACGTACTACCATGGACGGAATGCTTGTATTACGTGTAGTCTGTAAGGGAACTTCAAGAGGTACCGTATTTTAAGATGTGCTTCGTTTAATCAGGCCACCCATCCATGACCCCTGACCTCTAACCCCCCTCCCCCCATCAAAACCTAAACCCGAACCCTGTTTCCACGAAAACCACCCACCTGTCCAGCGTCCCGTCTGAGTTGCATGATCTTGTATTTCTATTTTGAAACTTTCTAGTTATTATTCAAAGACAAATAACTTTTGTGTAAAAATGTATATGTAATAGCATAATTTAAGTTGGCAACCCAAAACTGAATAAATTTAAATCTATTGATAGATTATTAATTCGAATTGTTTTAAGTTGTATTTAGAACAAAATCGAACTCGGAACTCAAATCGGTCGCCCCTCCCGCCACCACCTATTCCACATAAACAAATCGCAGTGTTGTCACTTGAATTGTTCAGCTAAATGTGTCTAAATGTAATTTAACATAAAGAGAAAACTAAAGATTTTTAAACAAACATTGTGAGTTTTAATTAAACATCATCAGCATAGGGAGAGAGAGACAGCAAAACAAAGGAAACAACTTTAATATTTGATAGTTTATTAAGCCCATCCATTCATAGTCGTCATAAACATTAAGTACATAAAACAAAACAAACGAAAGATTCAATATAAATCTCACTGAAACGCAACAAACCGAAAACCCAACTGAAAACGGAAACTAAATAAAAGGAAATGCAATCAAATTTCATGCATTTGCGTTTGTACTGGGTGAAATGTTCTTAGGAAAATAAAGAAAATTCCATACAATTTTAAAAATGTTTGCATTTTATTATCGATTCGGTTCTTAATACGCAGGTTGCCTATGGGATTAAAAATGCGATTGGCGCATTTCCTGTGAGATTCGTTTATTCCGTACTTTTAAGATTACACACAAATCGACTTTGTGCTGAGTGCAACTGAGCTCCTAATATCATGCTAACATAAACATACAGATTTAACTACAAGAGAGATTACAAGGTTAAAACCTGCAGGCTGATTTCGTTGATGCTACTGGCTAATGAGATGAATTTGCAATAGCCCAATATCAAGTTACAGTATGTGCTTACAGTAGGAAATAAATTATTACAAAATAACAGTTATTAGAACCGAACAATATGATGATTTCAGTTTCAGGAAGAAACGACGAGTCGATTATCAGTTCAAAATCGCTGGGGCCAAAAACTACAAAATATAAAATTAAAGCGACTACCGAAGTTAATGGGTAATTAAGATTGATGGCCTTGTAAATACTTAATAGGTTAAATTTAAACAGTTTTATAATGTTTGTAAAATTAGTGTTTACACTTTACTTTTTGCCCCTGCGATTTCAAATTAGTTCTAATCAGTTCAAATCGATTCACTCCGATGTTGGGCATTGCTTTATTCGACTGGCCAACTGTGCTCGGCCTAACCCTAAGCTTAGCATAGTATTTGGCATTTGCGCTAAAGTACGATTTCGAGTAAAACGATTGTTGCAGCCTAAATGCACCGACCCTGTTCGGTTACCAGTTAGTTTTGCTGGCGCAACTAAGTTGCGCTGCCCTCTAGTTGCTTTGCTTAGGCGCTAGTTAAGTCTTGAGCGGATAGACAGGCAGTGGATGGCCCTCCGAGTTAAAGACCCACTGCTCCAGGTCGATTTCCTTGCGGTCGTCGCTGAACAACAGATAGAAGTACTTAAGGGTCTCGCTGAGCCAAAAGCTTTCCATCAGATCGCGCAGCCGAGTGTTCTGCGTATTTTTGACATTTCCCATCGATGTGTAGCCCGCGCTGACCTTGGCGTGAGTCTCAAAAGCCTGGAAGATGGTCCATCCCATGTCCTGGTAAGTCCGGTTGCCAGTCAAGGAGTAGAAGTAGTAAAGACTCTCCACAAATTCTGGGCGCAGCAAATTGTGTGCGTCGTTTGGCTTCACATAAATGTCCTGATCGTCCTTTTCTGTAAGCGCGAAGTACGAAATTTCGGCCGCCAGGTGTGTGGGATTCATCATGTAGGTTTGATAGCATGTATCCATAAGGTCCCTAGCAAGTATAAGATGTGAATCCGGCATACCGTTCTGGTGGCCCAGAAGCAAAGTGCCCGGCAAGTAGCACGTAAGGTGATCCATTTTTGGCTTAAAGTCTTTGCCATTGATCAGCTCGCCAATGTAGACCCAGTGCTCACGTGGAGTGCGCCGCATTAGCTGAGTAAGAACTCCATCCACTGCTTGCATATAGTCCAATATAAGGCTATAATAAACAAAGGTTAAGAAAAGCAAACAATTATCAAGTGGTAATTAAACAGCTGTCTGCTAAAAGAAAGACGTTACACGTGTAAAGCTATATAAACCCTATAATATGAATTATAACACTTACTTGTCGTTATCCTTACGGCCAGTCTGAATCCACTGTTTGAGCAAGTATTCATAGTAGGAGTCACCACGTGCACCCAAAGAAATAGTTGCGTAGTTACGGAAAGTTCCCGTATTGGCGTTAATGAAAATTGGTACCAGACCATGGTTCTTATCCAGATCATGCACCTTCTCGTTCACTTTTTGGGCAACCTGATAAGCGTCAGTTAATTAATTTTTATGTCACTTCCACCTATCCGTTTTGTGTTACCTGTTCATAAACTGAAATATTTGTGGAGCGGCTCAAATCACGAAACTCTAGCTGAATGGTGGTGACCTCACTGGTGGAGCTGTCCGGGGACCACTTGGGCGAATGAGCGGAGAGATCGCCGAGGTTCACATCCGAATAGGGAATATGTGATGGCGACAAGAAGGCGGGCAATAAACGGTTGCCCAATTCGGAAGCCTTGGCCAAAAACATTGTGTCGCCGCTTAGGTGATAGGCAGACAGCAATCCACCGAGAACTCTGATGGTCACTTCAAATAAATTAACATCGCGTTTAGTATCGAAGCGCAGTGAGTTCTCAACCCAGTCGCGAGCTTCCTTGAATTCTATGGGTGAATTAAAATAATAACATATATTAACCAGATATTTTTAAAAGAATGCTCGCTTACCTTCATCCAATCCCATTATGTACATGGTGTCCAATGAATCCACAATGGTCAGTCCCAGACCGAACCATTCGTGTGAGTACTGCGAAATGGGCTTCAGGTTGTCGTGTCCCCAGGCATATTTCTTGTATCCCGCCCAGGAATGCTTAAAGGCGGCCACCACCGCCGACTGCCTTTCGTTGGTAGCCCCATGGAAGTGCTGACCCATGGCTAAGAGAGGTTGGATCTTCTTTAGGTGCTCCTTAAAGCTGACTCCGCCCATATTTAAGGGATGTTTAATGGCCTGATCGAGCTGTTCGCGTTCGCTTAGCGGCTCACTTGGCGCCTGAGCAATTGGCTCTTCTACGTTGTTCAAGATGTCAATTCCACCCGTGTCCTGTTCCTTGTTGTTCTCCGGCGGAGGGAGCGCCACAGCCTGCGGAGGCCCTTGAACGACTACTGTTTCTGGCAGACGCACCACATTCTCAGCAGAATTGGCTTCCCCGTAGGCAATTAAATCATTCAACTGAAATTGATTGATAGAGAAAGATATCATTAAAAAGTTTCACTGAAGAGTGGCGGCCATAAATCAAAACATTAATGGCCAATCTTTCTGATAGCGAGGACTATCTTTATGCGCAAACAACTTAAGTCAATTAAGCACTTATCAATAAAGTGGGGCCTATTTACCTTATCGCTAAGAGCCTCGGCGAGGGGTTGTCCCTTATCTTCCGCTGCAGGCGCCGCTGCTGTGATTTCGGGCAGGTCCTTATCTATGCCTGGATGATGGTGAGGATTTGGCAGAGGCATTTGATAAGGCGCCACCATGGCCTTCTCGTCCACATCCTTTAGACTGGCGGCTAGCAGCTGATCGCCACTAAGGCAAAGAAGCACCGTCACACAAAATGCTGTTATGCCGAGAATAATGAGATTACGCTGACAACGCGGCAGCTGGTTCCAAGCCTGCAAGATTGAATGATTAGTTTGGTTAATACTGTTGGATTTGGGGCACAAGTTCCCCTGTCCACCTACCCGCCGCAGACTCTTCCTGCCCCGTTCATCCACCGTTACCGATGATCCTGTCGAGAGTGTTAGTGTTATATGACCGCCGTCCTTCATTATGTTTCTCCAAATGCCACTGCCGCCGGAATTCAGAGTATGGGAAAGTTGGATAGGAAATTCCACAACCTTCGCCTCAAATAAAAATCGATTGCTAAGCGGTGGTTTCCAAAGGTCGAATTGGAGCTAACTAAACCAGGGTTGGCCCAACTTCTGCGTTCCTTTACTCATTAAACATTTCTAATTCCTCCTGACCCTTAACTTAATTGTTCTTATTCGGTGAACACCACGAAAATTACAAAATATGAATTTATAAAACTATTGCTCAGAGAGCTGCATTTTTAGGGCTGCCAATAAATCGATAGGCACGATTTCGATAAATTATTTTTTCAGTTTTTGGATAGTATCGATAAGAAGTGGTATTTTGTGAAATAGAAACAGTGTTGCCAGGTGATGAAGGCCCGTATAAGCTAGATTTTTGAAAAAACTAAGCTAGAATAAGCTTAAATTAAAAAAAAAAAAAGTTCTAAAAAACAAGCTACACTCAAATTAGAGAAATTATTAAACCTTATTATGTTTTTATGTGGGTGGCAAAAATCATTGGGGCAATATTTTTGATTAGGTCTTCAAATTTTCATTTCGCTTATTAAAGCTTTACGTATAAATATGTTCTTAAAGTTTGCAATTCAATTAAATTAGTTAATAATTCATCCATTTCGTCATCTTGATCGACATTATAAAATTTTTAATTTTTTTTATAAGCATGATGTGCTTTTTCTTTATTTATCACTTTCAGCCAACATATAGATTTAACATATATTCACGATCATATGAATTGCACATAACCATCGGCAAAAAAAGAACAAGCTCCGGTATTTTCATTCCATAAAGCATATTTTTGTTACAAAACAAACTGTTAATGTCGCAAATACATATAAAACTAGAATATGCTAGATAAATTTTAAAATAAGCTATATTTCAAGCTATAAGCTACATAGAAATATTATAAGCTTTTCTAATTTTAAATATGCTAGAGCTAGCTTATAATAAGTTAAACTGGCAACACTGGTTATGATCGCCTGGTGCTTCAAATTTAAATTCCACACTTCGCGCGATCAAGACAGCTGATCGCTATGTTTTTAGATTTCAAACACCAGGCAAACATAATCCACAGCTAGCAACAGATGCATAAGAGTGACAACATTTATTAACGGGGCTTATGGCTGGTAGAAAATCGGATCATTTTGAATCGCCAAGTGACCAGTAGAAAATCTGCTCATTTGGAATCGCCAAATGCCCAGTAGAAAATCTGCTCAATAATAAACCAAAAACTTCTCGGTGACCACCTTCTGAATAGTTATGATCGCCTGATGCTTCAAATTTAAATTCCACACTTCTCGCGATCAAGACAGCTGATTTTGTTCGTCAAATCGCTGTTTTTAGATTTCAAACACCAGGCAAACATAATCCACAGCTAGCAACAGATGCATAAGAGTGACAACATTTATTAACGGGGCTTATGGCTGGTAGAAAATCTGATCATTTTGAACCGCCAAGTGCCCAGTAGAAAATCTGCTCATATGGAATCGCCAAATGCCCAGTAGAAAATCTGCTCTACAGAAACCAAAGAAACTTCTCGGCGCCCACCTTCTGAATAGTTATGATCGCCTGATGCTTTAAATTTAAATTCCACAACTTGCGCGATAGAGACAGCTGATTTTGTTCGTCAAATCGTTATGTTTTTAGATTTCAAACACCAGGCAAACATAATCCACAGCTAGCAACAGATGCCTAAAAGTGACCAGTAGAAAATCTGCAGAAAAACACCAGGCAAACATAATCCACAGCTAGCAACAGATGCATAAGAGTGACTACATTTATTAACGGGGCTTATGGCTGGTAGAAAATCTGATCATTTTGAATCGCCAAGTGACCAGTAGAAAATCTGCTCATTTGGAATCGCCAAATGCCCAGTAGAAAATCTGCTCAATAATAAACCAAAAACTTCTCGACGACCACCTTCTGAATAGTTATGATCGCCTGATGCTTCAAATTTAAATTCCACACTTCGCGCGATCAAGACAGCTGATTTTGTTCGTCAAATCGCTGTTTTTAGATTTCAAACACCAGGCAAACATAATCCACAGCTAGCAACAGATGCCTAAAAGTGACCAGTAGAAAATCTGCAGAAAAACACCAGGCAAACATAATCCACAGCTAGCCACAGATGCATAAGAGTGACAACATTTATTAACGGGGCTTATGGCTGGTAGAAAATCTGATCATTTTGAACCGCCAAGTGCCCAGTAGAAAATCTGCTCATATGGAATCGCCAAATGCCCAGTAGAAAATCTGCTCTACAGAAACCAAAGAAACTTCTCGGCGCCCACCTTCTGAATAGTTATGATCGCCTGATGCTTTAAATTTAAATTCCACAACTTGCGCGATAGAGACAGCTGATTTTGTTCGTCAAATCGTTATGTTTTTAGATTTCAAACACCAGGCAAACATAATCCACAGCTAGCAACAGATGCCTAAAAGTGACCAGTAGAAAATCTGCAGAAAAACACCAGGCAAACATAATCCACAGCTAGCAACAGATGCATAAGAGTGACTACATTTATTAACGGGGCTTATGGCTGGTAGAAAATCTGATCATTTTGAATCGCCAAGTGACCAGTAGAAAATCTGCTCATTTGGAATCGCCAAATGCCCAGTAGAAAATCTGCTCAATAATAAACCAAAAACTTCTCGACGACCACCTTCTGAATAGTTATGATCGCCTGATGCTTCAAATTTAAATTCCACACTTCGCGCGATCAAGACAGCTGATTTTGTTCGTCAAATCGCTGTTTTTAGATTTCAAACACCAGGCAAACATAATCCACAGCTAGCAACAGATGCCTAAAAGTGACCAGTAGAAAATCTGCAGAAAAACACCAGGCAAACATAATCCACAGCTAGCAACTGATGCATAAGAGTGACAACATTTATTAACGGGGCTTATGGCTGGTAGAAAATCTGATCATTTTGAATCGCCAAGTGACCAGTAGAAAATCTGCTCCTTTGGAATCGCCAAATGCCCAGTAGAAAATCTGCTCGATAAGAAACCAAAAACTTCTCGGCGACCACCTTCTGAATAGTTATGATCAGTGTTGCCAGGTGATGAGAGCCCGTATAAGCTAGATTTTTTTAAAAAATAAGATAGAATAAGCTTAAATTTAAAAAACAGTTCTAAATAACAACACTCAAATTAGAGAAATCATGAAACCTTATTATGTTTTGTTGTTTCAGCTTCCGACTAAAATTATAATACCCCATGAATGAATAAGTAGCACATTTGTTTAATATGTACAAATTGTTTGACACAAGTTTTATTATAATTGTTATAAAATTTAATCAATGTACATTATAAAGTCAAATAGTTGTATCGCTAGGTGAAGTGGTATTTTCATTTTTTAGCAAAATAACGTTACTCCTTTGTGGATAAAATAAGAGCACACTATAACATTCCACAAAGCCCACAAAAAACGTATATTTAAATTTAAATGTATAGAATTTTTCAGAGGTTACACAACGCCTAGCGATTTCTAGTCAAGCGTAATGATAACATATAATGCATGATCATTTGGCGGCGTAGCAGTTATCGCACACTCGCACTGGTTTCCCCGGCTGACCCTGGGCATTGATGAGGGGCAGGGTGTGCTCCGAGCAGGCCTTGCAGAAGATTTCGCCGCAGCTGCGACAGTGGTGCTTGCGCCGCGTCAGGTTGAACACCCGCTCGCAGGCAGTACAATGGGTAGCGATGGAGTCGGGTGCCCAGATTCCGGGACTCCCGACCGCCTCCGGCATGGCCTGCAGTGATTGAGCGGATCCGGAGAGCAGTTGTCGCTGGCGACGCTCCTGATCCTGCATCTCCGACACCTTCAGCTTGCTCACGCTCAACTGGATGCCCAGCTCCTCGAGCGTGGTCTGTGCCTCCGACCACTGCGTTCGCACCTTGTCCAGATCGGCCTTCAGCTTGCCGTTCTTCTCCCTCTCCTCGGCCAGTTCTTTGAGGCAACCTTGCAGGTTCGAAATCTTCTCCTTGAGCTTCAGCTCCTTCTCCTGCAGGGAAATGCGCCACTCCCGTTCGATTCGGGATTCGGCCTCCGCCCGAGCAGCTCGCTCTTCGCTGGCGGTCACCTGGGTGGTGAGGGTTTGCGACGTGGTCTTTAAGATCTCGCCCAGGTTGCTCTTGTCATGGGTCCACCTGTGGAGTCGAACCAAAACTGATTAAGATGCGATATTAAGCAAGTAATTATCAGCTGCTGATTGGCTCAATTTTACAATTTAAAATTCTGATCAATTTAAGGCAGAAAAATAAATCGATTTTTCCTATAAATTATTTTAATGTAAAACCTTTACTAGCTCTACCATTCGATTAATATTTCTAACCCCAATTCGTAACCCTCACAGCAATCTTACTTTTTCTCCAGCTGGTCAATAGTGCTGGCCATATCCTCTTTTTGGAGCTCCAACTTGCCCATCAGCTCCGTTTTGTGCGTCAAGGATGCCTTGCAGTCCTGCCAACAAAAAGAATAGGCGGATGTACCAACGTCGTAATTTTCCATGGTTAACTTTTAATCTCGGTGTTAGTAGCAGGGGGAAAAATGAAAGACTTGGGGTTCGGATAAGTTTTATTTCTCTGGGTTCGATTTAGAAGTGTACGGGTATCATAATATAGGCTGATGCTCCAACGCGTATAGTACATTGTATGGATTTGTAGATTCATATAGTCTCAGTATTTATTTATATAATTACAATAATTGTATTCGACTAGGTTGAGTGTATAATTACAATATAAGCGGTTGCGTGGGGATCCATACGTACATACATATGTATAATAAACATCTGAAGCCTCTTAATCGCACTATACATATATACATACATACGTCGTTTTAGTATAATCGTCTATAATCTTTGATTACGGGGTCTCTGGGGAAGATAATTCAGCTAACAGTTTGCATACGGTAGTACATAATTAAAAACCTTTAACAATTTGTTTACTGGTATTCTATCCCTTTGGGGATCTGGTCTACGGAGTAAAGGCATTCTATATGGTACACACACTGGCTATAGATCTATAGGGTTTGTTTAGTTGAGGACTCCCAACGTGGAGAGTCTTGTAAGCAGTTGCACTTTGAGTTCCGTTCAGGACCTGGGTCTGGACTTTGAGTGTTTAACCAGGTCCAAAGGGCCTGTTTCGATTTTCACATACACTTTTTAATTTAGATACAATGCTTGGTAAACTAAAAACATGCCACACAATAACATATTCTGGTTATAATATACTCGTAGTTTATAAAATTAATTACTTCTCAGTCATAAATGCATTTAGGCACAAAATCCTCTCAGTAATAATAATGTTTAACTTATTTTAACATTTAAGAAATAGTTTTCAATTTAATAAAAATGGAATTCCAATAGATTTTTACGTTAACAAATTCGGTATTCAACTTATTTTGGGATTGTGAAAACCGAAACTGGCCTGATTAACATAGAGTATCTAGATTTAGGTGTCTCCCTTGGCTGTCTGCTCCCGGCACAGGACGTAGTCGCTCTGGGATGCATCCACTCCGAAGTGCTGGCTGACGGCAGCCGCCGCCTCGGCGAGTTCGTCGTTCAGCGACTTGGCGGACGTGGGCGTCTTGGCATCCTTGCTCGCCGACAGCTCCTCCGGATTCGGAGCATCCGGCTGGCGCGGCGACTTGCGGTACTTGCTCGGATCGAAGGGCGGAAAGGCGTCCATCTTGAGGTGCATCCGCTTCATGGGCGGTCCGGCGTCCTGTTTGTGCTTCTTGGTGAGCGCCTCGAACTTCTCCAGGTTCTGCTGTCGCCGGGTGTTGGGCGAACGATCTCCGCCAACGGCTCCGCCCCCAGTTCCAGCTCCTGGTCCCGATCCCGATCCCGTTCCCGCTCCCGATCCGTGGTCGTTGAGCTTCGACTCGTATTTCTTTTCTAGCGATTGTAAAATGTTACCAATTTGTGAGGCTTTCGTTTGCAGGCGCGAGACCATCTCGCCCTTCTGTGTGAGTTCATCTTCACATTCCTGGTTGAATTTTAAACGGGGATTACTTTTTGACTCTTAGGCTCAAACCGATTTACTTGGAGCTAATGATCAAATCATAAATGAAGACTCAAAACTAAGTAGGAAAACGAAAACCAAAGCTACGGGCCAGATGAGCGAATGAATGTGGGCAGATGAGTTGTGAGCGTTGTTAGCGACTTAAATAGATAGATTCGTTTTACAGGGTATCGTATTAGGCAGTAGAAAAACTATCCGCGCAATAGATTACCATGATGTACAAATAAATCTATCCAGTTGTTGCCGAGTTAAATACTAACCTGCAATTTGCGATACATCTCCAGATTGATCTGCTTTATATCGTCCAGTTGGCGGCGCAGGGAGACTATCGTATCCTGCTTTTCGTGGATGTCCTTCTCCAGGAGCTTCATGGCCATGTCGGACTCCGCCTTGAGGGACACCTGCAGCTTGAGCTCCTTCTCCAGTTCGCTGGTCTTGCGACGCTCTTCAATCAGCTCCTCGGAAGCCTTCTCCTTATCCTTGTCGGAGGAACCTCCCGAGCCAGTGGAGTTATTATCCGCTGCCGGAGTGGACTGCCTCATGGCCTGGTTTTCAGCCTGAAGAGCCAACAAACTGTTCCTGGCTATGGCCAAATCCTCCTTCATCAGAGCATTGGTGGTGGTCAGCGACTCCACCTTCGCCTGCAGGTTGCCCACAGTGGCGCTAAAAATGATAACTAGCTTAGCGGGACGACTCCACGTTGGACAAACTCTAACCCACTTTAGATGCCTGTTGAGCTCCTCGATGTAGTTCTTCTGATCCAGCACCGCAATCATGTTGCCCTGTCCAGTGGCATCCAGCAAAGCAGGCGGAGCATTGTCCTCCGGAGCGGAGTCGGCATTCCTTGAACTAGAACGCAGGTAGAGCGAAAAATCGATGACGCCCTGCTGGGAGTCCAGATCCTCCTCCTTCACACAGAGATTGCAATCGATCACGTTTAGGCCCACTAGAATGCCCATTATCACAACGATCTGGAGGGGTAAACTTAAGGTTAATGGGTGATCCGGATAAGGATGCGGCTCTTTCAGACCTCATCGCTCATCATTAGAGCATGTGGCTCGTAGTAATCGAACAGGGAGTCCTCCCTGTGCTCGATGAGCGCCTGCAGGTAGTCCGATAGCTTCTTCTGCATCAGCGCGATCCTCAGCCAGGCTCTGGCTCTGCCAATGTGAGTCCTCACCGTGGGCAGATCCCTGACACTCGCCGTGATGTCCTGCGCCTCCGGGCAGTAGTGCTCCACACTCTGCAGCAGGTCCCACAGCTCCTTGCGCGGACCGAGGAGTCCCTTCTTGGGTCGCAGCCCATGTCCTAGGACGTGCTCGATGACGATGAAGAAGTGCTGCAGCGGCAGGTGATCGGAGTCCAGCATGCGACCGTAGCGCAGCGATTGCTCCAGGAGCTCCTTGACCACCAGCTTGCAGATGTTCACCAGGTTGCTCCGCTCGATTTCCGCCGTATCCCGGGCTGCAAGTGCAAAAACGAACCGTGGAACCAGGATTAAAATCGACTCGGCCGGCGCAGACTCAAGCTTCAAAAAACAACTGACAACCGATTGAACTGAGTAATGAACTTTTATGTGCTCTGCTCCTGGCTGCTGTTTTTCCTGGCGCCCGGCGGTTGTCCCATCTACAGCATTGACCTGGCCACCTTGGAGGTGCCCACCAACGATTTCCAGAACGAACTGACCCTGCAATCGATGCTCAGCTCCGAGTTGCGGGGCTTCCGCAATGGCCTGAACGAGCGGACCAACTTGGAGCGGACCAACTTGGGGCGGACCAACTTCCAGCCGGAAGATTCGCTGCAATTCCTGCCCATGAGATACCAACAGCCCGAGCTACTCAAGGATTTGCCCAAGATGACGCGGAGTCCCGTCGAATCGGACGCCTTTCTGGGCACCAATTTGTTCGGGAACTATCGCAAGAACTGCTTCTCCACGGAGGACATTGCCATGATGTCCGCGCGCAAGGATTTCGAGCTCCTGGTGCCGAAGTCCTTTCCGCAATGCCTGCTCACCGACAGCGTTGTCTACATGCTGATCAGGTACTTCAACACGGTTAACCAGATCGTGAAGAGAATGTCGGATGAGGACACAAAACTCATACTGCAGCGGGCTTTCTACGATGCACTGGGTGGTTACCTTCGCTACTATTTGGTGCCTGCGGCCCAAGTGTCCTTCTACGCAGGACGACTCAAGCTGAACACCATGGAGCGTTTGATCAACATCTATCGCCAATGCCGAACGGCTCTCAATACGAATGGCAATGGCTGGCGAACGCCGGACAAGAACATAATGGCCAAGCTGAGGGCCACCAAGATCGACCCCGTTAAGCTGCCCAAGCCCTGCGAGTCCCGAGAGGATGCCACCAGCTGTGCCCAGCTGGACCAAAGCTGTCTTTCCCAGATGCCGGATCAGGGCCAGATGATTGTGCCGCTGCCGTGCTTAGAGGCGCCAGATGAAAGCGGGTATCTGAGCAACATTTATCTGCCCTTCAGCAAGCGACGCATATACAACCTTCGCTCCTCGAGATCCGCCTTCATCCTGGTGCGGTTCTTTCAGACCCTCACCAATTGTTATCGTTTCCAGGCCGTATGCCCGGCTAGCTATAACAGCAAACTGCTCACGTGGATAAGGGAAAATCTGGAAGCGCACTACCACGATGATGTTTTCTACCCCGGTTTGGGTGGAATCCTGCAGATTGAAGAAAGACTGGTAATGATGAAGAAGAATCCCGAGGAGGAGAAGGAGCAACCTCCGCTCGATACAGATGAGGATGCAGGCTCACCCTCTTCCTCCGGAGAGGATTCCCGCAAGCTCAGTCGCTCTGCAATCCACTGGCAGGAGGCTCCGGACTCCGAACAGGAGCAATCACACCAGGATGAGTGGCTCAGTGGGTTGGAGAAGGTTCAATCCGGCTCGGATCAATTGGAGGAGTGTCGGGAGTGCGACAACGATGACACCCTGATATGGTGCATTGCCGCCTTCCTGGCACTTCTGCTGCTCATCATTCTGCTCATCATTTGCTGCTGCATGCGCAGGGGCAGGAAGAAGAAGAAACCAGTGGTTGCATCGGATGCCGAGGCACCTCCTCCGAAGCCTTTGATAGTCACAGAGCCGCGCGACGACAAGGAAGAGGAAAAGGACAAACATGAGGGCCGTCACCGGTACTACTACTCGGGATCTGGTCGAAAGAGCAGCTCTCATAGATCGGTTAGGGAACATCGTAAGGTAAATTACTAACTATCGACCCCTGCTAATTTGCTTCCTATATTAAAAGCCTTTTTGGAAAACCCGGAGCTTGATTCTTTTACGTCGACATCCTCGCTGGGTTGTCAGTTTAACAGAAAGTGCATGCCCCTGAAGTTCAGCCGCACGAGAGGTGAGGAGTACTATGTGCCACAAAAGGCTCAAGATGAGGTGGGGAAGCAGGTTCCTGCTTTCAGGTTTCTCTCTGACGTCTCGTCTCCTCGACCAGACTTCCGATCCTCCAATAAACAGCCGATGAGGCAAGATCAATCGGATAATCCCTCGTCGGAAGAAGATCGGATGGAGAAGAAGCGGCAAAAGCAATACAGCAAAGAGGCCAAGCGGAAAAAGGTCAAGGAATCTGAAGGAAGGCGGAGAAAGGAGGTAAGTTATCGGAAGTTTACCAGCTTTCGAGATCCTGAACCCAGAATCACCAGCAGACCAAATCCTCAGAAGACAGAAAGCGAACCTCAGAAGACAAAGAGCAATCCCCAACGGAAAGGCGGACGGCCAAAAGAGTGAGCATAGGTAAGTTGAACTATGAAAAAATTCCTCACTTCAAATACAGTTTTCAAAAAATAATTCCTTCAAAAAAATAAACTGCTATCAGGTTCCACCTCCAACTTAATACCAGAAACGGACAAAGAGTCCTCCGATGAGCCCCGCCTGCATAGAAAAAAGTCCAAAGTAAAATTTGAGTCCACAAACGAACGTTTGAAGGGCGGAAGTGAGGTGTGTTAATAATTCAAAACGGGGAGCATAAATTTAAGTTCATCTAATCTCTCCTTAGTCGGTAAAGGACTCTCCCAGCTGGGAAACGGTATTTTCAGATGGCCTATGATCTATTCGAGGTTAACCCGGACTTCTTCTATGTTACGTCTCAATTTTGTTAAGTGTATATTTTTTTGTAAACGCTTTTTTAAAGTAAACGTTTTTCATTGAAAGTGAACATGCTAATTTATCAGATATGCAAAGGTCAATCAAGTTTAAACTTGGATAGAAATTATATTAAGACCCTTCCTTACTATTATATCTGATTGTCAAGGGAGCACCACTAATGTACTAATTTGATGCCCGAAGGATAAGCTGGCTAATTAATTAATATTTGAGTAACGTTTTATGATTGTTGCTGAGCAATTTGTTTTGATAAGGTAAAATTCTGTTCGAGTTAAACCCTTTGAAAAAAAGAGCAGGCAACAAAATGTGCAACAATGCTAAGAGGCATGCAAACTAATCAAAGAAAACAAGGGCCAATAAAACCAAGTATCAAATTAACAAAAAAAGAACATTTAAGTACAAAAGGTTAAACAAAATAAAGAAATCAATATATTATCAGGAAACTGAACAGTAGGTAATAACTAAAAATTAAAAGGAAGATGTTATGATAAGCAACATATCGTGTCATTTATCTTGGCCCTTGTGATCCAATCGAAAAATCAGATAACGAAAAAACAGGAAGGCACTACAAAGAAGGAGCGTGCTGGGCAACAGAGGCATCAAGAAGCGACCTACAGAGATGCGACCACTCGGCGAAGAGGCCGACACTCTGGTGCTGCGACTGGGAGTGCGACTGGGACTGGCCGAGTGCCGAGGAGCCACTGTGGACCATGTCGCACAGCCTTCGTCCGATAAGGTTTTCAATTGCCATAATACCATTGTCCGTGATGTCCAGTGCGCCTCCTCCTCCGCTGTTGCCACCGCCGCCATTGCCACTTCCTGCGGACAAGCCGGAGAAGCGCTTGCTGTTCCGCTTACTCGAGTTGGATCCCGAATTGAAATTGGATGCAAATCCCGACTGGGATGGACCGCCAGCCACTTTTTCACTGGCCTGCACCGCCTGGCTGCCTGTTCCGCCGGCAACATCTATGTCCTGCAGCTCCTTGAGGCACAACCACTCGCCATCGACGGATACCCGGAAATTGCACAGGTAAATCGTATCCTGGACACCGCCGGCCAACTCCTCGCTGGTGTTGGCATGCGAGGCTTTGGGCAGAGCAATCGTGTTGCTGCTGTTGTTCGCCTGGTGTGGCTGCTGCTGTTGCTGTTGCAACACTAAGGGTTGCTGCTGTATTTGTTGTTGCTGCTGCTGCTGCTGCTTCGGTTGCACTTGTTGTTGTGGGGGTGGATTCTGACCCTTTTGGGTTTTTTTTGGGTTGCTGCTCCAGTTGTGGTTGCTGCTGTTGTCGAGGACTTTGCAGACTTGCCAACTTGTTGTTGCCCCGTTTGAGGCGCCTTCTTGGCCGCAATCGCTCCTGCTGCCAATGACGTCGTGCTGTTCATTGTTGGCGTTTTCACCGCACTCCTTAATGGCTTCGAACTGCTGGCGCTGGCACTGGATACTGGTGCATTGTTGGCCGACTTTATGCGACTACTTCCACTGCTGCTGCTGATCGTATTGTTGTTGTTCGTGGACGACAACTTGGTCTTTTCGTATCCTCGACGAGTCCACGCATTTTGCTGTGTCTGTGTGTGTACGTGGGCGGTCATAAAAATACAGATATATACACGTATCGATATTAGCTGCTCAATAAGTTTAAAGTTTCCTTCGCTGTCGTATTTCCACCACTGTTTTATTACCTTTAGAAGATTACTCCTTATGATTACCTCTTTTTGAGAGGCTACTTCCCTTTAAATGAACCAAATAACTAAAAGGCGAATAGAGCTATGAGGTTGCACCGTTATCCTGTTGTGTACGCGTTGAGTAAGACTGGCATAAAGTTCTTTATCCTATTGATTTGTCAAGTGTGTCAAGCTCACGAGCTTTTCGGGAGCTTTCGTTGGGGGTTTTCTCGGTGGTGCAGCCACTTCTTGGTTTATTACCGTTGACATTTTTATGAGGTATGTTTTTTTATTTTAAATCGATTCCGTTCAGTAAAATATTTGACTCTTAAAATGACATTTATAAAAATGAAGTACTTCCCATATATAAAAATGTATTATCAAAATATTTCAAAAAAAATTTCATGAAATTCCTATAACAAGTTGAAGTTAAAATTTTAAGATAGCACTTTATTTATAAGTAATTTTTGCGTCGAATTTATTTTTTAAAATAGATTTGTAAAATTTTTATAAATTTGTTTTAACGTTCACTAAAACTAAATTTATATTAAGGATAAAACTCTGAAAATATTTAATAATATATTTTCAAAAGTAACCAGAAAGGCAATACAAAGTAGAAAACATAGTTTGCTTATCAACCCATGAATAATGAACAATGGAATAACTCACCGCGTTTTAATCTCTTCGCTTTGAGTTTCGATGGTGACGGGGAAGGGGCCGGTGGATCCGGAGTAGGTGGCACAACAGGTGGCGTGGTTTGCTCCGGATACGGATAGGTGGTTGTCCCATCAATCACCTCCGAAGCGGCGGCTGCAGCGGCTGCATTCGAGAACTGCGTGGAAATGTGGCTGAATATCTGCGAGGATATGCTCTCCGTTCGCCGGAAGGTGTTGCGCAGCCGGTCTAGCGAGGATGTGGAGGCATTGGGCGCAGGCGCAACGGATACCGATGGGGGCGGAACCGAAACGGAGGCACTTGGCGAATGGGCAAGCGATTGCGAGTCGTCGCTCCTTTCGCGGCGCACCAGCAGATCATCCGTGCTCATGGCGAATAACTCACTTCGCTACACTTTACGGGGCACTCTACAATATCACATGAATTACCGCAGCGCGATCAAAAACCGTGTTTTTTTGATTATTGCACTTGCACTCGGAGTAAACAAAAAAGTTTGTCAATACAAAATCAAAACAGCTGTTGCATCTTAATTGGGGAAGGGCGTTATTTGTCACTAATCAGGAGTCACGGTTATCGAAACTCAGCAGCGCAGCGCCACTATGAGAAACTATAAGCTATAAAATGAAAGTAAATACTTTAAGCTTGTTAACGTTCTGCAAATATTAATTTCATTTTAGTTTGTAAACTCAGAGTAATTTTGGAAAGTTATGGTGCGTTACTTAACAGGTAAATGCATTTCATAAATTTTAGCTCTTTCTCCGAAATCGATCTGGCAACACCCTCACTTATTTTGCCGCCAAAAATATTTAGTGTTTATTTACAAAAGTAGCACGCGAAATAAATCGAATGGACGTGGAATTAAAGCAGCAATTCGATGAGATGGGCGTGGAGCCGGCCGATTCGGTGCTAGAGAGGTGTGTGGAGTTGGCCATAACGTACAATGTCCACGATGCCACCGAATTTGTAGAGCAGTGGATGGCCTTCAGTTTGTCACACCTCCACGGAGATGATCCTGCCTTGGAGAACCTGGGTGATTTCGAAAGGAAAGTGTTACAGCTGCGGAAGGATAAAATAGGAGCTAAGGCAACCGCGCAGAAGGCCAAATCTTTTGCTCCATCCTCTATCCAGGACACAAGCTCACTGGCCACATATGGCGTCATGGAGGACGATTCAATGATTGACGACTATGTCAGCGAATCGACGGTGGACTCCTCTGCACTGCACACACCCAAGGCTAAGAAGGATTCAGGAAGAACCTCAAACCTTAAAGGAGGAGTTCTTTTTAGCCCTGCTAGCTATACACCACAATCCGCCAAGAGAAATCATGCCGCAGGAACGCCTTCCGCAGCAGCTGGCAAACCGGGCGACACCGTGGACTCCTTTGGACACCCCAAGCTTCTAGCTGGCTCCAGCTGGCAGTCCCAAATGGAGCACCAGCTACCGGTTGTCCAAAAACTGCTCCACAAGAACGCTCCACTGACTATCGCCAATTTGGGCTACATGAAAGACCTGCTGGGTGAGCGATGTGATGAACTGCATGACCGAGTTGAGGACACCGGACGGGTCCTTGTGGAGAAGAAACTAGGAGCAGAGGCAGCAGCCGAGTGTAGTTGGTATCCGGAGGATAAGCAGGCTTTGCAGGCTGCTGGTGGCCTTTATGCGGTGGGAATGATTCATTCCGAGGATGATGGCCCACTGGACGCTCATTCTGCTTTTTTGTCAGTTATAGACGACGATACAGAAGAGGTCGAGGACACATTTCTCTCGCTTAACTTTTCCAGGATTAAGTCGGCCAGCATTTTCCCCGGGCAGGTGGTGCTCGCCAAAGGCTTTATACCCAGGGGAAAGACTTTCGTCGTGGAGGAGATTCACACGGAACGGAAGCTGACACCACCCACTCCTCTTAAAGTGGACAGAGAGCTGCAGTTTGTGGTGGCCGCCGGCCCTTTTACAGACTGCACTGATCTGTTTTACGAACCGCTTCAAGAACTGCTCAAATATATCAAGGAGCATAGGCCAGATGTATTAGTGCTTACGGGACCCTTCCTGGATGCGGATCACAAGATGGTCGGTGATATGGCAGAGACCTTTGATTCCTTTTTCGAAAAGATGATCGGCGGTATCATGGAGGCTGTTGGGAGCCACACCACCGTGCTGGTGGTCAGCAGTCAGAAGGATGCTATGTCGCACTCTGTCTACCCAACTCCTCCACCCACTCTGCGAAAAACGTATCCCAATCTGCACATGCTACCCGATCCCTCGCTGGTGGATCTGGATGGAATCACGCTGGGCGTCACCTCGACCGATGTGGTAGATCATCTGTTGAGTCACGAGTTCGCTGCGAATGCCGGCGAGCGAATGCACAGGGTCATAAACCACTTGTTCCACCAGGGCTCCTTTTATCCTTTGTATCCGCCGGCGGACGAGGAGATGGCATACGACACCCAACTAGCGCGCAAATACGCCCAGATTAAGCAGCTGCCAAATGTACTCATTCTGCCCGGCGATCAGCGACACTTCATCCGTCTGGTCAGCGATAGCCTGGTGATAAATCCTGGGCGCCTGGTAGATAAGAAAGGTGGCACTTTCGCCCGGTTCCTGGTTGCACCCTCTGTCCCCGGAAAAACGGCCAACATGTTCAATAGTGTGGCGTGTCAAGTCCAACGAATCTGAATTCTGCATACCAAAACCTCACCAGCCTCCAATTCGCCACTTACCAGACCTGATAACCCAATGGATCAATTTGTAATGATGATTAAAATAACGGAAAATACCTTAGGGCCGAATAACAGAAATGCGACTGTTTGCATACTGATTATTATTCCATTATTTTTAAGACATGTAATAAAAGCAAATCCTTTTTTATTACAATTGATGGTTTTTATGCACCGTATTGATAAATAAAATTAGATATATATTTTAACACATAAAACCTTTTTCTTCAATATTGTACATCGGATTTGACTTTTGCTCAGACCTTTCCTGGTTGCAAAAAATTATATCCTCTTCGCCATTCATAAATAATCGTTAAAGCATTTATTAATTTATGTATAATAGTTTACAGCTAACAGTAGGAAATGGTTTCTAAATGTAACGTACTCGCTAGGATCTCTATGTACGATTGACCATGTCCCCCCAATACGGAAGTCAACTCTGCATCGAGGAGATGATCGCCGAGAACTAAAACTCCAATGTATATTTTAACTATACAAAAAATACTGTATGCCGTGTGTGTTTGTCCCAATAAACTTGGCTGCAACTCAGATGCGGTTAAGTAACTGCGTGCCACCTTAAGTAATCCTCGCCTGTCGTTTCACTTCGTTCGTCTTCGGTGCCTGGTTCCTGGAGCTGCCTCGTCCAACAACCCGCTCAGTTGTTGGGCTCCTGCTTGTATTGTTATTGTCGGTTGTTGACCCCCTCGGGGTTGTGACTGCTGACCATGCTGTGCTCCATGTTCTTCACGATCACGTAGTTGGTGATGTGGTTGATGGCCTCGTCCTGCAGCCTTTCCGGCCAGCGTTTCATGTACGACTTGATGAAGTCCCCGAACGTGTCCACCTTATCCGGAGTGGTTTTGTGGGTGTCTACAATGTTCTTAACGATGTCCACAAACTTGTCGTAGTCCTCGTGCGACTTCTTGATCTTCTGGTAGTTGCCCACGCCCCCATTGGTGTTCCCACCACCGCCTCCGCCAGCCGTTCCGCTTCCTCCCGCCGCCGTATTCATTTGCTGATCCATGTTGTTATCTGCCAGGCGGGCCGAAGCAGCGGCAGCCACCGCCGCCACGGCGGCTGAGGAGGCCATGAAGTTGTCCACGCTGCCTGCATTTGGCGGCGGTTGGGAGTGGTCCATAAAGTGCCGGTGCATACCATACTCGGTCCTGTAAATGACGATTATTAGTTTTAATCGTTGTCCAGAGTGTAGTAACTCTGTAAACTCTCACTTGTAGAACCCCTCCGTGTTGTTGCTATTAAACTCTTGCTGAGACATTGGATTTTTCCAAACTGGTGACTCGGATGTAGATGGTAAGCTGCTAGTATTGGATGCACTTGTCATGCGTTTGTCTCTGCAATCAAAAGGGATATCCATGAGATTCGTACACACGTTATTTCTGATTAAACTAATAATCCTTTTAACCCACTTGTAACCGGTGTGCGCGGCCAGACTCTTGAATACATCATCCACTTGACTGTAAAACTTCCAGGTGCTGATTATGCCTGTCGTCTCAAAAGTCTTTTGCTCCTGTCGGTAGCGCTGCGTGAGATTGTTGACTTTGAAGTGAACCTCTAGTGCGGTAACAGGGACGCCCAGCGAGGTTAGCTGCTTGGCCATTGCCACATAGAGATGGCCATTGCGTTTGATCGTGCGCAGCTCATAGGCGCAGACTTTCCATAGTTTAATCAGCTCTAGCACACCACTATCCTCCCATTGTCGGCGCTTTTTGTTGAATTTTTCATACTGTCGTGCGGAAGTTGTGGATTATTAACTTTGACAATATCACTTTTTTAGGAGCACTTACAGGCATTTCACATGGGTCTTACTGCCGACAACTGGGATTGCCCGACAAACTTTGTCTGCCAGCTGAAGCAGGACATGAAGCGGTTTATCTAGTATACTGGCATAGTTTACACGGATCCACTCCTGCAAAATAAATATGTAGGTTTTTTAAAGTGTTTATGGTTGAAGACAATTGAGTTTTAATTTGATTTCAAAATTAAATCAAGGAAAAAGGCCTTGCTATATAAACAAGCATATGGCTTTAACAAACGTTTATTAAATGCCGATTAAATATGTTTAAAGCCGTTAGAGGGTTCCTGTCACCTAAGGCATCACCTACACCTGCGCCGTTTTTAACGATGCTATTATAATTGCAGATTTTACCGGGTACCAAAGGGCATATCGAATTTGGTGAATAGTTTGAAACGAAAATAAAAAATGCAAATTAAAGTATGGAACAGGCTGCTTTGATGATCGATAAGCCTGTCCCAACTGTGAATCTGTAATCCGTAGCAGTCATCCGCAAACCATCAAATCAGGAAGTTATCACAAATCGATAGTGGTTTTTGATAAAACGGTTGAATGCGAAATGTTTTGTAACATATAGCGGATATTTTTCAGCGCAATTTTAAGTTAGTTACCATAAATGGTTAGTCCCATTCAAATCCTTTGGAATGAATAATAGGTAGCTCATGGTCTGTAGACTTGGTTTGAGATATTTTTTTCGAGCTTTTAATTATCATTAAGCCGGCACACAAACAGCTCAGCCTCTCCCGCACACAGGCACATGCCAGCGTGTAATGCACACCGAACGGTAAACAAATATAAATAGTGCGAGCGAAACAAGTTGTAAATTGCATTCGTCAGATAAAGATAGACTGCGAAGTGGATGCGGCAACGGCTGGAATCGAAGTGAAGCGGTAATTCAAGTATACAAGTACAAGTGGAGATGCGGATGAAGATGCTCTGCTCTGCCGACGTCGACTGCGACGCCAACGACGTGAAATTGTTGGGTTCAAGGGATGAGGTGGAGCCTATGTAATTTGCGGGGGAGATGTTACTTTTCTCGAATACACACGCACACAGTTTTTTCCCTTTGCTTCAGATACACACACTTACACAACATCACCATCGACATCCGATTTTCTTTCGTTGATTGCGTTCTATTGTTACGCTCTTCTCCATGCACCAACAACAACACCAACAGCGAGGGCACAAAACTTAATAATAAGACAAATAATTAAATTTAAATTATCTTCAAGAGGGAAACACACGAAAAACGTAGTTGTGTAGCTCCTACGCTGCGCGCAGCTCTCGCCATCGACTCTATAATGATGTTCTCCGGAGCGAGATAGCAGTACGGTAAGAGCAACATGGTGTGAGCAGTGCAACTAGTGAGTGTTCGTTGGAATAGAGTTGCCAGACTGGTTGGCGAATGTACGTTGGGGCTCAAAATGCGCCAAAAGTGGGAAGTTGAATGGGTTAGTTTTTAGGGAAATAGAGAAAATAGGACAGTCAAATTCAATTTCTCCTACGTTTCGATCTCGGCTCGTTAGGGTGGTATCATCATTATTGTCAGCTCTAACTCCCCCACTATAAAACACTCTCTTGCTAACCAACGTTTGTGTTGAAGCATTATGCACACACACACACCATCGCACAAACACGTATTTGCCGGTCATCATCATCATCATTAGGTTGGAGCAACAGCAATAGCAGCAACGGCAACATCAGCTCCCAAATGCGAACGTCATTAGCGGGCTAAATAACAAAAAATGATAATGTGGCTGCCACACAGTCGTCAGTTTGGCTTTGGGGTAATCATCATTAAATTGCACGTCGTTGTTTGAGGGGGGAGGCAGGCGTAAGGCGGAATACGATGAAATTGAAGGAAGAGGGAACGGGAGCCCAATAACAAGGCCACAAGATATTCGAACGTATATTCCTTAACCATTTGAAACTTTTCCAATCCATTTTAAATTTGTCGTAGAGTAAAAAGGTATAATATATTTGTTGAAAAGTATGCAATAGGTCGAAGGATGCAACCCATTTGTATATATGAATGTACATATACTCTTCATCAGGACTATCAGATGAGTTGATCTTCCTATTATTTTTATAAATTTGTTCCATTTTGAATATATAAAAATATAATTTTTATTATAAGTTTTTATCAATTCTTTGAGGAGAATAAAGTAATTTACATAGATGTTTATTCTTAGATATTTGACTACTAAGAAATCTACCCCAGCTGCAGACATTACTATTTGTTACCCACAGTATTTGCCGGTCATCATCATTAGGTTGTTGGGCGAAGACAGCATCAACTCCCGAATGCGAACGTCATTAGCGACGAAAAAAAAACAACAAAGAACCTAGTTGTGGTACCCATAATGTTTCTGTAATCATCATTAAAGTGCGCATTGCTCCAAGCTTCGATTTAGGATACCCGGGAAGGGTGATTGTAGCTTTTTATCAAGGTCAGATGGCATGTATGAACACAATAGTTTCTTTTCTATTCCGCGCTAAGGTTAAAAGGGGATCCTGGAATGTGTTGGTCTCCCCACTTGACCACAAGGATGTAGTCTCCGGGATCGCACACCCGGTAAGTAACCTTGTGGATGTTGCGACCCAAGTGCCTAACCATCACTTCCTCGCAAGGACCTCGTTGCCCCAGGACACCAACCAGCAGCATGTTGCTCCCCGCTTGGCTGCAGTCCACTGTGAACTCGTTGCGCTCCACCAAGCTGATGTGGGTGAGTCCCAAGCCACGACTGTGAATTTTGCTGACATCCGAATCCAAGATGGGTACTTAAAAAAGATACAAAGAAGGGTAAAATAAATTTGTAAGAAAAATTAATAGAAAGATGCTAATATTTCCGAGAAAATAATCTAAACTATAAATATAAATTTATATTTAGAACATAAGAATAATATAATAAATTCTATAGTTTTTAAACTCTGAAACATGGAAATAACATTTATTCATTCATTTCGTACCTGATGTATTGCCAGATTTACCTTCAATGGACTCAGGGATTCCTGCTATGGCGACTATGATAAATGGTGACCGGGGTAAAGTCACGGAATTGCACTTGATGTGGACCTTGTAGAGTCCCGCTCCGGCAGCTAGCTGGCAATCGATCTGAAAGCGCTCCGGATCCAACTGCTGCTGCTGAACAGGATGGATGGGCTGTCCGCTGGGACCCTCGACGCGCACCTCGAAATTTCCCTTGACCCCGTTCCGCTTGATGATGAATCCCACTGCGCTGTCGACCCTCACTGCGCCGCTGGGAAAGTGGAGCAACTGCACCCGGCCGGCGTCGGTCAACTCTGGCGCCACGTAAACCCGAGGTAGTTCTGAGGGATAGGCATCTAAAAGAGAATGCGGGGGAGTGTATATAAATAGCCGGTTCGATGTTTACTTCCTCATCGGCGGCACTCACCCGCGTCGGGTGTTCTCTGGTAGCGTCCAAAAATACTGCCCTCCTCCGGACTGTTGCCCTCCAGGCCACTCCCACTCGAATTGGAGGCGGAGGAGGCGGCGGCCTGCGTATTCAAACGCATCTCCTGCGACACTTTGAACATGCCGCAACTATGAACTTTGGAAAACTTATAATCTCTTTTACGGAGTTGTAAATATTTTTTTCCAAATTTAATTAGCGACTGCCCGGGGCGTGCTCCTTGGACCGACTGAACTCAGTGCGCTCCGTCGTCTTCATTCGAAGAATCTCAATCGCAGCGAAATGCTCTCGAAATGCCCGATTCTCGAACTCAGTACTCTCCCCACTCGATGGGGCAGCAAATGTTTATGATTTTGTTTGCCGGGCAGGCTGCCAAATATATACACACATGCTTTTATGTGGATCAAGCCAAAGTCGAGTACCGGACAATGCAGATGCGTTTCCAATCTAAACAAGACAGCACGTTGCCCGGAATAAAGTTTCTTTTTTATAATGAATCGAGCCAATTTAAAAAGCAATGTATTTAAGTCTAAAAACTCTTTGCATTTGTCTTGCTGAAGGAAAACCCTTTACAATTGACCTCAATAAGTCAACAGTTGGGCAATTTAAACACATAAAGCAATTCATTGTTTTTGAAGATCGAAAGTGTTATATTTTTGTGACGAGCAGCAATTTAAATTTCAATAATAACAGATTTAAGAACACATCTAGACAGTGTGTAGGCTGTGTGGGTCGAAAAACATGAATAAGATTTCGGGGGAGAACTGCATCCGCTCAAACGGTTTGCCTGATGTCGAAGCCATGCTGAAGATTGTGGTAGAGATGTGGGTAGACGACCATATCCGTGTTGGTCAATAGACCGGCCTCGTAAAGAGTGCTGTAGATCTGCAGAAATATCAAATAAATCAAATAATAAGTAAACTCGTAACGTGAGTGCTTACGTTTTCTGTGATCTTTAGAGTTCTTATGGCCTCCGAGCGCATATGTAGCCAAGTGTGACGCAGTCGCTCCTCTGCATCCGAGATGAAGCCTGGCGCCCAGTTCTCCCTCAGCCGGAAGAGATTTATCCGGTTCTTCTCGCGCACCGCCCTGGGGAGCATCACACGCTTCCGGGCTTCCCGCTTGGCTCTTCCATTCAGCATCTGCTGCTGCTTGGCCTTCTTCTCCTCGATCTGGATGCGCATCTTTCTGGCCAAATCTTCCCGCTTCTTACTGGCTGCGGTTTCGGCGAAAATGGACACCTGATTCGACTGCGCATAGAAACGAGTATAGTAGTCCAACTTTGATAAATCCGGCGGCGGCATTATCTTCCTGAAGTTGCCTAGATGGCTCTCTTCCCAGGCGACTTGCTGGGCCAGTGGACCTTGATCGTCCGCCTCTGCTTGAGCCTCTGCGGGATTAGCTTGCGGATTGGATTCCGGACTGCCCAGCTTTCCATCTATCTTGGCTTTCGATGCACCAGCAGCAATACGTGGTCGTTGCACAGGCCTAAAACAAGTCACAGAAATGATAATAAGATTGTATCTCTATAAAAATTACTTTACTTACGGATCGCCCCTGATTTTAAGGAGTCGCTGTTTGACCCTCTTCCGATCCTCTCTGAGAATTTGCTTTTTGTCGGCCAGCACAGTGCTCACCAAATTCAAGGTGTCCCTGATGAGGGGCCGCTTCACCTCCCGATCGACCTGTTCGTTGGTATGGAAGCTGGGCGAGTGGTTAACCTCCAGGATGTAGGGCTTCAGCTTCCAGTCCACCAGGATGTCGAAGCCGAGTATCTCGAAGCAGGCTTGAATCTTATCGTGTCCTGGAAAGCATGCGTGGTAATTGTGCTTCAGCACCGGCCAGGCACTTAGCACCGTCTTGATGATCACATCGTCCACGTTGCTCCAAAACTCATCCACGTCGTAGTTGCGCCTTCGCATCCAGTTGTTAATGGCACTGAGTTTCCTTTTGCTACCACAGTCATCATTGTCGCACAATTCGTAGTGCGAGTTTCGCTTGTTCACCGAGTAGTTGGTCAAGTGCATGTAGAGATCATTGGCGTTTCCTGGCGTGGGTTCCACGTACTTATTTGTGGCAAATCTGGCTAATCCTTCATTGTACACAAAGATGCGAAGTGGATCCACTGAGGTAATTAGAGTGTAAACCCGCAAATCAAACTTGTAGCCATCGATCAAAAGGGGCTATTAATAAAGTTTCAAGTTAGTTAGATCGGATTTGAAAAGTTCTTCAGGCTTACCCGATGTACATAAGTCTGACAGATGAGTCGCTCATGAGGACCGATTGTTTTTAAATCGTTGGTCAGCCAAATACCCCTTCCCTGGGCCCCAGAATCTGGTTTCAGGATAAAGGTGCGCTTGTGGTTAAGGGCATAGTTCATGGCATCACCATAGCTAAAAACAAATCAGTTAAATATAACCGATTCAGAATGACTTCTTTACTTACTCCGCCGGCAGCATCCAGGTCTTTGGAAAAATCTTGTAGTCCTGCGGATAAAGCTTCAACATTCGGTTGAGATTCCGCGACAGCAGGTCTTTGCGGCAGATCTCGATCATGCCCGGAAAGTGATTTATCTGCTGAAAGCGTTTCATGTTCTTGAAGAGCTCAACGCCGGGAAACGAGTCCGACCAGAGAATGTTCCACATCTTGGACTCCTTGACTAACTTGTAACCCAGGGTCTTGGAGATCTTGCCAATCATGGCGTATCGCGAGTTGGAAACGCAGATGGTGCTCTTGGTTTCGCTGGGATAGCAAAGGAATATATAATAAGATTTTGTTTAAAGATATGTGATTTTCTATTGTCACCTGGCACACCGCTCGACGTCGTTACTCTTAGGCGGATTAACCACTCGGGTGGGGCATTCCACTCGATAGGTGGTGTTGTTTAGCTGGATAAAACCCTGAAGTTGGCCCTCCGCTGGAGCACCAGGACTACTTTGGCCGGAGCTGTGTCCGTTTGTCAGTTGGTAATAAGGGGCCGCCAAATCATTGCTGGCGGAAGCCTTCTTCTTAACGCGCTTGAGCTTCTTCACACGACGGCGAGGGGAACTGGGCTGCAGAGGCGACGTTTGCTCCGGGCTATACCATTCCCGATCCGGGCACGGCTGCTCGCTGAGCGCCATGTCCAGGACGCGAGTGACCCTGGTCCTCTGCTCATGGCCCTTTCGTATCTTCTCCTTGGAGAAATGGCGCAGCTCCTGAATCCTCTTATAAAACTTGGAATTTTTTAAATTCATAGCTCGTATTGTACTAATCGCCGATGCGAAATGGAAAATTTATCACGTGCTAAAAAGTGTAACTATAAAACAGGTCCGTGTTGATATGGAAAGCCGGAATTCTTCACAAATAAAAACGGTATTATTTTGCTTTGATTGTGTTGCGAAAAATGAAAATAGTTTTAACCGAAATGACGCTAAAATCAATACGTAACTCTACTGAGTACGTCGCAGGATTGAGTTTAAAGTCACCGAATTTTTAAAAATTAACTTTATTTATCAAAACATCTTAATATACAATGATGTATTACAAAACGTATATTTTAAATATAACTTCAAGTCTTTGAAAGTTGTTTCTTGATTTTGGAGTGTATTAAATATTGATCACACAATTTAGCTTTTTGCAAAACATTGTAGGTATGTATATATAAAAATTGCGCTTCGAGCTTTACAAGTTCGTCGTTTTGTATAAAAAGGCACTTAATGATCTTTAAAAAATTTGCGGAATTGATCAAAGCGGTTGGCCACCGCGTCCATCGACGGTCGATCTTGCGGATCCACAGCGGTGCATTTTAATCCCGTCTCGATGGCACAAAGGCACATGTCCAGCTCGATGCCCATGGGTGTGGGCACTTGTTTGTCCAGCACCTCCACTGGATTTTGTCGCCAGTGTTGCTTGACATAATGCAGCAAATCCTGCTGAATATCGTTATTCGGCAGTCGGTCAGTAACCTGGCGTCCTGTAAACACCTCCAGCAGCACAATGCCATAGCTGTAGACGTCCACTCCAGTGCTTAATTGCTTATAGTTGCGGAACTCTGGTGGCAAATAGATCCTGGTCCCAAAAACTTTTTTTATTTTCATCACTGCGCCAATGGACTTGGGACCCTCGCGGGCCAGTCCAAAATCACCAATCTTGGGCTGCAGGCATTCATCCAGCAGAATGTTCGCTGGCTTGATGTCTCCGTGGATAAGCGGAGTGCCCCTGGTCGTGTGCAGGAAGTAAAGGCCTCTGCAAGAAGATATTATGTTATTAATTGCTTAAAAATTAAATAAAACTAGCAAATCCTACCTGGCTGTCCCGAGGCTTATGCTGAACCTCTGCCGCCAGGTCAGAGGTGGGAGTGTTTTCTGGGATTTGTGCGCTCTTAGACGACTTTCCAGGGAGCCACCTTTCATCAGCTGGTAGACCAGGCAGGGCTTCTCCCCATTAATGCTGTAGCCATAGAGAGCCAGAATGTTGTCGTGCCTAACTTCGTTGAGGTACTTCAGTTCGTTGTAGCTCTGCTGCAACTCCACTTGATTTTGGTCGAAGTTGGGACTGCGGTAGTTCATAACCTTGATGGCAACCTCCCAATGCTTCAGATCGCCGCGGTAAACGTCTCCAAACCCACCCTGACCAAGTCGATTTTCGGAACTCCAGTTATCCGTTGCACTCACCAGCTCTGAATAATCGATCTGTAGCAGGGACTTGGCTGCTTTCTGAACCGTGCTGATGTGAATATTGCCGAGGGACTCTAAACTAGGAATCTCCTCTGACGTCGTGCTAGTACGATTGTTGTTCGAATTGCTCACACCCGAAGAAGAAGGAAACGGTGGCCCATTGTTCACTTTGGCACTAGAATTGACCGGAGCCCGCAGTTCACTTATAGTTGGCACGCTCGCAGGGATGTACTTGTGCAGATCCTCGCTTACAAAGTCTTTAATCAGTCGCATGGCGTTATGGAGCTGCAATCTAAAATATCAGGAGTCAGTCTGTGTTCATTTTGTGTTTTAAACTGACTCACTTCTTAAACAAAGCAAATAAAGTTTGAACCGTGTGATTGTACTGGCCGCCCCAGATGTTAAGAAATTCGTTAGAGGCTGAGCGTCCGCACTGTTTTTGGCTCATGATCTGCTCCACTTGGTCCGAATATAGTTTTACGGTCTCTGCCATCAGATGCCACACATCCAGGGCGTCCAGATGAGCACATAATTGCTGGCGCACGGGCAGCGGCAACAGGCGGATGGCAATGGTGTCATCAAGGTGGGACCGCGACCTGGTCCTGTTTTCATTCGCAGCATTTCGAGCCTCTGCCTGGGCTTCCGCCGTTTCGGTGCCACTCATCTTTCACTGGTGGGCAGTCCAACTGGTTGTGACTAAATCATACAGTATTTTCAACCGTATGCAACCTAACGTAACGAAATGGAATGGGGGAATTGCGTTGGGAACCTGTTGCAGCAAATTAAAGATCTGGGAAAAATCCCAACTCGATTCGATCAAAATAGACCGACGTCAACTTGTTAACATCACATTTAACAGCGATGCAACAGGTGATTAACATCGACATTAAATAATGCTCACATCCGGCAACGGTGGCAGGCAACACACAATCTGGCCAAAAACCTAATTTTAAATTTTAATTCTCATCAAATTACTGGACCAAAAATCACCGTGGTTAAGTACATTGCTTACATATTCTTGTGAGTAGCACTTCAATCAAGTTGAAAGCCCTAAATTATATGACCACAATATGCTGGCTGCATTTGTTTGTCTGGCAACTCTGTTCATGTATTTACTGGCGGCTCACTAGATGGTCACACTTCTCCGCTTTACACCGTCACGAACGCATCGCTATCGCTAATTCTTCGCCCATTTATAATTCAGGAAAACTAAGACGTCAATTACCCAGCCAGCGTACAGAAAAGCCTCAAGCTGGCGGAAAAGAAGGTTCAAATGGCGCTATGCCAGACATCGGTGGTGAGTGTAAAGTGGCATTTGAATCCTGCAACTGTGTCACTCACAAATGACGAACTGCATCCGACATATGGAAGAGTCTCTTTGCAGGAGCAAAGTGCCCCTCCTCCCCTTTTTAACGCCCACGCGGGAAAGTGAAAGTTTTCTTTGGGAGCGAAATGTGTACTTCCATGAATATTACTGAATCCCGAGATACCGAAACTGCAACATCTTTTGTTTGCTTGTGTGCGCGAATGCGTGCTTGTGCGTGTCTGTCTGGTTTCGCATGTGTTGGTGCGTTTGTCGCATTACGTTTTTGTGTTTTTTGATGGTCGGAGAAGTAGTACGAACTCTCATGGGTGTTATTATTAGCGGTAATGTGGTTCTGCGTAGCGTGTCCCATTATCAGCATGTCGGGGCCCACTATCGTCGCCTTGATAAAGCAAAATATACAAACTAGGCAAGTCTGGCAAAGCGATTGCTGCAGTAACCAAAGCGTCATATTCTGCGATACCGGTACATCTTTAATGCATACCCTCTCACATATGTATGTACTTACGTATGTACTTATTCTCCAACATTCTTTATAAACAAATAATTTACATATGTACCTTACTTTTGTTTTGCATATATTACAGCTGCGGCTGATATTTTAATGGGGTTCAAAAAACACATACTCTGCGTTAGCCTTAAATTTTTCCTACTCGGTTTAAGTATACTTAGCGCATTTGCAAATAAGATACATATTTTTAAACTGTAATGAGGAGTTTTTTTGTACGTCTTTATTATATGTACATATGTATCTAAATGAAGTAATTATACATTTTCATATATGTTATGCGATTGTATGAAATTTGTAATCCTAATCTAAAAAAATGAAGCTGTTTTAGATGTTTTTCATAAGCATTTGTTTTAGCCTCAATTATAAATGGCTGTGAGTTGAGCAGTGATAACACAGTGAGTGTTTGTATTAGCAAAAACACACATATTGTCCCCTGATTGTTCATGCATTTAAAATTTAATTATATACATTAACCGGCCCTCACTCTTTATGCCCGCAGCTGAAGGTGTACCATGCCGTGATCGAGGACGTCATCACAAATGTGCGAGATGCCTTTCTGGACGAGGGCGTCGACGAGCAGGTGTTGCAGGAGATGAAGCAGATCTGGCGCAACAAACTGCTAGCCAGTAAGGCCGTTGAGCTGAGCCCGGATCCCAGCGATGGATCCCACCCACCGCCCATCGTGGCTAACAATCCAAAGGTAAAAGCACGTGAACCTCAAAAAGTGCACCAAAAATGCATCTTGTACCCATTTTTACATCTGGACCATTTCTTATTCGGATTTCGTTTTCACAAAATATCATAAACAATTTAAATAAAATGACCTCGATTCCAAATACTTTAGTTTTATTAAGTTATGTTACTATCCATAGACATTTGAACTACAGTTTCTTGCTTTATCTTCCTTATGCTCAACATCTCGAACCACAACAATGCAACTGCGCAACACCAACAATATCGACTAATGCGCCGCTTAACACTTCATTCCAATCCATTGTAAACCCCACTCATTTTCATCCTCCCACAAACGCAAACGCACACATCGACAGCAGAGCAAGGTAAAGCCATCTGTCCGCCATTAAAATTTCCGAATCTTAACAATGTAAACTTTTATGCGCTTCCAGGCAGCCAATGCCAAGGCCAAGAAGGCCGCCGCCGCCTCGGCGGGCACATCACAGCCACAGATCGGCGGCAGCAGTTCCGTGTCCTCGCTGGCACTTAAATCGCCCGCTGGCATGGCCACCGGCAGCGGGATCAAGAACGGGCTGGTGCCCATTAAGCAGGAAGTCAACTCACAGAATCCACCGCCACTGCATCCCACTTCAGGGGCTGCGCAGCTGCAGAGACAACAGCCAACGGCGAGCGGTGGACAGACCCCCATTCCAATTGTGGCCACGCTGGACCCAAACCGCATAATGCCTGTCAACGTAAGTTAAAATGGAGATAAAATATATAAAAAAAACTAACATGTTCGTTATACCCTACAGATCACGCTGCCATCGCCAGCTGGGTCGGCCAGTTCGGAATCTCGAGTGCTCACCATTCAAGTGCCTGCATCTGCGCTGCAGGAGAATCAGCTGACCCAAATTCTGACGGCGCACCTGATTTCGTCCATCATGTCCTTGCCCACCACTTTGGCCTCGTCCGTGCTACAGCAGCACGTCAATGCGGCTCTGACCAGCGCCAATCACCAGAGTAATAAAAACGAAAGCCTTTCTAAACCAACGGCAATTAATAATTTTGTAAACTGTAGAAAATCTGGCTGCTGCCAAGCAATTGGACGGGGCTCTGGACTCCTCCGATGAGGATGAAAGTGAAGAGAGTGACGACAACATCGACAATGATGACGACGATGATCTGGACAAAGATGATGACGAGGATGTGGAGCACGAGGATGCCGCCGAAGAGGAGCCGCTCAACAGCGAAGACGATGTCACCGACGAAGACTCCGCCGAAATGTTTGATACAGACAACGTGATTGTTTGTCAGTATGATAAAGTGAGTTAAAAAATTTTTCAGTTTTTGCTTGAAACTATATAAAACTTGTTTATAGATTACCAGATCGCGAAACAAATGGAAATTCTATCTCAAAGATGGCATCATGAACATGCGGGGAAAGGACTATGTGTTCCAAAAATCAAATGGTGACGCCGAGTGGTAATGACACCTTAACAAGAGCGGCGGCTGTGTGAATATATATTTACAAAAGACATCAAACAAAAAGCCTCATCGAATGCGCCTTCAGCCCAGGACAGTAGCTATCCAAACAGGACTCTGCCCAATTTAAAAACATGACCAAGCGACAGCCTGTACAGGAAGCAAATCACTCGGGCCGACAATGTATCTTATTTTAGTTCCATCTGTTTTGTATACGCTAGCTAAAGAGTTGTGTTGCAGTTATCCATCTCAATTAAATGTATTAAAAAGTGTGCCGCATAACTTTTGTGTCAATAAACTGAAACACTTCTGGAAGTTATCAGCATGTGTCTTTTCAATACGGCCGACGCAGGTTTTTTTTAATTCACCAACACTAAATATGAGTGTCTAAAATCTTTTAAGTAAAACAAAACAGCACTGTAATTCATTGAAAGTATGTATGTATTTATATATAGACATGTACACGCAATTACGCTACATGCTCTCTTCGTTCTTGCAGTTAAGGAGTACAGCATTTTACATTTCAACACTTACAACAACAGCGCGGCTAATTGTTAATGGTCGCATCCTATGTACAACTCTCATTGTACACTCACTGTGTGGTCATCTATCGTCGATCTATGTACATACATACATGCACTTATCCGGTCGGGGCACATCCTTATTGCCTTATCGCCTAAACAATCTAAGTAATGACTAAAGATGCGTGGGGGGTCTGGCTTACGATCCTAAAACTAATGAAGATGTCTCAGGGTGTCCTACATGTGTGTGCGTGTGTGTGGGTGTTTCGTATGTGGATTGTTGATTGTTGTTTTCTAGTTTATTTTAATTCAATCGAAAGTGAGATGGGCTTGGTTTATCGTTCACAATTTATACAAGGTCTCCTCTCTCAACGCTATCGCAAGTATAGAAAATCAAAATTTGCGTAAAAATAAGTTTAAAACAATTTATAATATAGCACAACTCTCGCTCCTAGGTTAGCCCTATTTGGTTTTGCCCGCAAACAAACTCGTGCTAAGCACCAAGCCGAAGAATTGTCCTCCGGGTGTCATTGCAGGACAAGCCTTGCACGTACACAATGATATAACTGCCTAACTAAACATTAAGTCGTCAGTAGCGCAATGTTGATTTCCTTGACCATCTTTACGCGATGCAACATGCGTTGCAGTGCGTCCTGCCCCAAGGCTTGTGTCGAGTACCAAACCGGAGAGTCGGGGACACAAGAGCGCTCGGGCTGCAGATAAAACACATCGTTGCGGGTCTTCACGCTCTCAGGGCTGCCGGAATTAATAAAGCCGTAAGTAGAGGTCGAGCGTTGAATCAAGAAATATATTAGCTACTAACCATTTAGAGAGATAAAATTCGTATAGGCGGACGGGACAGCGCAGCGGATTCTCCTCATTTTCTTGCTGCTCATAAACCTTCTTCTTTCGGGGATTTGCATCTGCATAAACAAATTTATTATAGAAAATCATAATAATATAAACTGTGTCCCCGACATACCCAGTCCCGCCTGCGGTGGATAGAATCGTAAAAGCACGTTTCGTGAGCCAGGAACTTTGGAATTTTGTGATGAGCGCTTCCAGTGCTTCATTATATGCGAGAAGGATAACTGCATGTGTTCCTCCACGGTCTAAAAAAGATAAATGTTACTGACGAAAAAAAGCGTTTTGCAGATTTATTTTACCGTCAGATTGAAGTGTTTCGTGTTGAAGAACATGAGCGTGCTGAGAAGGACATGCGGGGAATGGGCGCCCAGTTGTTTGCACTCCCACAAATGCTCCTCTTCCACTCGTGTGACAATGTATTCTGTAAATAAAATAATGATTTTAAAAATGTAATACAATTGGTTGTTTTCATTGCAAAACAATAAAACTTACGCGAATCGTTGTATAGCACAGAGAACTTGCGCGCCACCTCATCCAGGCACTCCGTAAACCGCTCATAATATGGATCGTAAAATATGTTGTCTATGCGTCCATTCACGTACAAATATTGCTGAATGCCTAATTGTGAATAAAAAAGTAATTAGTTTAATTTTTCAAGAAAACTCCAGTCACTGACCCAAAACAAGGTAGTAAATAGTATCCGGAGCGTATTCCGTGCCATTGGGCTTGCGCACTTCCTTTACGAAAAGGCATAGTGAGTAGTTTAGCTCGTCCGCGGTCATCTGGAGCAGTTCCGTTTTAAACGGTCGCCGGCGCATCGAACTCTTCTCGATGTCCGCGTTCTTGGTCATCACCCATTGTTTCCACGCATTCACACCGAAGGTGTACTTAAGGAACATCTGGGCATCGGGCTTCTCCTGCGGCTGCTGTGCCTGTTGCGACTGCTGTTGCAGGGCTGAGTGGTCCATTTCACTGCCGCGTTGTCTCTTTACCGGGGAGCGGCTGTTTCGGTTGGGCGATTCCATAACTGTGCCTACGCCGCGCTTACGACCTCGGGGGGATCTACAAATAGTTCATAATGCTCAATGCATTCCAGGTTATCATTTTATTTAGCTTACCGCTGCGTGGCATCGAGCATATGATGCTGCTGGTCCAGGTGATGCACTCCCATCTGGCCCATTCCGTCGTGGCCCATCGGTGACTGGCTGCTGATCGTGTTCGCTGTCATCGACGTTTCCAGATCCACGGTGGAGGTCTGATGGTGATTGTCGTAATCGCCTGTGGCCATCTTGAGGGCAATCTGCAGCATGTCATCGCCATAGGGATTGTGTCCCGCCCCACTGACGTCTACCACTTGCTGTTGCTGCTGCTGCTGAGCAACGGATTCTAGGCTGTTCTGGTATTGCAGCGTTACAAGTCCCGGATCTGGCTTGATCTCGTTATCCGAATCGGAGTCCGATTCGTGCTTTTCCTCCGCCACCATCTCGGCCATCATGAGCAACTCCGCCTCGAGCGGATCCTCTGGCATCTTGTCCTGAATCTTTTTGATTTCTTTTAGAATGCCTTGCGAGGTGTTGCGCGTGGTGGGTATGAAAATTGGCACTGGGATGGGCAGAGGAATGGGCACGGGCACGGGGAACGGAAGCGAGTACATGTACATGGGTTGCGGCAAATATATGGGCACCGGAACCGGGATAAGCACCTTGTTTGAGTAATCCTTTTCCGTCTGGGTGGCGCAGTCGCGAACGTCCGGAGAGCACTGCTCTCCTGTGGACACTGTCAAGGGCTTACAGCTGATGTTTACGTTGCGCACTGCCTTTGGATATGGTGGCACTGTGATGATCTTGGTCTCCGACACCGTTGGCGGGCCGAAATCCATGCTCGTGGTGGTGTTCCGTCTGACAGGGATTCCCGGGTGGGAGCCGGACGACGGCGACGGGGACCGCGCCGAATAGTCCACGTGCTTGCGGGGTCTTCCTCGCGGTGCTGGCGTATGAGCCACTGGCATGGACAGCGGCGGCGGGGAAGCTCCGGATTCCCGGGGGCGACCCCGCTTGCGACGCACCGTCAAATTGCCAAGTCGGGCTTCTGTTTCGCCGCTAGCAAGTGACTGAACAGTGGATATAACTGGTAGCATGGTGCCGGTTCCAGATTTCTTGACTCCACTAGCATTCTTTCCACCCTGCAAATGAATAGAAAGTAAGGAGATTAATCAATTAAACATTAAAGTTATTCATAACCCACACTTTCACTATTTCTAGTCAACATCGAAAATTAATAATGACTTAAGGGTAGTTTTTTTTTTTTGAAGTAAGCATTATCAGTTCAACTATTCCTATAAACAGGCAACCCTATATAATTTGTATAACAGTTATCAACATGGTATTACAACACTGAAAATAGTGTTGCAATTTAAAAGATGTCAACAATATTAGATTTTGTGGCATCCTGCGGACTTACCTGCTGCTGTGATAACTTCAGTTTGACACGCTTGGGCAAACCCGTCGGGAAAGGTGGCGTATTTTTACTTCCTCGAGTTGAGCCCTGTTGCTGGGACTTTGAGCTACTGCTGGGTGGCAAACCGCTGTCCAGCGTGAGAGGAGCGCGGGCAAACTGATTCTGAAACTGCATCACGCACTGGTAGGTGCAGAAGTTGCGCATCGAGGCGTCCGACATGGTGAGGTGATACTGCGGCGTATTAAAGTTGGAGCAATTGTCACATTTGGTCACCGCGCGCGCGGAGATGTTGCAGCTGACGCCATGCATGGTCAGGCAATTGATGGAACAGGTTAGGGTCTCGTGCTCCTGCTCACCGCTCACTTGGTAAATCATGTCAAAGTTGTACTTCTTCACCTTGCACCATTGACACGACACGATGTGCCTGTTCACAATTATGTAGACATTGATGCAGACTCGCGAGCAGAAGACCTTTGGTGACTGCTGTTCGTTGTAAATCGTGTAGGCCTCGGCGCTCCGCCGTTCAAAGTACTTCGAGCACATGGCACACGGATCAGCGTTCACGTTGCTCACAAACTTAAAAGCCGAGAAGCATGGATTCGAGCAGAAATAGTGCTCCCTGTCCTCCAGTAGCATTTCCACTCGCACTGGCTTCTCGTTGTTACACACGCCGCACACATCGGTGCGCAGCTTACGGCGCAGATTGCACATGCTGTCGTAGCGACGGAGGCAAGCCTGCGAGCAGAAGTCCTTGAATTGATCTTTGTCTCCGACCGGGGCTAGGAAGCCTTCTTGGCCGCCACTGATGTCCTTCTGGCAGCAGGAGCACGTCTTCAAACCCTTCTTGAAGGTGTTCAGGCATCCGGCACAGCAGAACTGCCGCACATCGAAACCAAATCGCACGCAATACTTGCCGAGAGCTGTGGAGCTCACTTCCTGCTTGCAGGTCTCGCAGCTGGAGCCAATTATGCGCTGATAGCTGCCCAGGCACACCTCATTGCAGAAGTCCATGGTCTCCCACATGAGTTGCTTCTCGTTGGCATTGATCTCCGTCTCGCAGTCTGCGCAACGCCTTCTGAAGCTTTCGATCCTGTCCAATCGCGCTGCTTCCGCCTCGGCCACCGTCCTGGCCACAACGCTGCTCTCGGTTCGTTTGCTAGGTGAGTTCTGCGGCGGCTGAAGCGTTGTGGCGCCAATGTTGCGCACTCGAATCGAGTGGCGCTTCAGCTTGAACTTGTCTGGTTCCTCTGAGTTGAGCAGATTGAAGCAGTCGTCGTTGCAGATGTAAAAGCAATCCTGGTCTTGCTTGATAAAGTACTTGCACCGCATCTGCTCCTTGCACTGCAGACACTCGTGAGTTTTGTGGGGAGTCTCTTCTTCCTCAGTTGCCTCTTCCTCTGCCTCGTCGGTGCCCTCTTCCCGAACCACTTCCTCCACCAGAAACTTCTTTCGGCGCACAAAGTACTTGCCGGGTTGTTCCTCTAGCAGGGCATTTACACAGGCAGTGTCGCAGATGTAGTCGTACCCGCTAGGGACAGGCTCCGGCGGCGCCTCCTCCTCTGCCTTCTCTTCACCCTCCCCCTTGTCCTTGTCTTTATCTTTGTCCTCTGCGTCTTCGGGTCGCTTATACCGGAATCCACAGTTCTTCTCATTGCCGCACTGCTTGCATTTCTGAACGCTGCCAACGATCCAACTGATGATGATTTTTGGACTGGCCCCTAGTTCGCCTGCTGCGGCACTGAAAGATTCTTCCGCATTAGGCTCGTCTGCATCGGGAGCATCGCCGCCGGTCTCCTCTTCGTTGGCCTGATCTGTTCCATCGTCTAATAGAAAATTGGGTTATTAATTTTTTATAATTGTAATGTGACAAAGTTGTGTTCCAATCAACAGGTGGACAAAGCAAAATCTAGTGTAGAAATTATAGCTTAAGTTTGAAATTTAGAATTAAACAAAGAAACCCGGTTTAACCCTTTGCGGCACGGTGGGAAGACGTATATCCCACCGAACTATCATTTTTTTCAGTTTTCAAGTTTTTGTAACTTGACTTTTATAATTTTTTATTGAAATTTACTATATTAACATGTTGAGCACTCGATATTTTTACTTTTTAATCGAAAGCTTTTAATGAGTTTTATAATATTAATAAACAAACCGTAAAAAAGGTCATTTGCAAAAAAAAATTCATTATCTTGAAAAGTTTTTGGCGGATTTATATGAAATTTTAGATATAAACGCTTTCAATGTCGCTGATTAAGGATTTGTAATCAGATTTTGAAAAAAGGCTGATCCAATACGGCGGACCGAAGTAGTGAAGCCTATCTATATCAGTATGAAAATGTGTATACGGGGGTTCTCGAGGTCGCTGATTACTATTTTGACATCAGATTTTCGAAATTTAGAACTACGGATCTAAGTAAAAAGAAGTAGAATATAGAGATTTTTACAAAAATTTTATAAAAAACAAAAATTAAAAAAAAAACAAAATTTAAATTTAAAAAATTTTGAAAATGGATATCAAATTTGAAATCAGCGACCCCAAAACATAAAAGGCAACTATCTTTACGAAAATAAGCATATTAGAAAAATGTGTGCTTCAAAGGGTATAAGTGTCATAAGAAGAAAAAAACTAAAGGTTCAATGCAAAAGCTTTTAAAAAGCCGCATAGTAATAAAAACATAAGAAAAAATTATACAACGCAGGAAAAACAATTGTTAGTGACCCATATATAACTCAAATCTGCTCACCTTCAGCAATTCCTGTTGCCGCCGCCTTAGCTCCAGCTTGAGCATCTGCGAGCAAAACGGATAGAGTAGATGTGGGATGGGACATTTAAATAGCTTGCGTGAACACATACCATTCGGAGTAGACGGCGATTCCTCGGTGGGATCTGCGACAGTGGCACTTTCGCCTTCTGGATCGGCGGGGCCATCTGCCAAAGATCTTCCATCGTTGTCGGGTGTCTTAGACTGCCGTTCCTCGGCCTCCTCTTCTTCGGCAGCCTTCTCGGCATTTTCGCGTGCCAATTCTTTTTCAGCTTCGGTAACCTCAGCTTCCTGATCGTCGGGAATAAGGCAAACATCCGACTCTTCGGGCTCTAGCACATTCTCAACAGTGTCTAAAAATTTATATAATGTATAATTAATAATTAAAACCATATTCTTTATCTTAACAGCTTACCATCGCCATGCTCGGCTTCGCCACCTTCCTCTGCTGCTTCTTCAACCTGCTCCGATTCCGCATCGGCTTCCGGATTGTCATCTTCATCGGCGGGAACATCTTTCTCCGTATCGTCTGGATATTGGCCATGGTCCTGCTCCTCTAGACTTGTGTCCACCTCGTCGCGACCTTCTGGTGGTTCAGCATCCTCTGCCAGCTGCGACTCTCCGCCCACGGAATGCATTTCCACGTCGTCGGCCGCCTCCGGTTCATGGGCTGTATCCTCTTCTGCTTCATGATCAGCTTCACCTTCACCGTCATCCACATCCATGGCTTCTGGGGAGGCGGGGCCACCGTCCACCGCATCTGGATCTGCTGCGGCATCGGCAGCAGCTGCCTCCGCCTCCTCCTCCGCAGTGGCTTGGAGCGCATCCGTTTCCTCCTCCGGCTCATCTTGCTCTTCCTGTGGATCTACGCTAACCGCTTCTGTTTGTGGTTGCTCATCCTCATCAGCCTGGTTCTCCTCGGCCTGTTGAGGCTCTTCGGGGGGCGCCACTGCCTCCACGGGGTCTACCTGTGGACTGGCCGCCTTTTCCTGCGACTGGTTGTCATCGGCGTCCAAGGAGCCTTCCGATATTTGCTCAAACTCGTCGTCCGGCTCTTTGGCCGAGTCCACTGGCGGGGGTGCTGTCTCTTGGGCAACTGCATCCTCCGCTGGCGGGGAAGCGGGGGTATCCAGAGTTTCCGGTGCCTGTGGCTGATTTTGATCCTGCTCCTGGTCCTCTTGTCTGGGGGTGGTCGAGTCCGCTCGCGCATTGGAATCGGCGCCGAACGAATCTAGGCTGGATATCTCCTCCATTTCAGTAGTTGCTTTTTAACCGATGCTCGAGATTTGCGGTTGTTTAAACATGAAAACTGCAGAGGAAAACAAACAACAAATGGTTAGGACAACATCTATCGATAAATATCGCTGCGCGTGGACTATCGGCTGGCCAGGGCCTCACACCATTGCCGCCTAAATGTGTACACACACATTCACAGGTTCACCGACGCACACAAACACACGGGCCAACGGTACAGTGCACGAAAAAACAAAACATGCGCCTCCAGAAAAAAAAGGGGGGACAAAAAAAGAGAGGCACTGTGTTTATGTATGCGTCGATTATAAGTCAATTAATATTACTGCACTTGCATTATCTTTCGGCTTCGGATGCACGGCGTTGGCGCCTCTTTTTTAATGTGTATTTATTTGGATATTCCCGAAACCGACGACGTTGGGGCGGCACGAGTGTTGTAGAAAGCGCGTCTGTTGCCGCAAATTAACTGCCTCTCATCGCTGCAGAGGCGGGCACATTATTAACGATCGGCTCACGGTTCGAGCAAAACTTTTCAACAATTCTAAACACCTTTTTGCACTGTGCAATTTTGCGTTTTCTGGCCACTGTGAGTTTTTCGGCTTTATGTGAGTAAAATGGCGCACCAGTGTACCAAATGCGGCCCTCGCATAACGCGTTCGCTTGGCGGTTGGTATATACCGTAATATACCGCGATGTAGGTCCTAAATTATCCCAAATGTATAAGTCAGACGGGTTGACAGTACCCGTTGTTTGACTTTCAAAATTCTTCCTACAATTTTTTTTTATTATTTGCAATTTGCAATTTTTTAAACAGATTTTTATGACTTCATGCATTAGATTGATATGGAAATTCGGTTACGGGCCAACTAAAAACCCCAAAGCAAAAAATATATTATTAAATATTAGATATTTTATTTAGTGATCCCCATCTAAAATCTGAAAATATTTCCCTCTGCATCTAAAAGAACATTGGGAAAATGTTTTATAACCTTGGAAAAGTGAGGAAATTTCGTGGTATTTGTGAAAGTAATTTCGTTAATCTCCTGGTATTGCTTCACTAAATTCATTAGATCTTTCAAGGGCACCAACTCCATCACCAACCAGTGCTGGATCACATAGTTAAAGGCATAAACCTGTAGCTTCATTAGACTTGGTTCCTGGCTGACATCATTGGCTTTATCCATAATTTTCTGCAGGACAAAAGGTGATTAAAGTATGCATGTATTTAATAATTAATATATATAAATTTATAACCAACCTCCATTAAAATCCTCTCCAGATCGAACATGTTGTGCCGAAACGCTAGTTCAAAAGCCGGAAAGATTTCATCTATTGGCCATTCGATCTCCTTCAATTTCTCGGAAAAGGAAAGCAGGAGCTCAGGCATGTTGTAGGCGCAGGACAGAATGAATATATCCCCCACCATACTCAATTGAACCAACGATGAGGTGATCTCAAAGGTATATATAAACTCTAGAAAAAGCTCCACGCTTTCTGGAGAAACTCCATTAATTTGAAGAACACCGTTCCATTGTTTATTTTGATACACATCATGCTCCAGTTTGTCGGAGGCGGTGGCCAGGAAAATCCGGTGGCAGCCGAATTTCTTGTAGCAGACACTGCCCTCCGGATCATCCGAAGGGGCACAGGTACTCAAAACATGTACCTGACAATCGGCATCGACTCCACTGCGAAAGTATTCCAATCGGCGGATTTTACTAGTTAAACGAGTGGGTTCACCCTCTGGGCTCGGGATTTCTCCAAAATTCGATTGCACAGAAGAAGCGTATTCCGATGCCACGGTGGGTCTCGGAACCACGGGAGTAACCCTGGGTTTGAAACTTAGAGGAGAACTACTCTCCTCTTGTGGCTCCTCATTTTCTCCATTCACGTGATCTTCCTCCTCCGCTTCCCAGAAAATATCCGCGGGAGAGTTCTTTTCAATGGTGCTACTCTGGTGGTTTTCGCCGGTGCCCTCTTCCCCAGAGTCTGACATTCCTGCCAGGAAAACCCCAATTTCGTATTTGATTTTGTGTCGTTTAAATAAACAGACCTCCCTAAAAAATCCCCAGTGACTATGAATTGTAAGCTACGTCGCCTGGATCTCCTGCGAAATGCCCAAAAATCGGATTGTGAGCTGCATGTGTGGTATCAGGACAAGGTTAAGGGTGAGCCCTCCCAGAGAATCTTCCGTTGCCACCAGGTGATGCTCATTTCTTCCTCCGAGGAGTTTGAGCGGTTGATAAGGGATACCGAATTTCAGAAGAACAAGGGTGTAATCAAAGTGGATGATGCCTCTCCCTCTGCCTATGAGGCCTTGCTCCTTTATATCTACACCTACGAGGTCTGCAATGCAGTCACCATCGACATGTGTGGCGATCTTATGCTGCTGGCTCAACGGTACAATATGCTGGACTTTTTCGACTGCTATATAGACAAACTGGCCCGTCAGGATTGGCCAATGGAGGTGGTGCTGCAAATATTTAATCTGGCCAGTGAGCACAATCATCTGGCATTAACAGATCTGGTGGCTAAGGTAAGGATGGATTAGGATGGAGTTTAGCTAAAAATGGTGTTAACTTTAAATAGTTTTTTTTAACTTTTAATGACACAGAATTGATCATTAAAAAAAAGTAAAATTAATAATCTTTAAAATTTTAAATATTTATTTATTTAATTTTAGGAAATTAATATAACTAATATAGCTTGAAATCCCTGTTTTTTCCAGAAAATTCTACCCATAGCCACCCAAGTTCTTACAGACAATTCCTTCCTGACGTTAAGCGTAAAGGATCTCAAGGCTTTGATGACAATACTAAAAAAAGAACAAATTCTTTCCGATCTGCAATTGCTTACAGCGCTTCAAAACTACCAGGAGGTAAACAATCTGCGCTACGACAACATGGAGCAGTTCCAGCTCTTTGTGGATGTGACCCACTTGTTTAACGACGTACTCTTCGAAGTCGATGGCACTTTAGTTCTGCCCGTGGAGGAGGAAATAATAATAAGAGAAAACGAGTCGGTTACCTCGGAGGCCGAAAGAAATAGTTTGTAAAACAAAAAGATTACATAGCTAGAGGGATCATTTATTGGAGAGTGGGGAAAAAACAAACAATCGGATTCGGAGCGGCTTACATAATAAATACTATCAATAATATTAATACCCGAAAGGGCCGAGGCCGGTGCAACAAAATAATCTTACAAATCAATCAACGGATGCAGCGGACTGGCAGGGAGTCCTAGGAAGTCGTGGTCATGGGCATGCGCGATTCCAGCGGCACCATCACCACATCGCCATCGATATCCTCGTCAATCACTAAGCTGCTTGGCTTGACGCTCTGGAAGTCTTCGCTGTCCAGCACCACGTCCTCCTCGTCCCCGCTCTCGGAAAGTTCCCCACCCATGCCCATTTTGTAGCCGTTGCTCTGTGGCTCCTCCTGTTTCTTGGCAGGCAGCGATTCTTTCTGCTCCCCCTTCTCTGGCTGAATCGCAGCATCGGCGTTAATCGCCAATCCGGTGGTGTTGGTCTCAAACTTGCAGACGACCGCAATACGAAGATTGACAATCAGTGAGTAGAGCTTCACCGCCGGTCCAACTTTGAGCTTCAGGTACTTGTCCAATTCGTTGCGCCCCAGCATTAGCAGTGCCCTGCCGTCAATGTCCTGATCCATGATTGTCTTGGCAATGTCCGCAGAGTCGAGGGCGCGCTCCACGTACTCGTAAACATCCCAGTTAGTCCAGTGCAGAGGATTGGTGCGTACCTGCTCCAAATCGAATGCGCTGTTCTGCTGCCAGAGGCGATAGTTTTGCAGGAACTGTGGTCCGTATTCCTTGACTATGGACTTGGCTATGGACAGAGAGCGCTGGTCCGGTAACTCCTCGGCGTCGCATTTATGCTCTTTCACAACCTTTTCTTGACGCGGAGACGTCTTCTCCTTTGGCTCATCCTTAACATCGGATTCCAGCTGGGGCTCCTCGGGCTGCGTGCTATCCTTAACGACCTGCTTAGCTTCGGAACTGGGCCGCTTTGGTTTTTTTGCCCAGCCGCGTCGGATCTTTTCGGGCGAGACGCGCGGTGGCTTCACCGTTTTGGAGCGCCACTGGCGCCAGTTTTCCGGCGCATACGGACAGCAATCCCGCAAAGCGTGTACGTTAAGATTGAAGCGCTTGGCATTGCCATAGCCCCGACATCCGTCCACGTCGCAGGGCATCAGGGACTTGGGTTGCAGAAAACCAGGCGGGGTTTCTAGCTCGTGCGAAGTGGCCTCGCACCAGCCGATGGGATGCAAATCCGGACTGTCGTCTTCTAGCCAGAAATAGTACTCCGTCGGCCAGCAGTCCAGGTGGAGTTGAACTCGGTAGCCCTTGCGAGTAACCACAGTGGCCGGGCGGATCAGGCAGGGATTGCGCTGGTCCACCACCTCCAGTTTCATGCGTGGCTGGTACTCCATGGGCTGTCGCGGGTTAAACAGCTCCTTTGAGGCCGCCACTCCGCCCACCTCTGATATGTAGTCCGCCCAGTTGAATACCGACTTCTGGTAATCCGGCGGAACGATCAGCTGCTGGCGACCCTCGTGCCAGCCGCAAGGATGGATGTAAGGTGAGCTGACGTGCACCCACAAGTCGTAGCAGTCGTCCCAGCCATCGAAGTGAACCCTTATACGCTCGTCCAGAATATCCGTAACGGTGGCCACGCAAATCTTGCCCGTGTCGTTTAGGTCTTCCGCCTCGAGGTGCATGCCCACGGCGAACCCGTTCCGAACTCCCATCTGCGGCTGCATGCTCAAGTGCGCAAAGAGGGAGCGCGGAGCCGCCTTGCCACCGGTTTTCACCAGATAGCGGCTCCAGCTGAAGCGCTCCGAGCTGTAGTCCTTGGGCGCCTGCAGTACGCGGGCCGTCTCGTCGCACCATCCAGGCGGAAAGATATCCTGCGAGTCGGCATTCACCCAAAAGTCATACATGGAGGAGTAACCATCAAAGCTAAGCTTCAGACGATAGCCGCGCACCTCGACGATGCTGCACACACAGAACAGCGAGCAGTTCTCCGGATCGATGGCCTCCAGCTTCATCCCACGCTCAAAGCAATTAGGAGTGATAGGAAATGGGTTGAGGAACAGGTGGATGGGCGCTGCCACATCCTTACCCTTAGTCTTGAGGTACTCGCTCCAGCGGAACGGCTTGCGAGCCTTGTCCTTTGGCCGCTGCTGCATCTGTTCTTGGATGGCAGCCAGCGACTTTGATTGAGACTTGTGGTTTCCCTGAGGTTTTTGTGATGGTTCTGGCACTGTTTCAGCTGTTTGCTCCACTTGCGTACGACTAATCTTGCTATCCTTTTGCGAGCTCTGCGGCAGACGACGTTTTTGAGCGCGTCGTACACAACTGACGGAGCAGTAATCTGAAAGAGAACATCATAGTTGACATATAGAGTTTCGAACTCTGCGAAAAGCCAATTTTTACTCACGTGGTGCCAGAAAATCGGCTGCAGGACCGTGACAGTTGCATCGCTGGCACAAGTAGAGCAGCGGATGGATGCTGCCTGAGGGTCTTCGGCCAGGACGATCGAACAGAGCCCGCTCAAAGTATCCTGCTGGTCCTTGGCGCGGTTCACAGCGCTCATTCAGCTGCAGGAGGTTCAAGCGATTCAACTCAAACCGCATCGTAGAGTTTTGCAGGTTGGCCGGCTGCTGGCCGCGCCACTTCAGCATGGTCAGGTTCTGCATCATGCTCTTCCTGAGTACACTAGCCCGACTGCCAACAGATGCTGCCGCCTCATGATCTTGTGACTTTTTTCCGTTCTTTAAGGCTAGACGTGATGGTATGTTATCAGTTAGCTTGGGAGGCGATGCCGTTTCCGAAACCGAAGTAGACGCTCTAGAGGAAGAGGATGGAGGAGAGGAGGAGGACGATTTGGGTGGTGAGGTGGGCACCTGTTCGTCGCAGCGCAATGAGCGCTCAAAGTCCTCCTTGGACAGCGGAAGGGACTCGGCCTTAATGATGCTTATGCCCGGAAGTTGACTGAGTTCTTCCGCGATATTCTTAACTGGCGAGCGAATCTCCTCCACATCGCTGTTGGACGAACTGCCGCTGGCACAGGATGAGATTGTTGTCACACAGGAGTCTTTTCTCACGGGTTTTGGTTTTGCCGCTGATCGACTGGTGGTGGAAATGGTTATGCCTGCGGGCAGAATGGGCATAACGATTTCCTTCTTTGGCGGCTTCTCCTTTTCCCTCTCCCTTTCCTGTTCCTTTTCATCCTCGCTTTCGTCGTCATCTATGGTGATGGTCTCGATGGGAGCACTGGGCTGCTCAATTACATCCACCTCCTTCGCCATAATGGCCACCGAATGTCGTCTCTCGTTGTTTGCAATCGGGGATGATGGCTGAGTAGCCACAAAGGATTTTGAACGCTGCAGCTTGGGGGATTCCTTTTCGACTGCTGGCTGGAGTTTAGGTTTTACGATTGGCTCTGGTTTCTGCAGTGGGGCAGGTTCCTTGGGCTTCTTGGTCTCCTTGGCTGGTCCATTTTTGGTCATTTCTTCCGGTTTCGTAGTGGGTTTAGGCGTGGGTTTGGCCACCTCCTGGTGTGAGTTCGATTTGGCTGCCATAACAGTGGGTGTATCCTGGATTGGTAGAGGAACTACCTTCATTGCTGGTGGTTTAGCTTTAATAAGGCTCTGGTTGTTATTCGTAGGCAGTTCTTCAGTGTTAATGGACATGGCTTTGACGGGAATAACCGCCTTAACTTGGCTGCTATTATTATTGTTATTGTTGTTGTTATTGTTGATTTGGGTAGTCCTGGCCATGTTTTCGCCACTGCTGCTTGGCGGGGGCACTAGTTTCTTGACATGATTGGCCTTGCTGAGCACCGGGGGATTGGGATTATTTTTGAACTGGTTGAACTTCAGACGCAACTTGTCCACCGCCACCTTGCTAAGTATCAATGGAGCACGTGGCTTGAGGGGATTGGCCAGTAAGGAGATTTGCGCTGGACCCGTGCTTGGAATCTGGACTGGTGCTATATAGGTAAACGACAAAAAAGTAAAAATTAGCATTTGACTTTTCTTTAATTAGTCAGCCAAAGGCAATCTTATCCTCCGCTGAACCCCGCCCGCCGATCCACAAAATCTTCTCCTCTTATTGCAAGTTGCAAAAACCTGATCGTCATCATCATTGTCGTTTGTGTTTTTTATTTATTTTTTCTTGCTGCTGTTGCTGCTACCCCGCCTTTTGCATATTGCTATTGATAAAACCAGCATATATAGAGAAGAGTAATAAATGTATTTCGTACTTTCGTTTTTCAATCGGTGTCGGTGTTCCCATTACGGAATGTAACTATCTTAAATGATTGAATTTATATCTGAAAATCGGCACACGCACACAAACCCTATTAATTCGGCTCGTTTGAAATCGTTTTTGGTGTTATGAAATGTGCAGCAGTCGAAGAGCAACTAAAAACTAAACCCGCAGCAATGCGAGCAACGAAAGTAAACTATAAAGATTGCCCCGCACACACAGACACACACACACACACACACACATATATTCGCACTCGAGCACTGTCCATTTTCCATTTTCCGGATTACCTTTCGATTCGGGATCCATTGAGAATCCTATTTTGGGATCGGGGGGTCTAACTTATATAATGTGGGTCGGGGGAAACCCTACTCACCCGCTTGTATTTTCTTTGGAAGCTCTGTTTTGTTAAGCAGTGTAATTGGCGCTCCTGCTCCTGCAGCACCACCTGCTCCCGATCCTCCTGCTCCAGCTGGCGTCATGGTGGCTATGCCATTGCTGTGGATAGTCAGACTATTTTTGTTCAAAGGCGTCCCAGAACGTATCACCACTGGCTGGGGACTGGGTGCAGGTCCTCCTAACAAATTGGTCTTGCGATTGGGTGCAAGTATGGCCACCAAAGGCTGGCTGGGGTTACTGGCCGAAGGAACTAACTGGAAAAATGGAGCAGTTCCTGCGCTGGGTGCCGATCCTGTCGGGTTTTTTAGTGAACCCGGAACAATGTTCACCGTCGTCAGTTTGGTTTTCATCGGCTGGACATTGCTGATGGTGATGTTGCAGGTCTTGTTTGATCCCATGGATGCGAGAGGCAAAAATCGGAGTTCCTCCTTACGAGGAGCCAGGGTCAGGAGACTACTGCCATTTCCGCCGGAGACGGAGACGCCTCCAGAACCATTGGTTGTTCCTCCTCCGTTCGTTGGCGATACCGAGATGGCCGAATCCCTCTGGATTTGCTTAGCCTCCGCCGTGGCCATCGACATTGGCAGCATTGGTGTCTTTTATCTTTCAAATATGTTTTCTTTATATTCCCTAACGGAATTCAGCACACTTTAACTAATAAAAAAGCAACGTTAATTCTTCCCCGTTCTCGCGTCTTTACAATTTTTGTACGTTGAGGCGCACAAAAGTTTTTGGCATTTTACACTCTGCACTGAATTTAGTATTTTTTTTATTCCTGTTTTGCACTTCTGTTATTATTGTTATTCAAAAATTTTTTGTCTGCCTTTTAATTATTATTTTCCTCTTTGGCACTCACTTGTTACATTTTCGCAATACAACGTATATTGAAGTTTTCAAATAAAAGTTATTGTTTTCGCGCGTTTATTTGCACTCATTGTATGTATTTATCGACTTTGGTATTATTTAATGATGGTATTATTTAATGATTAGGATGGCGATTTTCTTTTAAATGTTTACGGTTATTTTTGTTTTTGATTTGACCTGTTAGGGGTTGAAAAGGGTTTAGATTAAATATATATTCTTAACATTAACTAAGTTTATGATTAAGTTAACAATTTCCGCTTCTTAAATGAACCAAATCCTTTGTAAATTTTGTTGATGTTCGTGAAACATTTGAACTCTTTTTAAATGTCCTCTCTCAAAACTGTTAATTAAACTTTAACTAATAACTTCTACATAAATTTGCAAATCATTTTTATTGCTAGATCTGTTTTGTTAAAGACATCTTCCGACGAATTCCCCGCGGCCTTTTGTCATCATCCCCTTAGCCAACTACGGTCACACTGGATACATATTGAATTTTGATACCATTTTTAGTTATGCTGCCCAAAGATTTTTTGTTATCTCAAAAATGACCTGTCCCTATTTATAGCCCATTTGTAGTTATATCCCTCATTTATGGTTTTATGTATGAACTAAAATTGCGAACCTAAATCGGATCTTCCTTGCCGACGTTACGTAGTGCTCCCAATGTCACAAGAACATAAACGTCTTATCTGGGTTTGGAAGAACTGGCAGGGATTTTAGCAAGAACTAAATGGCTTTTGGCCTTAATTTTTTCATTTCTAGAAAGCCTACACCTTTGTTTCGCCGAATCCAACTGATTACTTACCTTTAATAAATTCCGTTTTGCCCGCGGAGCGTAGCGAAATGTGCAGCCTCAAAGGAGGCGGAAACCAGGATACTGGGATGATGTTCGAAGAGAGCTCACTAATAAAATGACAAACAATTAGATAAGGATACAGGTAAAACCTAAAATTATGCTTTCAAACGCTTACCTGCTTTTTCCGTTTGATTGAACGGCGGATTGTTGTTGCGAGGGTGTTAAATGCGTTCGACCTCGTACAATTGTGGCAAACTGGGTACGAAGATGAATACGCACTGAAATCTTCTTAAAATCGACACAGTTGTGGACCACTGTTCTTAAGTTTTGTTAACAAGAAACTCGGCTCCAAGTCGGGGAAATCCGAACTCCTTTAAAAACGGAAGCGTTCTGTCCAGCGATATTAAAAACTGCAAAAGCATGTGTGTATTTTAATTTCTATGATCGAACGACTAAGGTGGCAACTCTGGCCCCGAATTGTGTGCGCCTGTTGTCGGTTATTTTGAAAAGGCGGAAATAAACCTACTCAAGCTGCTTTGTTTCACTTTGGATTTTTCTTGTTAAATACCTTTTCTAAAACGAACTTCTGATTGTTACATATTTTGCGTAAACAAACTTTCGGGTCGGCTATAATCTATAATCTCTAAGGCACAACCAAAAATAGCTTGAAGTGGAATAAGGAAAAAATTTATTCACAGAACTTACAAAAGGAAAGGATTTTTCAAACACATTTAAAAACTTTTAAGTAAATAAACTTACTGTACTGTTATCTTTATAGTATTTGTTTAATGTCTAATAATTGCAACTGCTTCTTCTTTCTTATAAAACGTCTTCTAGTGCTGGAAAGTGCCGGCCTTTTCAAACAACGGCAGCGCCTGCAACCAGTGTTGCTTATCGTCGCATAGCCCAAAGTGGTAGTTTTTCTTTTTCCGTGTCAATTTTTAAGTGAAAATTTAGCGAAAGTTTACTGAATAAAAGTTATAATCGACAGAAAGGACCTTTAAATATAGCCAGCCATGTCCCTGTTAAATAACGATGACAGCATTCCTAATATGGATGAAGATCCGCAGGGTGAGTGAAATTTTTTTTGTAGGTGGGCGAGTCCCAAATGATGATGTTATCAATTATTATTCCTTGAAAAAAAACAGTGGTTATTCAGGACGACGAACCCTCGGCGACGGGGCACATGCCCAATGGAAGATCGATGGACTCACTGCGCTCCTCCTTCACCAACAGGAGCTCCACGCCGGACTCTTCGCACAATTCACTGGAGGCCATGGAAATGGCACAGGACGATAGGGAGGAAAAGGCCCGGCTTATCACGCAGGTCCTGGAACTCCAAAATACCCTAGATGATCTGTCGCAACGAGTCGATTCCGTCAAGGAGGAGAATCTCAAGCTACGCTCTGAAAACCAAGTGCTGGGCCAGTACATCGAGAACCTGATGTCTGCGTCCTCGGTGTTCCAGTCCACGAGTCCCAATGCCGCGAAGAAGAAGTAGTCCTCCGTGCTCCGGAAGTGGAAACCAAAAACCATCTCAAATATGCCTTCTCGTTCACGCTAGAGCTACATATATTTTAATCTTAAACAATCGAAATTAAGCTATTGCAATGTTGTTTCCGTTGCCCAAACGTCGAATTTGTCTTTATTTAGGCTTAAGCTTATGGCGCGCTATGTATTTTATACATTACATAAAAGTAATTTATTTATATAGATAATTAATAAATCAATACCACCCCCTCGCAATTAAAGATTTCAAAAAGATAATGGCTGGCAACTCTGATAAGACAGCTATTTGTAACAGTCGTTCAAAAACCAATTCAGCTGCAGCATTCTTTTTAGTTTCATTTTTCTATATATAAAAGCTGTTATTGTAGAGATAGCTTATAAGTCAGCATTATCCAGCGTTAGGGCAATCTAAAAGCAAGGGCTGCCACCTATGCTACAGCATGGCAACCCTGCTCCACCAGCTGTTCGCTGTGGTCGTGCAACAACAAATTCAGCAGCGAGCTGGAAGTTCTATTTTCGTATTCGGAAAACGTAGAAAGCGTGTTAAAATCGTAGGCACCGAAAATTGTCGAAAACTGCTGTGAAATCCTGAAAAAAACGAAGAAACTGATCGCTGGATTGCTCATAAACAACTTAACCAGGAAGAAAAGTGATTGCGAAATACGCTGCAAAAGGTGTGTGTGTGTGCGCCAGTGCATTGTGTGTGTGGGCAAAACAAAACATTTGCGTTGTTGTTTTTTCCTGTATAGTATTTATATTTAAGTGCAAAATTTCAATTTTTGTGTCTGTTAAAGGAAAACAAACTCTTAGCTCGCCTTTCTTTGTGTTTAAAATCTCGCCCCCCTCCCGCTCGATCTTATGAAAAAGCAACAACAATCCCGACAGCGGCCAGTGTTGTAAATCGACCCACACACACATACACGCTGCATTTATTATTTTTTAATATGCACCTTATTTTGAATGCCACCGCCCACTCCGCCCCTTGCCCGCACCACCCACGCATTTGCGTCAACAGAGGAAGCCAGACGTCATAATCGCATCACTCGGAAACGCAGCCGACGTCCACATTTTATGGCGGAAGCAGCAGCCGTCAATCTGTTTATCAAAGGACAACTTTAAAGGTTCACCCAATCCGCGCCAGCAACGGCAGCCAGCCAACATGTTTTGACCTCCCACTTGGCACAGCTGGAGCGCCTGCTGCTCTTCTCTGTTTCCCCTGCCATTTCGTCATCCATTTCTGGGCAACCCAAACTTCATAGCAAACAAACCACTCACTCACTCATCCGCCTGGCCCAACCATGTCCTTCTCCGACTTTGATGCTATTTACGAGGATGAGCAGCTCGACGATCTGGAGCACTTCCAGGATCAAACGGTCGCGCCGGTTCAGGAGCCTATCATTATTCGCGGCGCGGGAAACATGACGGTGTAAGTACATAGGTCTGCGATACGGCATAAGCGATAAGGCGAAGAACTGAAAACCCACAGAGATAGAGTAGTTTGTACTTCGTAACCTAACTCCATTCAGAAAGACAGTTATCTCCACTTTACATATATCAGTAAGAAGTAATACAGTTGAGGTTAATGTACAACACTATTGATAGATAAAGTTTTAAATAATTATTTTAGTTTATATCAGAACTTGGTAGCATTGTTGTTTTGTATTTCCAACTGAAAGGAGGCATTGAGAACATGATGGTAATGATAACATTTAATTTAGCTTTTTTAGGAACCATTAAAAAATCAAGTAGATAAAGAGAATTATAATAGGGACTCTTGATATCAATGTTCAATATTTATTAGCAGCTGTGAAAACAACATTATTTTCAATAATACTGCTCGGCACCCAAATAAAATGTAGTTCAAGGTAACTGCCGCCTAATTTCGGCATAGGTGCTTGCTATTGATACCACTTGACCCCTTTTTTTTGTTAGGTGGCGTTGGTGCTGTCAATTACAGGTTGCATAAGAGATGAGTCAGGGCATAATATTTGCACCGCTTGATAATTACCTTTACTAATTTACTTGATTTCCCATACACGCTCACAGATTTGGCTTAAGCAATCGCTTCAACGCGGAGTTCCCCTGCGGTTTGCTGTCCCGCGTGGCTCCAGAAGAATTCAAGGCGACGGTGGGCCGGATTAACGGAGTGCTAAAGAAATCCCTACCCGTCAACGTTAAGTGGCTTTTTTGCGGCTGTGTTTGTTGTTGCTGCACTCTCGGCTGTTCCCTCTGGCCCGTCATTTGTCTCAGCAAACGCGTAAGATTAAAATTTATCTGAATACGCCGTTATGGTCACGTAATCGGAAATTAATTCCTCTTGCAGACACAACTTACCCTAGACAAGCTGTTTGAATGGGAGAATAATCATCTATATCATAAGCTGGGCCTGCACTGGCGACTGCATAAGCAACAATGTGATTCCAATTCCATGATGGAGTATGTTATTTTAATTGAATTTATACCCAAAACGCCAATCTATCGACCCGACTAAATGCCGAATGGAGAAGGGTGGGTCGTGGGCGCGTTAACGCTGGGTAATTGTAATTGTAAAATAAACACTAGCTGCTAACACTTTGCTTTAGGCGATTACGGATCGTGCAAATCTGCGGAGATAGGAGTACACTAATCCATAGGTCAGGCAGGCAAGCACAGCACACAATGGGCATTACCTAATTAGTGCACTCGCAGATTGTCATTTTAAGCTAGTACTATTTAATGTTTAGTTTAAAACTAATTTTTGCAAAAATACTAGCTAGTAAGATTGTTTTTTCGTAACTTTAGGGCGCTTCACCCTGATTATTGATTTCGTTTAGTTGTAAATTCAAATTTGTGTTTTAAAACTAATGCAATATTAAATACATTTCTTGATAGGAAATTTAATTGATTTTACAAACTATGTGTTTTTTTGTAAGGGTAAATTTCCACTACCAATCTTTACTAAAAATAAATGTTCTTTTGTTATTGTACAAGGTACATATATATTTTGATATATATAATATGGTTACCTAAGTATTTTGTGGTTTTAATAACTTTACAGCACTTTAGGGCATAGACGGTCGATGAACAATAAATACAGTAGTTTACTTTAGGTTTCATTTATGTATTAATGCTTAAATATAATCAAGTCTTTTAACAATGCGCGGGTTCTGGCTCTAGGAATATATATAGGATATAGCTTAAGGAATGTGGTTGGAATGAATCGGTATTAACAATGGTGTTTGCCTTGAAGGGATAATACTTAGAAATGGGAAGGAATGTTGGGGAGAAGCCTACTGCTCTTCCCCGAGGATTTCCACCTGGTTGGAGCACTCAGACATGGCTAGCGTTGACATTTCCAAGTCGCTATCGTTGCCCAGGTTTTCTTCATCATCTTCATCTTCCTCCTCGCCATCCTCCTCTTCATCGTTTTCGTCCTCATCGTCTAGTTCATGATCTTCATCTTCAGGCTCCCCAATAGTTTCCTCAACTTCATCATCAGCTTCCCCATCTCCCACCAAGTTTTCCTCTTCGCTTTCGGGAGCTTTCAGCTCTGTTTCCGGCTCAAACGGCATCTGAGTTTCGGGAATGTCCCTGTTCTTAGGCTCTGTCTCGGTTTTAGCTGCCTCGGTATTTTCGTTAACCAGCTCTCTTGCTGTTTTTAGCAACGCATTCGTTTGCCTTCGCAGTGCCTGCATTACTATCGTGTCCTGTTTCATCTGGAACTCATGCTCCCGTCGCGCGATCTCCTTTTGCTGCATGAAAAAGTCTTGCAGCATCTCTTTTTGAGCCGATCGCATAGCAGTGGCCAGTTGAGTGAGCTCCTTGGCGAACATCTCCTCCTTGCGCTTCATACGCTGCTTTGTCTCCTCCTCGCTCGTTTTCTTTTTACTTTCCTCCCCCATCACAGAGTGAGATCGAATTCCCTTCGGCGTTGATTCGTACAAATTGGAGCTGCGCTGTAGCTTCACGGGCACAGGCATGCCCATGACCGGACTCTGTCCCATCCGACGCTTTCGCGACTGAAGCTGCTGATGCTGCATCGGGGTCAACTGGTGGGAGGACATCATGTGGGCCTGTCTGCTGGTGGAGGCGCCTGTCTGTTGCCCGGACATCGGGTATTTCGGCGGCGGTCCCCGGCCCAAGAGGGCAGCCATCGTAGACGGCGACTGCGGTGGACTGGTCATCGATTGTTCCAGATCAGGGATCATGCGCTCCGGTCGCAGCGAGTAGCCCGTATCCCTCATCGGCACCGTCTTCATGCGCATGCCCGTCGGCTGGACACTGACGTCCCTAGGCAAACGCAATCCGGATTGGCTGCTATTCGGATTCTGCTTGCGGGGCAACATCAGCTTGCTATGCGGATGCACAAAGTTGATGCTACTAGTGCTCGGCAGCGGCAGGGATCGGCCCATCTGTCCCGGACTGGGCAGCTGTTGTCCCATCTTGGAAAGCGACGGCGGCGGGCGATCGATCTGCAAAATGCCATGGGTGGGTCGCCGCAGATCGTCCTTGGCAAAGGAGGCTACGCGCAGGGGAGGGGGAACCGCTGGAGTGGACGAGTAAGCCGAATCATCGTCGGTCTCGTCCAACGCCATTGGAGGCGGTGAGGGCGAGGCTGGCGCTGTAGGCGGCGGTGTATTTGTTGTGTCCATGCCGAGGTCCATGTCGGGTTCGTGCTTCACGGAAACTATGAACGGCATGTGTGGCATGTCCTCCTGATCCTGATTGTCGGCGTGTGAGCTTTCAGCCTCGTAGTCAAACGACTCCATATCAGGTTCGGATACCAAGTCCGGCTTCTGAGACGTTTCATAGCCTAAAATGCATATGTAATACATAATATGTAAGTATTAAATTATGTATTTGTCAAATTATAATGCTCTGTGAAATCAAATAAAATCAAATTGTCTAATTTCCCACTGACCGCATAGGGCATTCAAAAAAAAAAAAAAAAAAACACATAATGTTTAGAACTCTTTTATTGCCATTTTTAGCATTATCGGATATCATTTTTATTTACTTGGAAATCTCGCATGTACCGCAATTAATTTTATAGAAATTATATCACTGATGGTAAATTATCACTTTTTCAATTAATGGGTCATAATGGAAACAATTTTCCTAATGAATGCATTTTGCATTCCTTAAATTCCAAATTTATTTACAAACCAGATACCGGATACGTACCCGTAAGCGAATTTATATTTTTAGATAATCAAAGTTTGAATCGACAACGTGACTCACCTGTATCGATTGGCTCCGGTTTTATGGGTCCCAGTCGGAAGCCGAAGATCGGATGTTCCACGCCCAGGATGTCCTCCTTGGCTTCCTCGCCGGTCGTCTTGGAGCTATCCATTGAGTTTCCGCATTCGCTAAGACTGCCGTTGACATTGCCGCTGCTGCCGCCATGATTCGTGTCCCTTAGCATTCGGCAGAGCACCCGGTAGACCTCCTCGGGCACAACCTTGGGCACTCCCGTTCCGTGGCGCGTTGTCGTGTTGTACGTCGACTTAAGGAACTTCCACTTGGTCCAGATTTGCATGCTGGACTTTTTCACGTAGCCCTTGCTGCGCATCACCTCCTCGATCTGCCGGAAAACGTACTCGCTCTTCACGTTACGGTCGTTTAGCTGCTCCAGGGCGTTAACGTTCTGCATGATGTTTAGCATCTCCAGCATTTCCGCCCGGCTCCACAGGTTGCGTTCCGGACGAGAGTTTGAACTCAGGGATTCAGACTTGACGGAGCTGCCAGCTGAGTAGGGTGGCGACAAGTGCGCCTTAATGCGCATGGGCGTCAGTAGTCCGTCGACATCGCCCACCACTCCATTGCCCGTGGATGCGGTCTGCAGAAGGTGGTTGATGTCCTGCCCGCTCGGATGGCTCGGGATGTGACCTTGGCTCTGACGCATGTTGTGCTCCACTTTGCTCAGCAGTCGCATCTTCGTGTGGGCAGCCACTGTCGTCGGCGGCGACGAGGAGGAGCTGGAGCTGGGCGCTCCTGCAGGTCCGTGACTGCCAGACGACGGTGAGCTATCGTTCAGGCCCAGATAACGTGGCATTAACATGGATGTTTTGTTGATGGCGCAATCCTCGGAACCTGGAGTAACTGCACCTGTTAGAAATAAGCAGTCGAATATTTCAATATTAGTTTGGAAAAAAAGTTTTTAAAACTGAACCAATATTGAATAACTTTTTGACACCAAAAGTTTTGGAAAACTTGCAAACATAAAATGTATGGCCTGAGAATGTGACACTTGTGGTTTCAAAACTGAATCACTACCACTTACATAACCCACTGTTCTTTATGCCAAGTTTAATTTAAACTTATAACAGGTGTTTTAACGTTTGTACAAACATTAATATTCGAACACAAAACTTTTTTCTTTCCACCAATATGCATTTCAACTTAAATTTATAAAAAGATTTTCTATTGTTCACCCAGGGAAAACATCTACTTGCTTTGTGTACTTTAACCTACTCAATATCAACATTCCAGCTTGTTGGCTTTGTGCCAAAGGAAAAAATCCAGTTTTGGATTTTTTTGTCAAAAGTAACTATCTTCGATTCGGCTATCTTTCGGTTTTCGTCTTCAGAATCCACCACCAACTTAATATTTACTTCCATATACACATTTGTTTGTGTGAAGTTGACGTGTTTCCAACTATTTAACACATTCCAAAACCTATCAAAAGTGGCAACTCACCGACACGCTCGCCAGTGAGAAAATACACGAAAACGAAAAGAGCTTACAAATCTAAACCGAGGAAATATATATATTTTTTATCGATTTTGATTATTTCAAAACGAATAATGGCCGCAAAGAAAAACGTAAAAAACACTCTCCCGCATACAGATACATTCGTAAAGTCAAGCGAGGCAAGTGGAACACACTCAATAACAGAACATTTTCGAGATAGTGATTTCCAAATGCAAGTAAACAAGATAGCGTTTAATATAGCGTTGAAATACGTTTTTTAGAAGGCGATTACGTATCTTACACTTATGAGTATACGCAAGAAAAGAGTAAACAATGAATGAAATTATGCGAAAGTGGCGGGATGAAACTAGAATTGAATCTCAAATTTTGAGTAATTCTCTAGCGACTCAAGATTGGCACAGTGGTCGGGGTAGCTTAAAATCGAATATTACTATAAAGTAAGCTTAGATTTCAAAAATGGGTTCCAACATCTCGTGGGATGAACTAATAAATTCCGGAATTGCACTCTAACCACGGACGGAAATGTAATTGCCAACTTAATTTAAATCGCCTGCGGGCACTGTAATGCAAAAGATACGATAATAAGCTGTTGGCGGGAGGGCAGGGGGATTAGAAGGAGACAGAGAGAGTTGCGAGAGAGCGGCGTGGCGAGAGAGTAAGCCAATTCTTTTCGGCTTTAGCACTCTCTTTCTCTCTCTCGTCTCAGCTCGGTTCACCAACACACTGCCACTCACGAATTTACGCTTATTATGTGTTGAGAATTTTTCAAGAAAAAGAACAAAACGTAACCGTTAAGTTTTCCTCAATATTAAAAATTGTCCATTGACAAGCGGTTCACACAATTTGAGCTAATCAGTTAAATGTCCCCGCTGATATTTTAATGCACATGCCAGCCAACAAGCTTTAAATAAATCGACTTAAACATTTAACTATTTCTAAAGCAGAGCAACACCTTGCACACCGACACACACACACAGGCACTTACCAGCAGCAGGAGCACGAAAGAGAGTAAAAGAGAGCGTTTTCAAGTGTTTTCAAGCGTCGAAAAAGCAAACCGTCGCCGTTAACGACGATTTCAATACTGTTTCATATTTCAATACTACAACTCGAAAAAGCGACGAACGGGCCTACAAAAACCCAACTATATACACATGCAAGTATACGGCCACCTGGGGCTGTGTGCGTGTGCGCTTCGGCGTTATATATATTCGGAAGGTACAAATAATGGTTATGGTCGCTAGTTGTTTTTGAGATTGCGAGAGATTGCCGGAGAGACAGTTGCCTATTATTTTTTATTTTCGCTTTTTCTTCTTTCGCTGCCATTTACGTTTTTTATTTCGCTCTTTTTTTTAAGAACGGGGTTATTTCGGGGAATATATAAATTTATGGGTTCGTGCACACACACTCACACAGAAAGCTACAGTTTTAATGTAGTATACACATGTTGAAATCGGTTATAATGATTTTTCAAGTTCTGTTTTTTGTTTGTTTCAATGACTATGAACCGTGATAATATGAAAATATGAGCGGAAGTTTTAGAAAACATATTTACATATCTTTAATCTTGCAGTTTAAAGATAAAAATTATTTTTATCTAAAGAAAAATGGAAAGTTTGTTTAGTTAGAATTATATTGCTTTTTAAAGAAGCTGATCAGAAATTAGTCAACTTTAAACACGGTTTTAAACCAGTTCAATAACTGATTAACATATGTTCGTACATATTTGTATAGATACTTACGTATCTTAAATTAACAAATGATTGCTTGGCACGCTCAATATAATCTACCAAAGTGAACATAAGCTTTTGCGCTTGACTGTAAAAACATACGTTTTGTATAATGAACCAAGATATCAAATTTCCTTCAGCGTAATGATATCATATTTCAATGTACATGCCGTCGAGTTTCCACTGTATAACCGATACGCAAAGCTAAATGAGATATCGGTTTAGCCCTTTGGGTAAATATTGTTTTGTGGAATCCTTTTGACAGGTGAAAAACTACCCTTTTACGGCAAATTACATAAATATATACAACAGTAGTATATAGATGACCTGCTGAATACTTGTTGAAAAATATTTCCATTCAGCCGAGCTTCCTTAAAGATTCGGGGTGGCAGATGCTGAGAATGAGTATCTCGTATTGTATTTGAAAGCCATGTGCTGAAGTCGAAACTAGATTTACAAGTATTGAGCGAACCGAATAGAGCGATGCGGATGCGGGGGGATTTCGAGTTTCGAACTCGAAGCAGTGCCAGAACAGGAAACTTGAACTTTGCAACATGGATGAGCAAAAGAGGCGCTGGGAAAAAGGCGGAAAACCTTTTTTCACATCTGCAATAATTACGCATTGCACGAGAAAAAGACAGAAAAGCCATTCGATTTATCTGCATTATAATAAGTACATACATGTTCATGAGTACGTACATATGTATATATATAAATGAGTGAAATCAAGGCAAACACTTGCTAGTGCGTTGCAATGAGAAATAAATACATGTGTTTTAAGCTGCATATTATCAAACATTGGAAAAATAGATATGTACATACAAACATACATATGTTTGTTTAATAAAACACAGTTCAGTTTATATAAAATTAGCTCTGTATATTCAGAAGTACTAACATACATATGCAGACTAAATTTTTTTATCCAGAAAGTATACATATGTATGTACATAATAGTTTTTACAAACTAAGTGCAACTTTGTTTCAGAAATTAATAATTAATTTAGAGTATTGACATTTGTCGCTTTAGAAGCCATCTGCTTCGATCTCAAGCGGTGAAAAACACCATTGGAGTTTGTTCTTTGGAGAGGGCGAATCCTGACGTTCAGGAGAACATGGTGATAGAGTGATTATTTTGTTCGATTCACTGCAGTTCTGTGCTTTAACAATTTTTCTTCTCAGCAAACAAAATACAGCAATGAGCGATTTACTTAGAACCGAATATTTCAAATGTTTGACTAGTTCTTTCTTAAATGCATTTTTTACTTAAAAAATATATATTTTTCGGATTAACATTAAACATTAAAATGCCTAAGTCAACACTTTTAAATTTGTTCATGAATTTCAGTTGCTCAATTTAAATATTTGGTAACGGTGTAATATCGATAAGTGAGTTGCCATCGAAATTACCGGCCTTATGCAGCACTGGTTGAGACCTGCCTAAAGTTGTGCACCCCTCGCAAAAAGTGGGCATGTCGGTGTCTCCCGTAAAACGAGCAAAAGTCGGCCCCAGCGACTGTTTGTCGTACCTGCAGGTGAGTTTGATACTCATAGGGTTAAAAATCCTAACGATATTTTGCTTTTCAGAGCCTGGGAGATGTTCGACCGGAAGACGCCGCCCTGCAGTTGGCCCAGCGAATTCGGGCGGAGGAGGAGGAGGCGGCGCAGGCGGACACGTGCGGCGGCGCCAACCAAGCCGCCCTCAACATTAGTTTCCGGGTGTACTACCACATAGTGCACAAGTACGATGTGAACGACTCGTACTTCGAAGATCTCCCTCGGCGTTTGACCTGTAAACAACCCACTGCCTTTTTGATGCTCCAATCTGTGCTCTTAACTGATCATTGGAAGCGACTTGATGCTGAGTTGCTGGAGGAGAAGTGCACCACTGCCATAATTGAGTCTCTGCGACAAAACAATCCCAGTTTGATGGCCGTTCTTAAGGCTACAAACCTGCTGGTGAAGAAGTTTCCCAAGCTGGAACTACTTCCCCTTCGTTTGGAGCACTTTTATCATTGTCTGCAGCGTCAGACGCAAACGGGCTCCCGCGAGGAAACCCTAACGCTTTACAATCACTGCTGTAAACAGCCGAAACGTGCGTTCTCCTACTTCCGGCTTATTGTTGAGTTCTGGCCGTGGACGAATCGAAACAAGTACTACTTGCTGAGCGGCGCCCTTAACTCACATCAGCTTCCCGATCTTCTGGCAGCCACGAACCAAACCGAAGAGGAGTTTTTAAATGGACTCCGACTTAGCTTGAGTTATAAGGGTCTCCGAGCAGCTAGCCAATATCCGGTGAAAAGCTTGAGCAACCAACGTTCACCAGCTTTACTTACCGCCAGTGTGGAACTGCTGTTGAATGGCAGCGTGGCGGAGATCCAAAACTTTCATTCCCAGTGGTTTCTTCGAATCCAGCAACGCGATGTGCTGTTTGAACTTCTACAAGCCAATCCGCAGATCGTTGAATTTTTGGCCTGCTCCGAGGAACTAAGGTCACCTGGCGACCAGTTAAGACTGATACTGATATTTAGCATGTTTGCCAAAGAGATATATTCTGCTTCAATGTTGCACTTTTTCAAGATCAGCACAGAGCTGCTGACCAACTGCCGTCAAATGGAGACGGAGGCACAGCTGTTAGTGTTCCGGTTTCTGGTAGACAACCTGGGGAACTTTGCTGTAGAAGACTGCCTGGAATTTTTTCACAGCTTTGTCGAGCGCCATCGCAGCGTAGAAAGCTCAGAGTTTCGAAACACGATGCTGGGCAAAATGCCCACAATAATCAACCACACGGCAAAGCATTTCCACAAAGTGCTTAAAGCGGACAGTGGAGTAGGTGGCGATGCCTTGGCGCAGAATATCAAGCGATTCTTTTCACACCTACAGAACCTGATAGAGCGGGATATCCACAGCGAGGTGTATCAACCCAAGATCTTCGCCTTGAAGCTACTGGAGATTTTAAACAAGTCTTTATATGCCAAACAAGTTGCTAAGAATGCAAAAATGTGCAGTCCGCAGCAGAATCAGCGAATGGGGTTATTTCTTTTAGAGCACGGAGTCTTTCGGCCAAAGGATATGGCGCAACAACTTTTTGAAACCCTTAACAATCCTCAGGGTTTCGATGATGCTTTGGAACTGACAGTTTCTCTTTTGACTCAATTGGGCCATGTGGACAGCGAATTGTGTGTGGAGCGTTGTTTGGGACTTTGTATCACATCTGATGTGGACGAATGCTCACTGGTTTCGCTCTACGCCCAGTTAGCAGTTACAAAGAAAGAATCTGGCAAGAAAATATTTACCGAATGTTTAAACCGGTTGTTGGACAAAGTGGATACCTTCTTGAACGATCCATTGCAAACGGCCAAGAACGGCGGTAATCTTTTTGGCTATCTTCGCGGAGTAGACGAGGTTGTCAAAGCCGGAGTTCCCGTGAATTCCCCACTGGATGACTTGCTGCCACTGTTAGAGCGAATACTCAACGGTATCCTGAAGTGCCTCAACTTGGCTAACGCTCGAAAACAACAGGAGGCAGCCGCGGCAGCCAGTTTTCAGGACATGGACGAGAGTCTACAGTTGCTGGTTAGCGAGAGTTCCTTCAAGTCCGATGGAGAGGAGGAGGCGTGTCGAAAGTACTTACTTATGAGTTTCTGGCTGACTCTAAAGGTTAGTAAAATTAATTAGTGAGTGAATGAAAGTAACTGTTATACGATTTACAGGGTTGCTGTGATCTAGCCACTAGCATTGGGTGCTCTCTACTGCAAACAGATGGGAAAAAAGTAAATTCTGAAGCTCTTCGTCGTTGCCTCGACATCAATGTGTCCGTTTTAACGCTCTGCCGGCACAAAGGAGCTATCGAGGCGGCCGGGTTGAGTATAGGCAGACTCACCCGTGCAATAACCAGCAGTTTAGAGAGCGACGATGCCTGTTTCCAGATGTTGCACGATTGCTTGGAACGCGAGTTGTTGACTGAGAGCCGCCAGGTGAGCACCACACGTCGTGGTGCCGGCTTCGCCATAATGTTTCTACATGTGCTGAAAAACGACAATCCACGGCAGCGACTGCTACTGCATCGAGCTGTGCAGCAAATTCTTCAGAGGCTAAACGGACATCGTTCCGAGGAGAGTATTTCGTTGGATAGCAATCACGATCGTTGGGAGGCATTGGTGCTGCATTACCTTTGCGTTCTTGTGCGCGACACCGAACTGAGGCCAGCAATGAGCAAGTACTACAATGAGATCCTGCTAGTGGCCATGGAGCACATTGACAACCCTGAGTGGACCATCTCGAATGCGGCGTTGCAACTCTTTGGCGCCAATCTGGGAAAACTGGTGGGCCAGCGTCAGGCCACGGAGTTCGAAACTCGTCCCGCTTGGGAGCCCAGTGAACTGGACTACGACGAGCTGGGATGCCTGCTGCCGAAGGCCTGCGAGCATATGTTGGAATGCTGTGACCGCCAGGAGGTTACCTCTTCTATCATACTCTTTTTGGCCTTCCTTTCCAAGGTGGAGCATCTGCGCACTTCGGGTAGCGGAGAGCCAAATCCCCTGCTTCTTCGATTCCGTCGGTTAAGCTGGCGTTTGCTGCGGCACAAGTGCGATCAAGTGCGTCAACTGGCAGCCACTTGTTTTGTGCGCTCACACGAGTTCCGCTGCGATCTGCCAGCGGCGCTGCTGGTCAGTGCGAAATTGGCGGCAAATCTTGACGAGGAGAACTTTTACGAGGGACTCATTTACACCCTGACTTCAGGTGTGTTGAAACTTAAACACGAAGCCCGACATGTTTGGAACGAGGGTCGTTTGGAAAATTTTTTCGACGAACTGCTCACGTCGTTGAACGTCACGGAACAAGTGAGTCGGTTTAAGCCATACACCCTGAACGTGCTGCTTGAACTGCTGAAGTTGCTGGGAAGCACGGATAAATCGACTCTCGTGGAGTCACTCGCCTCCCACTAGCTAAATTAGTTTTATCTTATCTAATATTAAGCCAAAAAGTAATCTTTTCTTGTCAACGCTTTTACAACTATTCAAATGACGCATTTTATGTTTGTACGCAGTAAACGAAACGAAAGTATCTACCAAACAGGGGTATCTAAAATAACGAATGAAGGTATAAACTAACCGCGAGATCAGCTAAAGCCCTCGCTGGACTCTTGCTCCATGGCCTGCAGTTGTTGCTTTTCGAGGGCCTCCTGTGCCATCTGTTGCAAGGTGCGACTGAGGATGTTGCGCAGCACGTGCGGCTTGCAGTGCTCCTCCAGCCATGGGATGATGCCGGTTGTCAGCTGCTTGAAGTTCTCCATGGGTATGTGCTTAAATGTTTCAAACATTTCGTCCATTATGGCCTGGAACTAAATGGCGGGGATGTTAACAAAATTGAGAATATATAGAATGAGAAATCCGCTCTACTAACCACTTGAAATTTGGCCTCGTCTGTAAGACGTGCCTCCTCGGGACCCGGATTTGCCTGCTGGTGTTGCAGCATGTTTTCGTAACCGTTCTTAATGATCCGCAGCGCAGTTACCTCCTTCTGCAGCGCAGATCCTTCCTCCTCCTGCTTGAGTTTCTGCTGGTTGAGATACCCAATGTACTCGATGGACTTCTGAAGAATCAGAGCCTTGCTGAGCTTGTAGCCGGAGGAGTCATTTGGCTGGCATCGCGGCACCAGCTCCTGCAGGCTGTCGTATCCTTTCTTAATGGCATCTCTCCGTTTCTGCTCCGCCTGCGTGTGCGCCTCCCGCCTGCGCTCCTTATAGCTGAGCGTGGAATTGGTCGACGTCGAGTGGCGCGCATCGCCGCTATCGTCGTCGTCGTCTGCGGAACATGAGACGCAGATACAGAACAATGTAATAAAACGCTGCTGATAGCGAGTAATTCAATGCCAGTGCTTTATCAGCTGCCCCCCACTTCACTCCTGCACAGCGTGACATCTTGGCTAGCGTTTAACTACCTGAGTTGTGGGCCGAGGAGTTGGGAGTGTGGGTACTGCCCGCACTACTACACCGCGAGTAGTGCTTGCTGCTCAGATCCTGGTCGTGCACCATGCTAAATGACTCCTCCTTGATTCCCGTCGCACTGTTATTATCGCTCATTGTCAACTGCGACGTTGTGGAATTCCCAAAACAAAAACACCAGCGACCGTGTGCCCGTTCTGTTTTATAACAATGTGCCTCTGATGTTATTGGCCACACTTATGAGAGGTTACGATAGTTTGCAAGAAGTGTTTGGGTAGTTTTAAAATCTAAAGTTGAGAAAATACTCTGTTATATAAGACTTTTCATTAAGTTTATAACATTTTATGACATTATTTTTTTCTTATTTTAAAATTGTTATTTTTATTTTAGTTTTTGTAGCAGAGTGTTAAGGGCGAGAATATCCGAGCTGAATCGATAGTTGTATCGATATTTCTGCCACCGCTACCGGCCCGGATGATGACTTTTACGTTTTTTTCTTGTTGAACTTTGCCGTCGTGTCGCTTTCTTTGAGAATATTGCTGAAAAGTAGCCGATTTTCGGGCCATAATTTGTGATCGGTGGACGCACAAGAAAGCAATCATGGGTCTGCTGTACGCGTTGCGTGTGAGGATCATGAACTTCATGATTTTCTTCCTCATCATCATCCTGATTCCCGGTCTGCCGCCGCGCACCACTTTCCCCTTCAAGGAATATTTGTGAGTGCCCCCGTCCAATTGATGTAATTTATTGTCTAATTCTGAGAGATATCCTTTTAACTTATACAGAGTGACCCCACCCAAGGACCTGAAGGGCGCTCTGGAGCAAAACTTTCACCTGGAGGGCGCCGAACGACTGCTGGAGGGGGCGGGTCTATGGTCCCGAGTGCCTGATAGCCCGCAACAACGAGATCTACACAGGCATCCATGGCGGTGAGGTCATTAAGCTAACCACCAACCATGTCACGCATGTCACCAAGATCGGTCAGCCCTGCGGTGGGTATTTCAGTTAGTGAAAGAGAATAGTTTATGATGACAATTCCCTTTTGCAGAGGACATTTACGAGGAGTCCAGGTGTGGTCGTCCTCTGGGACTGGCTTTTGATACGCAGGGCAACAACCTTCTCATTGCCGACGCCTACTACGGCCTGTGGCAGGTGAATCTGGAGAACCACAAAAAGACCCTGCTGGTCTCCCCAGCCCAGGAGCTCGCCGGCAAGTCCATTAATCGTCCTGCCAAGATTTTTAACGGCCTGACAGTGAGCAAACAGGGAGACATTTACTGGACTGACTCCTCATCCGATTTTACTATTGAAGACCTAGTCTTTGCCAGCTTTGCTAATCCCTCGGGCCGGTGAGTTCATCGCGAATTATAGTATAGCATTTACAATTATTAGTGTGTGATTTATAGTCGGTATCGCTTAGGTGTAGGACTACAGTAGACGCTTTCTAATTTAAACTTCTTAAGCCTTTCGCTAAAGGTGTTTTTTTTTAAAGCAAATATAACGATCTTCAAAAAATTTTGTTTATAGGAAATCAATTTCGCTGATGTTTACTTTTTGAGAAAGAGGATCCTTTGTTTTCATAAGCAATTCAAATACCAAACTGTTTAGTCAAGATTCAAGTTACACAAGTTTTACTGTAAGACGAGCGCAAACCGGTTTTCCGGTCGGGTCTAATGGTCACTCTAACGGTCTTTCGTTTCTTTTCCCTTCCAGTCTCTTCAAATACGATCGCTCGAAGAATGTGAGTGAGGTGCTTTTAGACGAACTGGTCTTTGCCAACGGATTGGCCCTCAGTCCCAACGAGGACTTTATTGTTGTGGCTGAGACGGGAGCCCTGCGCCTCACCAAGTATTACCTGAAGGGAGCCAAGGCCGGGCAGAGCGAGGTGTTCGTCGATGGACTGCCCGGCTTGCCCGACAACCTGACGCCCGACGCCGAGGGCATCTGGGTGCCACTGGTTGTGAGCTCCGACAGCGAGCATCCCAATGGTTTCACTCTGTTCACCCGGTTCCCCAGCGTGCGGCTATTCCTGGCACGCATTTTGGCACTCTTTGAGCTGCCTTTCCGGTACCTGAACAGTGTCTATCCAAACAAGTTCTCGCAGCGCTTTGTCCACTTCGTGGGACACATGGAAAGTATTGGTGTGCTGGCGCCCAAACGCACGACGGTGGTGCGCGTGGACTGGAACGGTAACATTGTGGGCTCCCTACACGGATTTGACAAGTCGGCCTCCACGGTTTCGCATGTGCTGGAGTTCCAGGACTTCCTATTCCTGGGCTCGCCCACCAATCAGTACCTGGCGCGTGTGAAGTCGCCCAAGACCAAGCAGCCCACGCTCAAGGTGCGCAACGTTCGCGTCGAGGGCGATGGCCTGGAGGCGTCTATTGGTGTTCCACCCATCACAACCACTCCTAAGCCACAGCCCAAAGCGGCGCCCACCACAACCACGCCAAAACCCACCACAACGACTACGAGAACTACGCCAAAACCCACTACCACGACGACAACTACCAAGAAGCCAACAACGACCACCACGACTACAACCACCACTCCTAAGCCAACCACCACGAAGCCGCCGACGACGAAGCCACCTTCAACTACGACAACCACTACAACTCCCAAGCCAGCTGCGACTACTACACCCAAGCCGGCTAAACCGACCCCCAAGCGCACAGTGCCTGACAAACCCGCGCCCGTCGAGGAGGAGATTCCATCGGACACTAAGCCACCCAAGAATGAGAAGCTCAAGGTCATTAACAAGCAGGGCGCTAATGTGGAGCTCTAAGATTGCATTAGCTTTCTGAGCTTATCAAGGATATTCCCAGACGCGAGATTAGTTTATTCACGTAGTCAAAGCCCATTCTGTTTATTATCTATTCTCCCTCCAACATCTCAACTATTTTTGGGGAATATCCAGCCAAGTCATTTTTATTTTTCATGCCCCAAACTCAACGGCTAAAAGGCCAGTTAATTTTAGACGAAAGGTAGCTAAATGCTGACTAGCCGAATTCCTAGCTCAGATGATCCTCGAAGGGCAGCGCTTTATATGTCTTAGGTTCGCATATAATTCGGTTTTGCTTAAGCACTCTAAACATTCCATTCCCTTTCTCAAACAGGAAGTGCATTCCAACTAGTTAAGTTTAAAGTAAACAATGCCTCTAAATTGTTGAAAGCGAGCAACTTTTGATTTTGTACTGATTTTTTCTTATTTTCAATGTAAAATAAAGGTATTTTGTAAAAATAGACCTAAGCGTAATGAGGTTTGTAGTCTTAAAATAGGATTAAATTAAGGTTGGTTTTTGGCTATCACTAGTTGGCGGACACTGATTGGCTGATCTTGGGCCGGCTTGGCGGCTCCTTCGGCTCCGTCCAGGCCCAATCCGCATAGTGGACGCAGCGGCCCAGTTCCTCGGAGTACAACTGCGACTTGGGACAGCGCTGGAGACGAGCACGGGTGCCCTGCTTATCGCACACCCAGTAGGCCGTGGGATCCCAGAAGTTGCGGAACATGCGGTTCATCTCATCCAGACCCTGGCAGCCGGGTTCGCCATTGTGATTGTGCGTCTGGCGCTTTTGGATGGGCAGATGAGCTGATGCGGTGGCCATTTCTTCAATGGATTTAGGGGTTCTAAAAGACAAACCGGAAACAGGCATTAGTACACGTTGGCTTAGCGTGATCGGCGCATAAATTTTACTATATTTCTTGGCACAGGCATTTGCCCCACATATTTTACTGAATTGAATTTCCCTTTTCTCTTACCTTGTGCTATTTCTTGGTTGTCTTCCTTTTCTTTTTTTAACTGTTAGCAGCCTGTTGCTTGCTGTTGCTGAGTTATTTCACTTCTGATTTGTCATACCGAATCATTTCCCGCTTAAATACCATTCCGCCGGACGACGTCGACGTCGACGTCCGCTGCCGGGCGATAGCGTTAGAAATGTCTGGTTCGAGGGCCGATTCCGATTCCTACGTTGTCGTCGTCGGCCAACGGGCAATTTTTATCTATGTATGAAGCCCCGAAAAATTTGCACTGCGAGCGGAAAACTGAATCGCCTTGATCTTGAGGTGCCCCACGGGCGGGTGGGAGTGTGGTCTTTAAGACCGCCCGGCCATTCGCCGGCTGGCCCGGTGTCACGTGTAGCCTTCGTGGTCTGGGGAACACTCCCGGCGAGAGTTGTGCACACCAACGCAGACTACCATAAATTTCGCACAAAAAACGAGCGCAAACATTTGGGGAAAAAATTAGGTAACAAGCGCCGAGGTTGAAACCCGTTAAACACTGAGAAAAACTACCCCAAGCTTGTGCTCGTATAGTTACTTTAGTTGGGGCTAATTAAAAAAAAAAGTTTATATACATCATTAATACATAATTGCATTTAATTTGAAAAGGTATATTTTACCATAATTAATAACTTGGATTTTTCCTTTGTAAAAGTTAACTATATTTTGATTCTTACTGCACAATATTCAGTACATAAATATTTTTTGTAATATTAAAAATTATTTTTTGTATTCAATATTCAGTACATAAATATTTTTTGTAATACTAAAAATTATTTTTTGTGTTTTTTAAAAATATTTTTTTCTTTTAGCTTGTTTTTTTTTTTTTTAAATAAGTTTCTCTTGGTGTACTTTAAGGGTTAAGGTCAAAGGCCGGGCAGCATCTTTAGAGGAATGACGCCATCGGAAAATGTCAACAAATGCATACAGTATGCACACATTATAATCAGTCAATAAACCCGAGCAATTGAGTAAGTAAGGGATTAGCGCGTAAGCAGCCTCTAGTATCGGTCAGATCACGCATCCGCCGTGTGGTTCCTATGACGAGCCCCTCTGGTTTATACTCTAGTCGGTAACTTTCCCCTCGATGGGAGGCACACGTTCGTGTGTCACCTTTCTGTGAAATTTTCAGCCAAATGCCAACAATACGTTATCACCTAACGAGGTAATCAGCTGAAACCCAGACGTTAAAATGTCTCGGGTTTCGAAGGCGTGTAAGACCAATTCGAAGCACTCTTATTGATTGCCAAGCGTTATTCACGTGATCACCTTGTGGCTGGTGCAAAATGAATTCTTTGGTGCCCCAAATGGGTTTGGCCATATAAACTGGAATTAGTTTGCCATTTTTGTCAGTCTGGCGATTACGCGCACACGAGGGCAGCTGGTGGTCAAAGTCGCCTGTGGCTTTTGGAGCACGAGCTTTAATGCCGGTCTGGCGATCGAGGCGTGCTCCATGTGAGGTATAGCAATAAAAAAATCACTATCGAGTAGCTAGATCGTCATGAAACTCTCGGGGGAATGCTTTATACGTGAGTCGAAAATTTCTTGAATTTCACAATCCTTATCAAATTATCAAGAAATTTGCAAAGTGACCTTTATAAATTACTACCAAAACTATAATTAGAGCTTCACTAGACCGCCACTGAGGTGTTATAAAAAGCGTAGGCAATAAAGGCAATCTATAGTATTTATAGGAAGGGGGTTTTACAACCACAAGCTTTAAACATAAATTATAATTTATGTTGACAAGTCTTAAACCAAACCTACTCTTAAGCTACGGTTAATTTTGCAATTAAAGTACAAAGTTTCCAGAAACTGGCTCATCAGAAATTTAATTTCAACTGGAATTTTTTTAGTTCGTCAGACGGAATATTCAAAAAGTTTTAAACCCATTGTACTTAGAATTTTGTTTTGCGTCACTGCTTTCCTAAGGGAATATTCCATACTTAATTTCGGCTAGACATCTATACTTTCTAGAAATAAGATGCTAGAAGCTATCTGTAAAAACCCACCCCAAATATATTTTCAAATGACCTTTAAATGAAACGTCACAATGAGACGACGAGATTATTTTTAACTTCTTTAAATATTAACCCATTTCACTTTATTTTTATAAAGAAGTTTTTTTATTGGGATAGGTTTTATTTAAGAACAGTACTTATCCATAAATGTACTAATTTTATAATAATTTTTATATTAATATTTGCAAATATAAAACTGGATGTAACCAGTTAAAAGTGCTATTCGGTGAATCAACATTTACGCCCACGAATTGTTTCACTCTATATAGTATTGTTTGAAGAATTTTTTAAACTAGTTCGTGATTTTCTTCACATGGCAACAGGCAACTTGTTGAGCATATGATTTCGGAAGCATTAGATAAGCTATAATTTTTCCGTTTCGTCATCATTTCGACGGAAGCACGTGAGTTGCGCGAGTGTCGCGATAGTCGACGTGCTGAAAGTTATAAATATCTACTAATTGATTAGTCATACATATATCGTGGAATCGGGGCTTCCTCGCCTCTCGAACGTTGAGTAGTTTTTGTGATTTGACGTAGATTTTTATGGGTGTAGTATACGCGGCGGGAATACAAATGAATATGTGTTTTGTTTGTGATTGATTAGATGGTTTCTATTCCATATTTCACTAAATCTGATAATAATTTCGTATTGCAATTAAGGCTGCAGTAAGAGTGCCACGCCCCCAAGGATCCATCTTGAGGGGCGTTCGCGGGTCTTCAGGTTAAAGGTCCAAACGTAGGTATTTCCCCGCGACCTGAAAGGAGGCAAAAGAGCCGTCAGTCAATTAGAGAAGTGGACAAAGGAGTGGGCGGAAGTCGCATCCTCGGGAATGTCACCCACCTTGTCTTGTACAAAGGACACTCGTAGATGCGCTGCAGCTCCTGCTTCTCCTGCACAATGGACTTGATGTAGATGACGGGCATGGCGCAGAGCATCTCCTTGGGACGCAGGGCGACAATGGAGTTCAACTGGCAATCCCAGCTGGCGCCGTCCATGTACAGGTCGTGGACAAAGGCGCCCTCCATGGGCGGCAGGCTGTGTGGAAAGGGCAGGTCAATGAGTCAAAGGGCAAACAAACAAAGAGATGTTTTAAAACGCGAAAAACCAGTAATTGTACTTGGTTCTATTTAATGGATTTCTTTAAATTTTGAATTTCAAAGAAACACAGGGATTTTTCAGCAGATAAAACTTATGTTTTAAATCTATTCTAAATTTATTTATTATTTTGTATTAAAGTTACTCTACACTCACGTGACATCATCCTTCTGCTTTTTGGTGACATCGCAGCTAATCAGCATCCTGTCCAGCGGTAAATCGTGTTTCCTGGCACTTTCCTGCATGATGGCGGTGAGGAAGCTCTGCGGGTTGAAGAGTCCGCCGAGCCAGATGGCGCAGGGCAGCTTGAAGTCGTTGAGCCATCCGGCCAGCTCCTTGATGCGGTGCAGCAGATCAGAGAACCAGGACTGCAAGCCCAGCATGCTGGGATAGGCCAGTCGAGCCCAGGCTCCGGGAACATGATCGTAGAAGATGGCATGGTCCAGTCGCTCCATTTCCTGGGTAATGGTGAGTTCACCCTTCAATCCCAGCATGAGTTCCCTCAGGGATCGTTTTATCTCTCGAATCAGAGCGTTCATTCTCTCACATTCCTGCAGGGCGACCACCACAAAGGGAGTTTTGCGTTCCACTCGATTGAGCAGAGCCTGCAGGTTAAACTCATCTTGAAGTTTGTCCAGAAAATCGTCGATCATGATCTTGACCAGCTCTTCGCGTGGTGCTCCGCAATGGGAACTCAACTCCGATTCCCTTGGTTGCAACTCGAAAATTGTGCGTAAAAGTTGTTCGGAAGCGGTGGTTAGAAAACCAATCTCAGCATTTGGATGAAGACCATATAGCAAAGGACTCTCTTCTGGCAGCATTTCCGTAATATACGAGTGATAGCCTTCGAAGTCTAGATTCGGCGGAGCAGGAAACCCCGGACACAACTCAAAGTCCCCATCAATGAGATCCTGCTGTAGGAGCTCCTCCAAATAAGTCTGGCAAAGCCGACGATCCCAATCATCTGTGATGTGACCACCGTACATAATCTCGCCGAAGAGATAGCGCAGATCCTCCCAAGGAATCCGGTTGCTCCCCTCCAGGTAGTTGTGAAGCACATTCGACGAGATGGTGAGGTCACCTATGTTGAAAGGATACACCTTGTTCCAGCCCTGTGGTCCAAACTTGCGCCTTTCACCCGCCACTGCATGAAAATAGCAAAGAGCAAACAGGATCGACTTGAACTCCGCCTCCTGGGTGCAAGTTTCCAAGGCATCCTGCGAGAAGTTGTCCCACGCCTTGTGAAGATTCGCAGCCATTCCTGAAGGGGGTTCATTGACCACCTGTTGGATATATACTTTAGTTGTATTCATATATTCTTGAAAGACAATCTCACCTTAAGTGAGGATTCTAGGATTCCCTGAGGAATTACATGATACTGCGGATCTGGTGCTGGTTCAGCGCTTATAAAAAGTCGGAAATTTGACTCCCCCGCGTCTCGCTCTGTAGCACTATCCTTTCAATGAGCTTCTCCAGCGTGGGCAACCAGTTCACCACTAAGTGGATATTTTGCAGGATGACCCACTGCTGACCGGATTCCAAGGCCTGGATAATAGCCTGCTCAGCCAACAGTTCCTGCCCCTGTCCCAGTGAGATATTGACCAGCGTATCGGACTCCGAATGGAACCCCTGCCGCTGGCCATATCGCTCCACATCCCGGATGGGATCCACTCCTGGTGAGAGGATGAAAAACGCAGGAGTGGCTGCATTGAGCTCCTGGAAAATGGCACCGAATGGCGGGGTTTGCACCTCCGCATAGGAACGACCCATCGTCTGCTCCACAAACTGCCGCATGGCATATGTCATTCGATCTGGTCTCAAGGAGCGGATAATACATAATTTCTGGAGCGGAGTGCGGTGCTTCCACTCCCCGGGAAACTGCTCCCTTTCTGGCGTGTCGCTGGCCATAAATTTGCGCCACCTTTTCGTGTAGTTCTCCATGTCCTTGTCGATTCCGTAAAAGTGTTCTATTAAAGTCAAGGACTTGATGCCACCCCAGGCACTGCGGCTCACGAAGTCCAAGGGGGACAAGGTGGTGGGATCGTGGGGAAAACGCAGCAGGAAGTCCGTTTCGTCCTTGGCCACTTGCTCGGCGGCAATAAGGATGCGCAGAGTCATGTGCGAAGTGAAAGTTAGCTTGTCAGCCTCGAAAAGCCCGCGTAATGTGTAGCGATATGTTTGCAGGGTAATGGAGTCCACCAGGTGCAGAACTCGCTTTTCAAAAATCTTGGACTCGGCGGCCAATGCAATAGCCTGCCGAAAAACGTGCATAAAGGATTTTAGCGAGAACTTATAGATGGGATTTATGCGACTCAGATCGGTGAGTACAAAGTACAAAATAGCAGCTCTCTTAGCAGCCGATCGATATATATTTCTTGTATCATCAATCTGCAGAGTTGTAACCCTTGCCTCCCTAACTTTGGCTTCGATTTCGTCCACAGTTCGCTTGGTGTCCTCAAGATTGATCACCAAGGCATGATCATCCAGGACATTCTCCCCCGACGAAGCCAATCTAGCCAGTAACTCATCTTCCAGAGCTTTCAGGGATATCTTGAATTTGTTTTGCTGCACAGTGACCTCCGTTTTCATTTGTTCCAAATCGGGCCTCTCTATTTTAACCACTTCTGCCAGGAGCTGCTCCTCGAGTCCATCTGGAGTGACTGTGAAGTTAATCAAAGTGGTTTGGGCCTGCATTTCCGGTTTGTAGTGCGGATTGGCCATCTTGGTGTGCAGAATGAGTCGGAAACTGGGATGGAACTCGATTTCCTTGTCGCCAATGCGCAGATAGCGACCCTTTTTGATCAAAGCTCGGCTGAGAAGGGGCTCTAAAACCGTGTCCATTGTCTCCTCAATCTGCTCAATAAGCACTGTTTCTCCCTGAGAAATGCTCTTTTCGAGGGCTTCAAGAAATCCTCGTTGTCTCAAGCGCAAGACCACCAGAGATGAACCAAAGCGGTTCTTAATCCACTTGATGCCCTGCCTGAAAATCAAGGGTTCATATTGGGAACCTAATTTTATTATAATTACCTACAATTGTGGATCTATCATTAGCGGCCACCTAGTTGAATACTGCAGTATGGTGGCATTCTCGGTGGACATTCGATCCATGGGCAGACCCTCGTTATTCCAGGCGGCTATTTGAGCATCGTCCGAGAAAAGGGCCAGGGTATCCACACCCTCGGTGTGGGGAATGTGCGGCTATTTAAAGGATAAGAAATTAAAGTTTCAGTGCCCCAGCTGCCGAGTGAAAGTGCCCCCTGCTTACATCGATTTTGCGAAAGTTGGGCAGCCACATCTTGTGCTGCAATTCCTCACGGTAGCGGCGCGTGAAGCAGCCCACGTACGACAGGAACGAGGAAATTAGCAGGATATCTCCGGGGAGGGTACCAATCTTCGCTTGCAGGCTAAACGGAGCAGGAAAGGATACAAGGCCAAAAAGGAGAAGCCGAGTGAGGAGCAGGTGGTAATCCCCCGCTTTTGATGCTAACAAATCGTATAAATTACGGCAGCAGGAAGCTAAAGGTTGCAGCACCGCCCGACATCCGCTGCAGCCTGCTCCAACTACTTTTTCTTCTTCTGCATTTAAATTTAAATGAGGGGAAATTGAAAAAATAATGATGTCGAAGAGGAAGTAGCCGGTTGTTGCTGCCTTTGTTGCTGACATTCCCGCCGATGACGACGGGTTGCTGGGTGGGTGGACTTAGGGCTTAAAGTGGTGTTCGCCCGCTCAAGTGGTTGCATAAATTATCGGAAATTGCTGCATGCCAACTCTTATTGAAATATTTCAGCTTATTATCAGCCCCTCGGTTGCCGAGGGGATTTACCAAGAAGGAGCACTTTTTGCATTGCAAGCACCAACTATTTTCAATTAGTTATCTGCAGTTATTCCCTCTTCGCCGCCAGACGCTTTCAGAATATAAAGACAATGATTTATGCTCATTTATATGCACATTCATATGTTTAAAAGAGTCCCATAAAAGGCGCTTTGTAATTGGATAATCTTATAATTGCTCTAGGACCAGAGTCCTGAAAGGAAGAAAAACAAATGAAAAGGGGTCTTAAGCCAGCCACAAAAAGACAGAAAAATACCTAAGATACCGAGGAAAAACAGCACACATTGTGCTTGTGACCATATATCGATATTGATATCACCTCCCCCCAAAAAAAAGGGGGATTCGAACAGACGCTTATGTCTGCCGTTCTGTGGCATAATTGTTTTTGCAGAAATATTGTGTTGAATTTTGCTGAAATGCCTGTCAGGTGACATAAGAGCATTCTCATTTAAAACGGATAGTATTTTTCGAAGGCAGCCGGACCATGCCAACAGCTCCCAACAATAACAACAATAAGTTGGCAAACAAATGCGAGTATCCTGCAGAATCCTTCGGTGCAGATGTATGTGTTTGTGCGTGTGTGTAATGTCATTGTCAAATATGCAGAAATTTATATGCAAGTCAGAGAAGCTTACACACACCTGTCCGAAAGGGCGAGCCCAGTTGCCACCCACAAAGGTACAAACAATTTGCTGTTGTGGGTCAAATTATATTTTCATAAATATTTGAACAATTCTCGCTTGCAAAAGTCGAACATGGGGACCCAGAATCGGGGCTTTTGCTCCTTTGCCAGTGCATTGAATGTCCAAGGATCGAATAGTACCGCCCAGCAGCATAAATTCACAGCCCTCCTTCCCTCCCTTCTGCACAGTTGGGAAATTTTTCATTTTTCGTAATTCAATACCTATTTCATATGCATTTATATTCCGGCTCTGGCTCCAACTCCCCCGGCGATTTAGCTGCTGACGCTGCCCATTTGTGGATTTTGTTGGGGTTCGTGTTTGTGTGTGTGGATTCTGCAGTTGTTTAGGTGCGAAAAATTCAGTACTCTACCGACTCCCCCCTACCTTTTCCCCTACATTTCAACCAAAACCCCATCATCGCCATCGCCATCGACGCCCTTTACGGATTTTCTTTTGGCTTGCACGCGCACTCAATTGAATTTCAATGAATGCAGCCAGTCAATGGGCAGCCAAAGGTGTCGGAGTGCTCTGCGTGTTGTACTGTATGTACGGGTACGGACCCGAATTGCCATCGACATCTATATGAATTTGATTAAGTTTTTTGCCACTGCTCATTGCGTGTGACCTGATGGTTTATATAATTGATAGGTGGCCACCGCATTGCTTTCGGGCTCGATTCGATGGAAATTCAGCAAATTTATGACCCAAAAATGGTGCATTTATATTAGTTGACCCATTCAGTTCACATTAAAATGAAAACTTTTGACACAAGTTTGTTGATTATGGCCAAATTTACTCTTTGAATCGTAGAGACAACTATATTTGGCAAATTATGATGCCACCTGATGAAAGCTTTATGTTTAAAGTGTCTAAATATTGGTATGAATTTTAGCTTCACATCGCATGTTTTCCCATTCCGTTTTGAATATTTATTTTCATTTCTGATTTCATATCAAAACTAAATGTTGTCATGGGAATAACAAATTCTTGAATCTAGATGAAAAATGTATTTTCAGTTCAAAGGTAATTGTAACTGTAATTTTGATTTCTCTACTTCTGTTGAACTTACAGAAACCCTAAGGACTACAAATAGAAACGATTGGAATTTAAATATTTATGTTTTCCACATCGTCGTTTATTGCATAAACTTTAAACGCACGATGCCACTTTTTTCTTTTTTTTTTTTTTCAAATTTACTATTTAAAATGAAAAATAAAAATCACTCGAGCATGAATGTATTAAATTAAAAGCCAAAAAGTATTCAGCAATAAATTATACACCGAAACTCGAACATATCAAAAACGAATTTAAAATGCTTGACTTGATGGCTAATAAAAAGCGAAGAAATACAGATCAAAATGATTTTTATCTTTAATTCTAAATGGATATTTTGCAATCAATTCAAATGCATACTCGATTTGTTTACCTCAAGTTTAATAAATACAGGTATATTAGCAAATTCTTTGTACGACACGCAAAAAACATGTTGCATACCTGGAGGCGCTCGAATATATCATCTTCGTTTTGAAGTGTTCACTGGCTGCATCAGTGAAACCCATACGTAATCCATAGGGAGATGTATTACCCCCTCTTTCCATCAGCCACATCCTTCAAAATCCTAATAGGCTTTGCTCCTTCACACGCTGCTTGCCTGCTTTCTTTGAGTTTCCCGCCTTTCCCTTCGCCCAGCCATTGTGCCAACTTTCACACTTGTCAACTGCAATTGTTGGCTTGTTAGGCAGGTGCCTTCCACCTCGGCTCGACATTTTCGTGGCTCACGTCACCGGGTGCAGAGCGGAGCAGCAACAGATGGGATTAGCCCCAGCCAGCCCACTCACGATGACAAGTTTGCATACCCAGTCTTTCCCATTCCCATTCTGTTCGGAGTACGTGCCTCCGGTTTGAAGCTGCTTAAATGCATTTCGGTTAACTGCCAATGATTTTTGCAAATTGCCGCCACTCCCGGCGGTTCATTGCCTTCCGACGAGGGCGCAATCGAGTGAATGAGCCGGGTTCGGGGACCTCGCCGTGCGCCAAATGGGAGCGAGTAAATAAAATTTACGGCCTTTTGTTGCCGCGGTGGCCCGCAAGTAAGCGGAATTCGAGTGCACTTGCAAAAATATTAATCAAAATAAGTACAAAAAATACTCCTGAAGGTCTCCCTACACTATAATCAACAGAAATGAAATAGTTGAATCCAAATAAAATGTTATTTATAAATATAAATATTAAATTAATCTTCTTATTAATTGATGATTCATTAATTCAGAATGACAACTAATCTCTTTGATTGAATTACGATGAATGTTTTCATAGAGGATTGAGATTCACTGGTTTTGCTGAAAGCTTTTAGAATTTTATAGAGGACTGTAGGATGGTGGGGATTTTGTTTACATTAGTTTCTCCGAGTGCATTGACCCCCACCATTCCCCCCACTTGAGGGCAGGCAAGTGGCAGGCAAAGCAATTACAGCAATGGCGGACGCACACAGAATGTAAATTAAATTTAATAATTGATTACGCATAAATGCAGTGTAGCACCACCCGCAACCGACGAAGGACTCCCACCAGCCGAAGGACTCACCTCTGGACGGACTCCTTCCAGCGGACATTCTCGTTGGCCAGTCCATTCACCAGCCGGTGGGCCAAATCGATGGTGAAGGCCGTCTTGTCCGCCTCCCGTTGGCATCGCTGCTTCTCGGCCACCGCGTTCTCGAACTCCGCCTGAATCTCGGCCAGCTTCGCCTCAAGATTGTTGATCTTCGCCTTGAGGTACTGCAGTCGTTCCCTGGCCTCCAGCAGCTCCTGATGCGAGTCCTGCAGCGCCTGTTGTTTGGGTCCAACAATCAGGAATACCTGGTGATAGCGGTGCAAGTTGATCACCCAGGCACAAAGTCCTGCCGCGGCTACTGATTTTTGAACCACCTTGTCGGGATTGAATTCGGGGTCCTAAAATTATGAATAGCAAAATTAAATAATAATAATAATAAACATAGGAAAATAGTAAGTAACTACATTATCTTAAAATATTTAATTTTTACCAGTTCTTTTACTTTTATAGTATTTAATATATGCGTACTTTTGAAGATAGTTTCTCACCTTTAAATATTCCTGCAGCGTTTCAATAATATTAGGATGAATGTTATCCTTGTTGTAGTTAAGTAGGTCATTAAGGAACTGGTCCACGCGCACCATCATCAGCTTGGAGGCCTTCCAGCTGCGATCCCTTGGGATCTTACCATTGCTGGCCAACAAAACCATGACGGCGGCACAAACGTTGACCACCGCCTTGGGTGGCGAACCAAACGACTTGAGTTCCGTGAGATTGTTTTTGTTTAATGTATTCAGAGCTGCTTGGGCGGCCACCAAGGCGGGTTCCGCCTGCCGCAGATCCTCCTCGCACATCTTGGTCTTGATGGAGACGTCCTCCTCGATGATCCGCACCCGCTTTTCCTCCTCGGAGGCGATGTACCGCTCCCGCTTCACCTTTTCGCTCTCGGCGCTCACAATCACAATCAGCTTGTCGGCCGCCGCGTTTTTCGCAGCCAGTTGAACTTCTTGGATAGCCAGTTGGTGCTGTGGGTGGAATTAGAAAAACCGCCAAATTGCGTCAATTGAAAATCAAAGCCAAAATCAAAGTGAGCTGAAAACTTTTACGGCTGTCGAAAATAATTAAGACCCTGGCACGATGGCTCAATATTTACGCGGAGCAACTTTTGCGCACAAATTACCGGCGCCCCAATACAAATACAAGTGAGTTCAGTAGCGATGGTAAGGATATAGGATTGTTAAAGTTAGATATATATATCATTCGTAAAGGATTTTTACTTTATTTACTTATCCCATACAAGTGATATAATTTTTGTAAATAAGGGGAACAGTGTTCCTTCCTATATTTATCCTTTCCTTTTCAATTCAAGTAGCCTGCAGCGCAAATCCCATCACTAAAAAGCAAGGCTGATGTGAAACTGGAGAGGAGACCCGTGTGGGGGAAAACTAAAACGGCTTTTGTTCGACTGAAACGAATTCAATTTAATTCAATTAGTTTAAATAACATTTGCCCTTCCCCGGCCCACCTCGCCAGCTTGTTCTCTTTCAGTCGAATGGTCGTTGTTTAGCGCCGCTGCGAAGTATGCTGCGAAACAAACGCGTTGCCGCTGGGCCACCACTGCGTATACGCGACGTAACCGGAAACGGTGTTAAAAACTCAGAGAATGGCAGCCGTCCTTCCGCCTCTCCGGTTTCCGCCATTGATGTTGCCGAAGTGGGACAAGTGGACGGCAGATTTGCTGCAACAACAATTCAATTAAGCGCACTAATTGAATGGCCGACGCTTCGCCAACGGATCGAATGGCAGTGTACCATTGAAAGCTGGGGGCCCAATGATGATCGATTTTGCGGGCACCCTGCGTTCGAGTTTAATTAATATTTGATAGCAGACAGACACACTGTTTTTAACTCTGCCGAGATTCTGTTGGTTTTTTCCGCGCACTCTGCCTGGGGATATTATATGAGGGCGTACATAGGACTTTAAAATGGTATCGTACAGAGAGGAAAAGATTGCAGTCTTGAAAAGCCCTCAAGCCTTTAGTTTAAGTATCTCTTATATAAAGATTTTTTAAAGTACGATTTTTTGTGAACTTAAAATATATATTTTCTGCAATGTTAATTACATTAATATATAATACTTGGTATACCACATTTTTTTATGGTGCAGTTGCAAACACCTACGAACCGGATTCACCGCATGCACATTTCATTCTCATATGGCATACGGTCATCGTGCGGCATTCGCCGGTCGTCGGCCGTCCACTCCATCATTTACTCACCTTCAGCGTGTCCACCTGACGGGCGCACTCCGCCAACTTGGCCATTCCGCTCTGCAGACGAGCGATTCGCTCCGCGAACTCGCCGTTTTTGTCCACCAGCAGTTTGCGGTAGAGGAAAATGTATTCCAGAAAAGTTTTTGGGGTCGTGTAGTTGTAGCGTTTTTCATTCTGCAGATAAATCCTCGATATCTGATTCACGGTGCCGTGGACGTAAGCCATAAAGCAGCCGATGGGCGGCACCAGTTCGGGCTGCATGGACATTTTTTGGTTTGGGTGGGCGAGAAGAAGGGAAGAGGGTCAGCGTGGGTCAGGTCAGTCGGCTGTCGTTCTTCTGCCGGGGACTTTAAGTGTACGCAGTGACGGTTTGCAGTTGTAAATTGTGCCCGACAGACGCATAAATAAGGGGGATGGAACACAGTGCACTCAGAAAAATACTACAATTAAAGATTATCTCAGAAAACAAACAGAAGATCTTAACAATAAAAGCCCAAGGTTTTTTATAACTTGTGTTTGTAAAACAGAAAGTGTACATATCTTTTATACAAGTGCAAATAATACATATTTCCTATGCTCAAAGTTTCTTTATGTGTACTTGCCTCCAAAATTCCGCTGATTTCATTGAGGAACTTCTGGGAAACGGACTCCAGAGCGGTTTTGGGCCACTCATGGAACCAGTCGATGGCAGTCCGACTGATGATAGAAGGGAATTTCCGAGCCCGTACCCGCAGCGTTTGACCCACCGGCGAAAAGCACAGAACCACTTTAAGCAATCTCCTTACCTTCTCCACGAAGTACCGCCAGCAATTCTCCTTAGTATCCATATTACCGCTTTGCTTCACCTCGTTGCGAATCCCATTCGTAATAGTGTCCATCTGGTCGTCGTTAAAGAGCTCCGGAATTTCGCCAGAGGCCAGGAGATCATTGATCAACATCAGTATGGATTCATCAGGTATTTGTGCATCGGAGATCAAGAACACAGAGGCCAAGTTTTTGAGGCCCACCTTCATGTAAAGACTCCCGATTTCCTCTCTCATATCCAGTAAACCAAACCCTCGCTTTATTTGGATTTGGGAGACGCTTAAGGAGGATATAAAAGCAGCCAAGCGAGCCAAGGTTTGTTTTCCAGATCCTCCAACTCCAATTAGGAGAGCATTACCCCTGGGACTCTCAAGAATGCGATTGATACTGTGAACAAATAATATATACATTTAAAGTGAGCAATAAATATTTTAATGTATTCAATTTACCGACAAACATGTATCATGGCATCTTCAAAGAGCACGAGATTCATGTATCCCACCACCTCATTATAACTAGCCTGAGCTTCTATTAAAAGTTGATATAACGAGTCCCAGCTTTTCAGGGGCATATACTTTTGATCCACCAGTGATTGAGCAAAATGACTATATATCAAAGGTTCTGCAAACACAAAGTCTTCGTCGAAATCTTCAAAATCCTTTTTAAATATATCCCGAATGGAGGACTTAAAAGACTTGATGTCATAGGGATCCACCAAACGATCATGATAGACCCGAAAGGCCTCATGAACGTATAGCCTCATAAGTTCGGAGGGTCTGCCACAGACAGTTCCTCCGTAACCCGAAGCTCCTCCTCCTCCCGCTGCAGCCGGAGCACCCACACTGTTCATGAGTCCTTGATAGATTCCCGTGAGATCCCGCAGATTGAAAAGGTAGTGGAACTTGAGAGCCGTGGGCAGAAAGGCATATTCCACACGACGATGGAGGGCTATTCCAACTCTCACAAGTAAGCTGCCAATTGAGCGGATCTCCTTGCTGAATCCTTGGGCGGGACTATCCAGGTGACTGGCCAGAATGCTGCCGTAGATGTGGTGCAGAGTGTCCTCACTCGGTGGAGCCACCGAGAATACGCAAAAGTGGCGCTGCAGTCTAGGATCGATTGTAAAGGATCCAGCAGTTGGATTCATGCAAGCTGCAAACTGACAGTGCCGAATGTCCTTCAGCTGCAACCGTTGGCGATCGTACCTTAAGGGAAATTGGATGTAAATCACTAAAAGTAGAACTCCAACCTTTACTTACCATTGCCGGTAGTCCATGAACTGTCGCATAATTGTGTGTGGCTGAACTGTGCCATAGGCATCCACCTCGGGCATGTTTAAATCATTCACAAAATAAATCAGCCTTCGCTTGGGTCCACTGGGTGCATAACACCGCCCCGATTTCTTTTCGAGCGGACGATCCAGCATTTTTTGGAATATCTCCGAGCTGGTGTAGAAGTTAAAGTGCGTGGCTTGCACGGTGGTCAAAAGTGGAGTGGCCGAGGAGGAAGCCTTGCGCCGCACAACTGCTGCTCCAGCAGGACTCACCGACTGCTGCTGATGGCTGTCAACTGCACTCACCGTCGACACGGCCACTTCGAGGAGTTCCTGGTCGCTGGCATACTGGCTGAACAGCTCCCGGAAGATGGCACCCTTGCCGCAACCCGAGTTGCCCACCAGCATGCAGGCCAAGTTGCGGTCAATCAGGAGCTTGAGGAAATAGACCAGACGAGTGGTCTCCGCAGTGGAAATTAAAACATTCTGCCAAAGAAAGTTTTACAATTTGCCACAGCATAAACCCACTTCCTTTTTATTTACTGACCTGCAAAGGATTCTCCGCATCAATTTGTCCTTCCAAAGGCTCCTGAGCTGCCAATTCGGACCAAGGCTGAAACTTAAGGGTCTGCACATTCAACTGGTGATCGAAAACAGTTCCCTGACTTGGCAACTTGATGTCCTTGAACTCTCCTGTCCACCATTTGTGAAACTCGCGGTGCCAATCGATGATTACATCCTGACTTAAAGCGGATCCAAAACTCCAAACGGTGGCGTACACAAAAATAGTTTCCAGAGCTAAAACCTTCGCTTCGTGGGAGAGCTCTCCGTGGTGCAGATTGTGCGGGTTGGCTGCTCCACCGGCTCCACTTCCTCTTCCTCGTCCATCTCCGTTTCCCTCATCAGAGGCCAACAAGCATTCCAGCAGGTGGCAGGTCATCTGGATCATGGCCATGTCCGTAATGGGGGTGATGCGCCGGAAGTCGCGCTGCCTTTGCATCAGACAGGGGAAGTACTTCTCAAACAAGGTGGTCAAGATGCCCCTCTCAATCATATCCACACGGGTCTCCAGCCAGGAGGAAACGTAGCTAATGTTGTAAAAAATTAATATTTAAGAAGGGTATAAAATCATCATTATTTATTAATATAAATTTAGAAGATAACATATATTTCTCATAAATACTCACGGTGACCAGCCCAAGTCCTGCGGGTTTATATATAATATTCCTGCTCTGGAAACTGTTGCCGGAGTTGCCGCCTTCAGATGTCCCACCTCAAATAGCAATCGCATCTCGCGTTTCAAAGATATCCTTTCATTACTGGCCAGTGTAAGGATTTTGTTGTCATCCATCAGAGTGTTGAGACTCTCGATCCACATGGGATCGATGTCGCCATCCAAAACAATCCACTTGGGATTACCAGGCGGCATGTTGGCCTGTTCCCTCATAATCGAGGAAAAGAGCCCATCCTTCCACTCTCTGGTTGTGGGATTTACGATGCCGAAGAGCTCATCATTGGAAAGAGCCTTTGGGTTGAGGACATGGCAGACGGGCTTTAGTTTCTGGATGCGATAGGTCTCTCGCAGGGTTTGCCAGATCTTGGTCTTCCCTGTGCCCGCATTTCCCACAATGAACACCGAGTGCCGCACATCGAGGAGCTCCTGCAGCTGCACCACCTTCATGAGGAATCCCTCCTCCGGCTGCAGCTTAATTTCGTTCACCGCCCTCCGGATGGTCTTCTCGAACTCGAAGACCCGCTTGCGCGGCACATCGAGAGCGGGAAAGAGGTCTCCAATCAGACCCATAAATATGGGCACGTCCTCCGTGACAATCTTGGGTATGTTGAAGTCGCGCAGCGCTCGCATCAACACCTGATCCTCCGGTCGACTGTGGTCATCACGCTTGAGGGTTCCTGCAACGACCAGAACCGATTTGATGGCCCGCAGGCCCCAGTCGTAGTGATCCTGCTTGGACAGCAGCTCCTTGCACAGCGTGTACAGGGTGATAAATTTGCGGGCCAGCAGACGGGCGTCCTGGAAGCCCTCGGCCATTAGCATAATCTCACAAATCAAGGCAAAGTCCGGCACAATCATGGCGCAGGGCCGGAACAGGGTCTTCAGGTTCTCCGGCAGCTCCGTTCGGCCGGCGTAGCCGGGATTCATGGTGATAAAAATTCCGACCGACGGCTCCAGCGAAATGCGCTCGCCCATAAAGATAAATTGGGTTTTATGCATCTGTAAACAGAGAGAGAGAGCGGAGTGAAAGGACAGGACGACCAGGACGAGGTCCACGGAAAAGTAATCAATGCATTGGGGAAAGGAGAGCAGGAAGCAGGGAAAGCAGGGAGGAGCGCAAGAAGGACGAAATCAATTTGCAAGCGGACAGCGTACCTTTATCGCCTCCTGTATGGTCTTCACCTGGACGGCGACCACGGACAGGACCTCCACGCAGATGCGATTGAACTCGTCAAAGCAGCCCCAGGCTCCCGTCTGGGCGAGTCCCTTGTAAATGTTGCCACAAGATTTGTAGTCCATTTGCTCCGAGCAGTTGAAGACATAAACCATTACGCCCAGGGCGCGACCGAGGTCCTTGGTGGTCTCCGTTTTGCCCGTTCCCGCGGGTCCTGCCGTTGCACCTGCCAGCCGCAATCGCAGCGACTTTCGAGGTAAAAATAAAGGAAAAATGTTACAGGTTGCAGAAATAAGAGGAGCCGGCATATGTAAATTGCAACAAACATTTATTCTCCACTAACGAGTTGTTTAATTTGCCGCGGGCGGCAAGGAGTTGCACCACAAACTGGTGATCGCCTTGTTAATGGCTGCTTCAGCTGTGGTTTTATTCAATCCCTTTGCTTATGCTGCACTCAGCTCGAATTTATTTCTCAATTGTCTAGAGCGGCTGCCTGAAGGAGGTTGTTTACTTGAAAAATTGCTTAAATTATGTGTTGATTGAGAATACTTTGAGCTGTTCATAAGCTAAGCAGATTTCTGTTTAACTGAATTAAATTCCACAGTGGTTTCGGCAGAAGCTCTTGATTATGTTCCAATTAATTCAATATTATTTTACAATTTTGTAGGAAAGCTTTTGAAATTTTAATAATTGTTGTCAGTTGTGCAAAACCTCTTACTCCAGGAAATTGACGTCTTGTAAAGCATCCTTTGATTCTTAAGCTGAAAGCATTTATAGCTATCACACAATTTGTCGAGTATGTTTGTGAAAGTTTTGGGATCTGGAGCTGCAATGTTATGTTACCTTTTGTGACAAAAGGACAAGTTTAAACTGAAAAACCATCACAAACGTTTAGAATCGGGTTAAAATTAGTGAAGTAACAGGAGCTAGGATTTAGGTGACTATTGTGCAAATCTTGGAAGTTTCTGACATAAACTGGGGTCAAAAAAGTGACCATCTTCGAATTGAAAAATTTAAACGCGTTTCTTTAGGAATTCCATCACAGACGTTCAGAGGTGTGTCATCCGATTAAAATTGACGATGTTACCTATGTGCACTTCATTGAAATCGTAGAAAAATCTGGCGTAAATCTGGCCATCGAGTTTTAAAATTTAAAACCATTTTGTTTAGGAATTGCATTCCTTACATTTTCTCGTATATTTGTTCTCGGTAACTACAACCTATAGAACAGAACCTTTTTCCAATTAAACCCTTTTTTAAAGTGATTTGTTTTGACATGTTCGACAGATTTCCCCTGACATTGGTTTCACACCTTCGTTTTGTGAAACCATTCGACACATTTTTAACAATGATTTGCGGGTGTCAAAAAGATAACGTCTGATTTGGCGGTGGTGCATGAAATATGCGACTGTCGGGGTAAAAATCTGCGCTAATTGTACGCACAAATACGTTTAATTTATTGAATTTCCGCCCTTATTCGCACACACCGACTATTCCTGTCATTCGCAGCCGTCATTGCCTTTTTGTTTCGACTGGCTTTAACTAGCTACTGGTTTTAATATATTCAAGCCACGGGACATTGGCTTTCAATTATTCAAAGCCAACGATGGACTTTACATTTGTAGCGGATTTCCGCTGCTAAATCCATTAACGCCGCCTGGCAGGCGTTGAAAAGGCTTATATTTAATTCAGGACTCGATAGAAAGGATTTGCTCGACTACAAAGTGAAAGTGAGTTCCTTTGATTCGATTAGAATCGCTTACTTGTGTCAGAGTGATGTAACATCGATCCGTCAGCGGTGTGATGACCAGTCGCGAAGTGTTTCCCAGATACTCGTAGGCATACCGAAACTCCGCATCGCAAATGTTGGCAAAGCAATCCTCATCTCCTCCGCCGCAACTGATGGCTGTACTCGCCTTTCCGCTGGAACTTCCCGCCTGGTCGTCATCCCACCTGTGACGCAACTGACTTTGCCACTGGAAAGCCAGCGAGTTGTCCACCTTGGCGGCTATGATTTTACCCACCACATCGCGCGAATGCACGTCAATTGTGCAAATGGTCATTATTTTCTGGCGATCCCCGGGCGAAAGTTCACCCAACAGGAGGTTGATCAAGGCATTCAGCTGGGCAATCTGTCGCTTGTGCAGCTCCTTCATCACGCCCTCGTATCCTTCCTCCATGCAGCCGAAGGACCGATTCACATCCGCCGTCCAGCTGATTTGACTGCAGCAAAGTGCCACCTGGGCTGGCCAATCGTAGAGCCAAAGTTCCCGGGGTTTCTCCCCGAAAACTCGAAGAGCACGTCGAAATAACTCGTGGAGGGTGCTTCTCATCTGCTTGATGATGGCCCTCAGCCACAGCTCCACTCTGCCACCGCAAACAATAAAGGCAGGCTGATCCGGATCTGCGGAAACGAAGGCCACATACTCATCATTCTCCTTGGAGTGCATGCCCACGGCATTTGGGGTATTGGTATCATATTGCAACCTTAATATGGAATCAAACAACTTGATCAGGTGGCGGTCAATAACTTGGGGATTGTTGCCATTGGACAGGATGTCCAGCAGATCGGCGGCTGATATGAAATAAAAGCGCGGAAAGGCAAGTCTCTTTGTTTCCAGATAATCATTCAAGGCCTTTTCGCAGATGGCCAATCGCTGTTGCAACTGCAATAATTGGGCGAGGACATCCTCGTGGTGGAGCACCACCTGCATGACCACCCGCACCTCACTCACCTTTAAATGAATTTGATTTAGAACGAGAAATTTGATCAAGAGGATAACCCACCTTGGCCAAAAGTTTCGTGAAGTCCTCGTCAATCCTCTCGAAATTGGCCGCATCCGCTGGCAACTGGGCTCGAATGTCCGCGGATCCGATGAAGATGCACTCCAAGTAGATCCACTTGCGCTGCACCTCGAACCAGTTGACAATCAAGGTGTCGATGCCTCCGAGGACCTTTTGCCAGTGGCTGAGCTTGTCGAGCAGGTACTCGATGTGCTTCGAGGTGGAGATGTTCTGCAGCTGCATCTGGTTGTCGTCCAGCGTTTCGATGAGTTCCTCGGACACCTTCAGCAGTCGGATGTTGGGACGGGTGTGATGCTGCTCCAGCTCGAACTCCAGATGGGCCCAGGTGGCCCTGATCTCGTCCAGCACCTTGGTCACCGTCATCTCCTTGATGGCCCGGTCCACCGTGTTCTTGATGTCCTCCTCGTGGTGCTGGAGTTTAAGGGTCAGCAGCTGGGCCAAGCTGGTGGATTTGTTGCATTTGTAGGAGAGCTGCAGGGCGGAAATCGGATATTAAGCATACGCATCATGTGTCAAATTACTCTCAAATTAGAAATTTGAATACATTTCAACGGCTTCGGGAAAAGCTAAGCTCAACTCCAATTCATTACCACAACAATGTACTGCAAAATTAGATGTTTTCCTTAAGCATTTAAAATAACAATCATTGTGCAGTAGTTGCTAATGGCTATATTTATTAGAATTGGTTTATAGGTTTACTTTAAAAGCAATGTTCACACAATTGTTTTTGTTACTGATTTTTGGTAATTTTAGAATTCATTGCGATACAGAATAACAAGTATTATTAAGTGAGGAGTTCATATCTTTATTTATAGCTTGCAGGCCAGTGTAATTGATGGCCAAGCTTTTCTCCGTTGGCCCGAACACACATTAATAATCACACAGTTTGACTGAATTCTGGCAAATTTAATTAACAGAACTGAGCAATGCATTCCTTTGTCGCCTCCGGCTGTGCCGGAGCAAAGGCAAAAGCTCTGCTAAGCCAATTGTTAATACTGTTCTGTAATGGAGCCAACGCCCCAGAAACTGGAGGCATTCCATTTAACAATGCACATAATCCGGAACCCATGGAAGACCATTGGCTTGTGGCTATATTTCTGATTGGACTTAGATGGCCAAATGCGATAACTACATTTTAATTCATGATTTTGGTGAAGGCAACGGATTAGGTTTCGCATTATAGTTGTGATTTTCATTTACACTTACCAGCTCCTCCATGGAACGCAATCCACTCAGCTGAGCATGAGGATAGGCGAGAAATTTGATTAGAATTTAGTAATTAATGCGACAGATCAGTGATTCAATATAACTGATGATAAACTATAGTTTCAGTGAATCAGGGATCCCAAATGGTTTCCCCGCCCTTTGTTTGTGCAGAATGCTTAACCATTCCCCGGGTGTGCGGTGTGCTATTCCCCAATTGCGAGTGTGGTTATGTCCTGTGACAGGTCCTGCAGCTCCTGGTGCTCCTGAGGTTGCCGCACTTCACCTCCGATAATGTGTTTGCCCAATGTGCCCGCCATGAGCTTGGCTCAAAGAGACACCAGCCAGCAGGCAGATTGCCGGCTCCGTTGCATTGTTGGTCCGCTCAATCAATCGGAAGGATACACACACACACACACACGCACACCCACAGCGCAACTCACCTTTGTCAGCTGCATGAGCTCCATCCAGTGTCGCTCGGTAATTGCTGGATTCTGCAGCTCGGTGATGGCCCTCAGCGAGGCGACCAGTTCGCGCAGCACGCCCACAATGTGGACATAGGGCGCCCACTCGCGGATGCACTTGTCCAGCGTTCGCAGGTCGCGGGTGAACTTCTTGCACTCGTGCTCCATTTCATCGGTATCGATGCGCAGCCAGGGCGTGGCATGCCACTCCACGATGCACGACTCGATGACGCGCACAAAGTCCCACAATTGCTGCGGGCGATTGTGGGTCAATTATTAGTTTTGGCGAGATAACAAGCTGCTGCTTATGACATCACTCCCCCAACCCCTCCCATCAAAGATAAGCTGGTGTTTCCCCACACAAAAATCAATAGGCAGTGCAATTGATATCAAGTTACTGCTCAGCATAAAGTCTTCAAGAAGTGGTTAAATAAATTTAATGAATATCGTATTAATTGACACAAAATAAGTGCATAACTTCAAATATATATTAAGCTTAAAAAATGAAATAATAATCACATTTTCCTTGTGAAGTATTTAAAACAAATAAACATTATTAATTTGTTTCCTTCGTTTAGCTTTGTAAAAAGTACTCATTAATGTTTTTCAAATTGAATGTTTTGTTATCAACACAAAGGTGAATTTTTAGATTTGTTTGCATGCTGTTTTTGTTATCAGTGAATTTGTTTCTCAAATTCCCAGTCAGCTGATTCGACACTCACCTTGACCCTCCTCAACTCGACCTCGCACGACTGCAGAGTGGAGAACTCGGGGGCAGAGATGTCGAGCAGTCGAGCCCAGCGGGTGTAGAGGCGTTGCTGCCGCCGGAAGCGGAACAGCCGGACGTAGACCTCATCGCAGACATCGTAGACATTCGGACAGGGCACCCGGAAGAACTGCAATCCAAGAGAGATATATATTATCGTCATCCACCGACTGAGTAATGTGCGTATTTGTCACTCACTGGCATTCGCTGTAATTGGCGAGCGTAGTGCTGCAAGTGACAGGTGTGCAGACCGATTAGAGCAGCCACGCGTTGTTGTTGGTGGAAGCGGGTGTCCTGCAGCGCCTCCTGCTTAACGGTACTCGTCTGCTTGAGCTGCTGCCACTGCTGCGGCAATTGCTCAATGCTGCGCAACAGCTGCGGCTCGAACTCCACGTTGTAGGTCTTCAGCAGGCCCATGATGTCCTTCAGCGGCTTGAAGACATTGTCCGCGTACGGCTCCCGTTGACGGATCTCCGACATGATGGCCAAAACGCGGAGCAGGGCGGAGAAGTCCTGGCGGGCGATGTGCAACTGCAGCGTCTCGTGACCGCGGCCAATAAATGCGTTCAGCTCCTGCAAAAGAAGTTTCCAACGTCTTAACCACTCACTCACTTACTCTGTTAAAAACTCATTAAGGTTATCAACAAGTAATAATTTTAAATTTAATTAATTTAATTCACTTGAAATAATCTGTTTTGGCTGGATGTTGGGTTTTCTGCGAACTGTGACATAAAACTGATAGCTCATTTCATATATGCACAGAATATTTATAAGATTAGCAATCTCTTGTCAGCAATATTTGAGCTTACTTCGTAACTTTATCAGGAACTCAATTGTAGTACTTTAGAAACGTTCAAAGTGAATGGTTTTAAATTTTAAAAATGTTTAAGTTGGCTATTTTTTTGTTTTGCGCCTTTATGGTCAAAAATGTGTTTGGAATATCGTCTACTTTACACGATTCTCATGATCAATGTAGTCAGTCCGCGTTAACTGCCCTTCACAAAGATCAAATTGAAATAAAGAGTGAACTTCAAAACTTAATCGACTCGTTGGATTCAAAGATAGACAATATAGAAATAAAAATGGACGGTCATCTTCGTAGCGTGCAGTTGGAGCTGCAGAACCACTCCTGCGAGAAGACAATTCCTCAAGGGAACTTGGAGGCAAAACTGGTGGCGATGCAGGAAACAATGAAAAAACAATTCGAGATGATTTTAAATTTTAAAAACGAGATGAGTACCAGAATTGGGAATGTTCTAAGCATTGTGCAAGATCATAAGAGGACCGTCGAGGGTTACCAAAAGAATATGATTACGAAACCAGATATCGAAGAATCCTGCTCTGAGGCCATCTTGCAGAAAGACTATAAGGCTGAATTTCGCGCGCTTCAGACTAATTTAGATCGTCAGCTTGGTGAAATTCAAACTAATCTGAAGGAGCTTTCAAAATCCCGTTCAAAAAAGATACCTGCTGGGTTCGAACTGATCGGCGGTAGATACCTTTACATTGACAATGATAAAAAGAAAAGTTGGTCTGATGCTGAAGAATCATGTCGGAATATAAGCGGTCATCTAGCCTCTATCGACGAATCAAACGAATCTGAGTTCAATGCCATCTCTGCATTAGTTAATCCAAATAACTCTTACTGGCTTGCCCGCAGCGATAATATTTATGTTTACCTAAGTAACAAAAAAATTCGTAAAACGACAAATGCTCGCCGTTATTTTAATTACTTTATTTGTGAGGCAGATTAATAAAACAAAAATTGATACAAATTCTGATGGAATCATTAAAATAAAAATTTAAATATAACGGATTTGAAAATGCAAAGCGATTTGAATACATTTTTTGTTTGATTTTTTTGGTGTTTATAGTTGAAGGAACTTCTTACCTTAAGGGTTCCCTGAACGTAGCGGAGCAGCCATTTCTTGCAGAGGTGCGACCACTTGCAGGCCAGATTGAGCAGGCCAAACTTGAGGGGCTTCAGATCGAGGGCCAGCCATCCGTTGATGCACTTCCGGTTTTCGCACTGGTCAATGGCGTCGTGCACCTCGTTGTAGTTCTCAATCTGTGGAAAATCCAGATTGCTAAGTCGCCTGACAGGAACTTTCTTTGACCGAACCCGCCTTAATTTATTTGCTAATTTGCCACACATGTGTGTGAGGACGGACTAAGCCCCTATATGCTCTGGATATATTATAGTATTCCTACCGCTGCCGTCGGTTTATTAAGCGCACCAGCTGCGGCAGAGGCAACTCAATGGTTAGTCATAAATAAAATGCCGGCCAGTGATTTTTCGTGCTCTATTCTATGTGAAGGGTATCACGGAATTTATGAGTAAGACATGAACACTACTTGGGGTCAAAAAATAAAATGTCAGAGGGAATAAAAAAGTAAAAAAATGTACGTTCCAAATACTAGCTTCTTAAATACAGAAAACAAAAGGTTTCCTGTAAATAAAAAAACAAAACATTTGCTTATACAAATCATAAAGTCATATTAATTAATACAGATTTAAACTAAAAAAAACATTTGTTTGTTTTTATTTAATCCCAGTTTTTTTTATCAAATCCATAAGGACCAGAAAAACAATCGCTAGATCAGATAGCCACTTAATAGCGTGTTCATTTTATCGTAACGTTTGCTTTCCCTCTCAGGATATTAGGCTTAAACGTGTTAAGCATTTCGAAAAGAAACACTCCGCCCCAAATAAGATGAAATGTTTGAGATCAGGCCATTCAGACTTCGTTGCTTTCCTGTTCGACTTTCCTTGCTGGCGAATTTCCCTTATTTTATTGGGCAACACCCAATTTAACGCCATGTCCGTGCATTTCGACCATGATTTGTTGTTGCCTCTTGTGTTCAGCGTGTATGAGTGTGTGTGTGTGAGTGCCTTTTGGGTAATTTATTGCATACTTTTCGGGGCGTTTGATAATTGTTTAAAGAAAATATTACGCATACGTCGGCGATTTGCCTGCTGTGCTGGAGGCAAGTGGCTCCCAATTGCCCCCCGAACATAAGTCAACAACGCCATGTGGTGGTTAAGCAGTTGTTTAGTGTTTTGCTTTGTTTTGTTCCCGTCTTCTTCGGTTTTTCTTTGGTTTCCTGCGTTGCCCCGGTCAGTGACGAGTTGCCACACATTTGACCCTAAATGTTTGGCATTTATCAAGCGTTATTGGTCTCAGGGGCAATACGGCGTAAATTGTGTGGTTGCCAATTGAGGGACCCAGTCTGTGTCCGTCCTGCCATCTTTATCTGCTGCCTGTCGTAAGTGTGTGAGAGCCTCTGCTGCCACCAAAAGCTGCTGGCATTCGGTGCCCCGGGGTCTTTCCTTCCTTTCTTTTCGGCTCACCTCCTTTTTGAACGTCTCCATGATGGCGTAGCCACCGGCGCTGACCTGCTGCGTCTGCTCCCTGGCCGTTTGCATACAGGCGGCCAAAACTTCGCCACTCTGTTGGGACCACAGGAATGCATAGGCGTGGAATTTGGCAGCGTAAGCCGATGCCGCCTCTACCGTATCCGCCAGGGCATCACGTATCGCCTTCTCCAGCACTTCCAGACCGTCGGCTGGGATGTATGAGCAGATATAGGAAAAAAGGGGGGAAAAGAGTGTGGGATGACAGGAAAGCGTGACAAAATAGTTCGATTTTGTAACCGAAGTGTACAATACTCTATTCCAATAGCATATGCTTGTTCACCTTAACTTATAATAGTTAAAACTTGTCTTTAAGATTTTCTATTATGGTACATTCCAATACTAAATTATTTTTATAGGGTTGCATAAATGTGCAAAAATAAATCGAACCCTTAAAGGAGTGTATAAAAATGCCAATGCCATACCAGTGCCTTCGATTTTTTGGCTATACGCCTTGGCGGCTGCCAGCAGGTTGAACTGCACGGCCTGCGGCTTTGGTTCCTCCTGCTCCTGCTTCTGCTTCTGCTCCTGCTCTTCCTGTTCGTGATCCTTTTTTTGGTCCCGCTCCTGCTGGTCGTACTCCTCGTTCGCCGCGGTGGCGTCTTCATCATCCTCTGACAGGGCATTGTCAGCCACAATTCTTGGCATGCAGTCGCATGTCTGTTTTATATCGAGCAACAGCTGCTCCACAATTTGTTGAAAATTATTTTCCACACTTGCATCAAAGGCGGGCGAAAAGCGTATTTCCGTTTCCGTCAGCTCCAATTTTACTTCGAAGAGTGGAGCATCGTTGACTGGGGCACCCCCACCTCCACCTCCAGATCCTGATAGTCCTGTTGCTCCTGCTCCGCCTGTCGCCTGTGGCGTTGTGATTTGCTGAAGGACTAACCTTGCCATGCTGGCTGAAGTACTCGGATCCACTGTTGCTATTTCCTTCGCCGTCGTCGTCGCTGTCATTTCTTTGTACAAATACTCTAAACTGAATTACACGGCGTATGAGTAATGTGAAAATTAAATTTAGTGTTCAGTTTGTTTTGCAACTTATTTCGTTTGGCGGGGGTGGGAAACTCCACCCCCCACCGCTTTTCCCTCCCTCGTTTGTCTGACTGTCTGTCTGCATGCAATCACGAAAAGTGCCGCTAAGTGAAACATGCAATTGACGCATGAATGCTCGGCCCGCGGCAATTTGTTGTTGCCATTGTTGCCCCATTTTGCTGCGGTCGTAAAGTGTGCTTGTTGCTTTTGCTGTTGCAGTTGCTGTTGCTTTTGCTATTGCTGTTGCTTTTGCTGTTGCTTTTGCTGTTGCTTTTGCTGTTGCAGTTGCCGGTGTTGCAGTTGCAGTTGCCGTCCTGCAGGTGTCTTTCATTTTTGCGGTTGCTGTGTGCGATTTCGTGCTCATTTACTTGATTAGTTCTGATGAGACATGAAAGGAGCTGCCAGCGTGCCGAAATGTAATGAAATAGTTAGCTGCCAGATGAAGAAGTGCAATTGATTGGCGATGAGTGCTACTGACAATTATAATGAAACTAATGATGACGATGATGGAACTTCAAGTGCTAGGTCGTGTTGCTTAGGAACCTGATTCTCATCGCCTCGCGAATTTCCCGGCAGATCAGATCGTCTACGCTGGCCAAATACTTGTTGTACTTCCGCCGCTGATCCTTGGGGAACTCCCGAACGAACTTTGAACAAAAATAAATGTAACAAAGGTATTAAGTATCGTCGTTAAACGTACCTCTTGCACACTCAGATCCCTGGAGTACAACTGAAACTCCTGCGCCTCATAGTTGAAGAACAGACAGAAGTTGGCAATCAGCAGGCGATTGAGCAGCATCTTGGTCTCATCGCACTGCAGCAATCGCAGTCGCACTCGGTCCTGCTGATGGCGCAGATCCAGCAGATTGCGGCCGTATAAGCTGCGCTGATGCAGTGGCTCTCGGCTCCAGCGACGCATGCTGGCCAGGATGGAGTCCAGGTTGCCGTGCGACTGCTGCAGGCGGGCAAACAGGTCGCGGCTCTGCTCGTAGATGTCCGCCACAAGCGGATCATCTGGGGGTAGGTATTCGCGGTACACAGAGAAAAATTGTAACAAAAGCATTTAGAAATATAATCTTAAATATGAAAACCTAACTAAATTTAGATTTGATAGGGATTAAAATATATGCGAGTTGCTTTACAGATATTAAACATTTTTCCCGTTGCATATTCCCTAACTTCTACTCACCGTAGTTGCGCCAGGTGAGTTGTCGACAGGCGATGGCCACCTGTTCGTCGATGGTCGCCAAGTCGTTGCGAATTAATTGGAGCTCAGCTGCAGCGCACTCCCCCGAGCGAATGCCGTTGTAGAACTCCCCAATCTTGATGAGCCGAATGCGACGCTCCCAGTAGGAGTCCCGCTGTCCATAGAGAGTGAGCAGTGGCTCCGGAAGCTGGAAGAGATCGCCGGATAAGCTGCCAGTGGCCTGCAGTGCCAACAAATACTTGGTCTCCTTCAGCAGGGTAAAAAGAACGGGGGAGAAATTCAGATACAGCTGAGTATTGTCCTCCGATCGGGAAAGCACCGATTCATCCAGACCCTGGACAATAAGTCGATCAATGCATTCATGCCAAGTGGTCCAGATTTTCATTTGCAGGTTGCTTAATTTGGTGGTCAAAATATTGCGACGCGAGAGCAGTGAACTCCATTGAACGGGAAGCGTCTGGAGTTCTGACTTCTCTTTCAGTCTGAAAGTACTAAAGTTTCTTAAAAATCTTATAAATGATTTTACCAAAACCTACAACTGCTCAATGAGGTTGTTCAACTCCTTGGCGCCAAAGTCATTGCAACGGCTGATGTGCTGTTCCAGCCACATCATCGCATTGGCAATGGGTGGAAAGTTGTTGGCCAAGGGAAGAGCTGCCAAGCCACGGATCTCGTATCCCAGCAAAACCTCCGTCACACTTTCCTCCAGCTGCTCGATTTCCCTCTCGTAGATGGCAAGGATGTGAGGCAGGACACTGGCCAGTTCCGGTTGCACAGCTGCACGTTGCAGCAGGCAGCCAAACATGAGACTCAGCCGGAGCAAGTGCATCCAACTGTGGCACTGCTCGAAGGCCTGCAGCAGAATGGTGGCCAGTTTCTGCTCGAGAAGTTGCATTCGGCTGAAGAAAAGAGTCTGCTCTCGGCGGAAACTTTTCCATTTGCTGGCGATTGGAGCGGTGAGATCGATGTCTACATTGCTCCATTGCTCGAATAGTACTTTAAACTCTGCAAAGATCTGAAGAAAAGCCAATTAATGCAAAGTTAATCTTACTGGTATCTAAGCCCACCTCTCTGACTCGTTCCGTGAGTATTTTGCCCCTCAGTCCGCCCACTTCAAGCTTCTCCAGCTGCTGAAACTGCACTGCCGCCTCGAAAACCTGGCGCAACTCCATCAACTGGGCCGAGAAGCCATCGAGTGTCTGGCCAAACACATCCTCGTGGCAAAAGCGCCACAGCTGCTGCTGGTCGTCAGGTGACGGAGAAGGAGGCCCCCCCTGCCGCTCCTTCAGGAAGGGCGGGCAAAAGGACCTGTCCGCCCGCATATCGCTCCTTGTACTCCATCATCCGTTGTCTGGGAAAGGGAGGTTTTTGATATTCACTCTTAATTGTGTAAAACAAAACCACTTTTAAAGATGGAATGCAAATTAAAATTTCCCTCAAAATAAATGATTTAATTTCGGATAATTTCCCCAAACAATTATAAAGAAACATTACGATTTATTTAAATGGTTTTAAACTAACGAAGCTACTTACTTGAAAAGCTCCAAAACTTCAGTTGTGCGATTGATTTTCAGAAGTCCTTCATCGGCGTCTCCCTGGAAGAGGAGCTGCAGCTCGAGATCCTCGGCCGCCCGATGCACCATCATGTTGCAGATGCAGCGCAGCAGGACACTCATCCTCTGGGTGCTGCGGTAGTAGGTGGCATTGCTCCACACCAGGTGCACCACGTGAACCAGAGGAGCCACCAGATCGTGGCCATTGCTGAACTGCACCGAGTTGAAGGCGGAAGTCTGGCGGAGGAGCGGCTGCAGCCAAAGGGAGACGTCCTGAGCCTCCAACCAGGCAGCCACAAGCTTTCGAAAGGCAGTGGAGTACGGCACATAGTAAACCGACTCGATCCGCTCCAGAATTTGAGCTAGAGTTTTGTGCGTGGACTCGCGTAGCTGCTCGTAAATATTCTGCAGGTTTAGTTTCCTGTTCGTCCAGAAAGCAATCTCTTGAGCGGGCAAGGATACCAGGGTTATGTGTTTGGGTGTGTGACCGGATGATAGGGTGACTGATCCCAAGGGCTGACACTCGGAACGCTCCAGGACGATGTCGTGCATCTGAGTGGTCCAATTGATGAACATCTCCTCCAGCAAATTTCGAAATTTCGGATCCAAAGCTGGTCTTAAGTGACTGCCGAAAGAAATTAATTAACTTAGTAACTTATATTCAAGAAACTAAAACCAGAAGTTAATCCGTACTAAAGATAGCTTTTTCAGCTTGGATTTTATGTTGTTTGGTTACTGTTTTTATTACTGCTTTTCATTTACAATTCTATTCAACCGAACTTTGGTCCATGCTAAAAACTTTTGTAATGAGCGGAAACATTTATTGACCTAATTCACAACAAATTTGCACTTGACTTCCCCTTTTTATGTTGCTTTTGGTTTTTTACATTTTTCCTTATTCAGTTTTCAGTACAAAACTGATACTAATCAAAATGACTTTATCGTTTATTTTGACTTTTGCTCGGCTTTTCATCTTGTCTTTATTGATTCGAACAATGTGGAATAACTGAAGCAAAAATCTCTTAATAGTTTTTAAAGGCCCTTGACGTGTGTATCGATTGCAATTCTGTCGAAATTCTGGGCAATTTTCTTAAGATTGCTTTTTCTTTAATATTTGTAATTTAATTAAAAGCATTCGAACGATGGGAAAATAAACGGTATATGCCACCAGTTTTCTGTGGCCAAGGGGTAAACAACTTGAATTTCCCCGAAATTGCAAGCTAAATAAATTTGTACCGATTCATGCGAAAAGTTATGCCAATGAAAATCAATTTGCTATCATGAATAAGCCTTTCTCTTTCTGTCCTTCTACCATTCTATATTTCGGTGCTTCTCTCCACATAAACAATACGAGTTATCTGCTGGGGCGACATCTCCGAACATCTCTGAACCAAAGGAGCTGGAGCTGGAGGGCAGGGCGGAGTTCTAAGACTAAGACAATGGCCATTCAGTGGCTGGAACTTACCCTTGGCTCACGTGGGCAAACACTTCCTCGACGATTGTTGGCGAAACTAATAACGATAAAATTGTGCGATTGTTGGTTTTGCCCTTAATCTGTGGGGATAACAATAAAGTATATACAGACAAAATGTATACGTATCGCCCGTAGACACATGAAAAGTTTTGCCAATTAAGCGAAATACTTCCAAGACAATGGTCGGAGTCGCTTCGAATGGCATCGGTTTGAGGCACCCCACCTTGCCACTCGAAGCCTCCGCCCCACTGCACTCAATTAGATTAATTTGATGAGATAGCACAGCTGGCTGATGCACTCGTGAAAAAATCGTAGCTCTGTAAATATCATTTTCTATTAATTCTGACCTATAATACTGGTAAGAAAATATTTATATAATTTTGAGGCAAAAGAAAAAATAATGAAAACGTATTGCTGCATTATTGGAAAGCTAAATTGTTTCAATTCTGTCAGACTTTTTTGTTGGCTATCTGAGTAGATTTTTTCCTTGAGTGTTTCAGCTTCAATTACACAAATCACCCACCTCGGTGAGGGTGTTTCGCACTTCCTTGATGCGCGCCTGCAGATCCTTGCGAACAATGGACGGCCACTGACTTTGAGCCTGTTCCAGCAGCGGTTGCAGCACTTCGTCGAACAGCAGGGACATCGTTTCGATTTTGCTATGCACCGGAAAGTCACCGTATAGAATGCTCTCCGCGAAATTGGATGCCGTCAAGGGGCCGTCGGAGCTGTTCCGGCGCACAAAGTAAGCGCACTTTCCACGCGGCACGCCGTCCAGAGTCGTGAAGCTGGAGGAGGCGGGCGGCATCGGGATGAGCAGGGCACTGGGCGTGGCAGACACCACGGCGGACACGGCTGCCGTGGCCGTGGCCATGGCATCGTCTTCGAGGGGCAGCATAGCGGATGGGACAGAGCCACGGGTACTCTGAACCGAGTAGGGCAAGTACAAGTCACTGAGACAGCTCCTGGGCACCAAATCTCCGCCTGGGCTGAGGGTCATCACCAAAACACGACTGTGGCCATGTTGCCAGTCCAAAACAATCCGCTGAACACGAAAACCATTCGACAAAGGATACATAAATGCACAGATAAAAGCACAGTCCAATAACTTTCACATTAACTTTATAGTTTGTCGGTTAAAATGTGTTTTATATTCACATCAACTTTTAAAAATCACAACTAGGTTGCTTTTTGCAGGAATAATTAGTGGGATGATAAAATCATTTCAGTCATTAATCATTGAATCGTTTATCACCTTATTACGACTGGGCATTATAATTAATTACCGATTTAATTTCTATTAATTCAATTAAAACTTGTTGTTTATTATGCACTGTATTTTGAAACCCATTTCGGAAGTAATTTATCGTTCATATTTCCAGTTAAAGAAAATTGCTTCCTTAAAAGTAATTTTCATGAAATGCAATTTTATATTACCTTCAGCTTTTTGATAAAAAATAAACTTATGTTGAAATTTCCGTTTTATTTATTTTCTCCCTGTGCAGCAGTGGCAACTCACCCGCAGCTCATCGATGGCCATCATTTTGGTCCATTTATCCGGTTTGAGGCGCATTGTGGTCGTCGTGTAGGCGGCCACCCGCTCCAACCTGGCATCAGTGTAGTCGCGCTGGACGCGATTCCGACCGCTGCCGCCGCCGGTGGACAGGACCTCCTCATCGCTGCTGGCCATTCCGGCCGCATCGGACATTGGCCGGGGATCGAGTGCGAGTGCGGGGAAATCGGATCCGTGGTGCAGCGGCTGCGATGCGGCAAATCAAACAACTCGCCGCGGCAACTGGCGTTAAAATGATGATGGGCCCGCTTCGTGTGACCTCTAATGCCGGGCGGCCAGTGGGCGGCGGCCGCAGCGCCAGCCACGCCCCACATATCGATCAAACTTCAAATTCGCATTAACAGAAACACTTTAAAGTGTGTGCTCGCGCAGCGATTTCAAATGCAAAATGGCTTACGCGAGGGGGAAAAGTTTAGCCCGAACTAGCAACTTTAATTGCACACGGGGTGGGCGAAAAGTAATTTCCGTTTTTCTGCAAGTTTTGAGCCCAGTTCGGTGCTCATAAGTCAACATCAGGTGGGGTTTTCCAAAGGGAAGGACCGAAGGGGCATGCAAATGATGTGCTGCGGACTTGCAGTGTCCAACGCGGCGTATGCTTAATGGGCGCAGCTGATCGAATGTCCTGGCGCTTTTCATCCCTGGCAGCTTAAGTACCAAGCAGAACTGGAATTTATGGCACCACATCCTGGCATCCTTTGCACTCACTCTTTTCCAAAAGTCAAGCGTTGTGAGTGAGTGACTGACATGTGTCAAGTAACAGCGCCAAGTAGTTGCAGTTGCAGTTGCAACAAAGGCTCAGTGGCATAGTTAAAACGTTCTGCAATTACCGAAAGTACATAGGGAAACCCTTTGTCGGATTGCACTCGACACGGATGATGCCCTGGCAAATTGTAAAATATTTATTTGGCAGTCAGTCCTTACCATAACTTTCTACTTTCGAGACCCGCTCTTTTTTCTGCAATAAGTAGCTTATGTTGCATTGGCAACTAAAGCAAAGTGGGTTCTGTTTCACCAATCCCATCCTTTGTCCTGCTGCTAATGTATCGTACCTTCCCGAATCGAGAACTGCTGACTTCGTGCTGTAACGATGATGATGGGGATGATGGGGATGTTGGTACGGTGATGTCGGCCATTCTGGACCGCTGTGTAACTTTGATGTGAACTCCGCTTTTAAATATCAGCGTCACATCAAAAACAAGTGCTTGGCAACCCGCAGCTGTGCTCCCATTCTGGACGGGATTGGGCCGGCACCCTCGGGACAAATGCATTGCCCTCATTTCACAGTCAACCGCAATTGTAGCACTCTGAGCTCCGTTTTCGTTGGACGGGATTTTGGATTGAGCGCGGCTGTTCTGTTGTTAATGAATTTGCTCAAGCTGTTTGCGAGCAGCTTAAAATTCACTCTTGCCCCGGGGTGGCAGCTAGGAAAAAGAGCCACACAATCAGAAATAAAGTTCATTTAGATAATAATATTTTATGGTTTTCATTTGAACACATCCTTTGCATTTCATCTTAACTCTTGGAGATTATGAAACTGAATTCATGGATTAGTATTTCTTATCATTTTATATATTGTATTATTAGTTTGAAAAAAATAGTGTTATATTGAAGCAAGGACATTTCTTTCTGTGCACAAATGCCATCTGTTCTCGTTTGATCCATAAACCTGTTAATATAAAACATGAAGGAACGCTAAGCTCAACTGCCTCGACTATCAGATACCCGCGATTCCAATGAACAGTTCCAATGTTTGAAAACAGTTTTCGCATGATTTAAAATCTCGAATTTTGGTTCTCCTGTTTTATCTTTTTCTGATTATGATTCCGATTACTCAATCCATTACATAATTTTCAACAAGTACAGCATACCCTTTCACTTCCCAAGTGACGGGTAAAAATATATTTGAACAAGAAAGGAAGCTAGCTTCGGCAAGCCGAAGCTTATATACCCTTGCAGTCATCAAATATGTCGAACAAAACGCATAAAGGCTAGACAACATCGAAGCTAAGACGATTTTTCTATTCATTTTCCATATTTTTGACTATAGATCATATGGGAGCTATACGATATAGTTGTCCGATTTTGATAAAAATTAACTCGTAATTCAAGAGTCGTAAAAACACTCTATATTCCAAAAATCATACTTGTCTGATGAAAAACAACGATGTTATCAATTTATTTCCATTAATTCTATATATAATTTTCGATCCCTCCTATGGCAGCTATATGATAGAGTTATCCGATTTTGATCAAATTTAATCCGAAATTCAATAACAGTTAAAAAACGCCATCTTGAAGAATTCAAGTCGATCTGATGAAAAACAATAGAGTGAGAATTTTTTATTTCATTCTCTTGTATTGGAGCTATCCGATATAGTCGGCCGATCCGGCCCGTTCCGACTTATATACTGCGTGCAACAACTACACAACTTTTGGGAAAGTTTCAGCACGATAGCTTTAAAACTGAGAGACTAGTTTGCGCGGAAACGGACAGACGGACAGACGGACAGACGGACAGACGGACAGACGGACAGACGGACAGACGTACATACATATTTCGATTCTGCTCGTGATGCTGATCAAGAATATATATACTTTATGTGGTCTGAGGTGTCTCCTTCACTGCGTTGCAAACTTCTGACTGAAATTATAATACCCTTTTGCTCTGCAAGGGTATAATAAGCATTTCAGCAATAAAAGAGATTATTTTACATAGTTTGCATAGCAGTCAGATGGGGACCTGGAGCTGGTCCTCAAGACTAAGGCAGGTCCATTTGCCAGCTCGTCGGCCTTAATGTCCTGGCCAAAGTGGATCCTTGCCGTCTGCGTCGCCAAGACGTGCATAAATAGTGCGACAGTCCAAGTTAAACATGGAAAGCAAACGGAGAAGAAAATATGCGATGGCGGCGCAGAGGAGAGGAAGCCGCAAGAAAAATAAACTTCGAATTGATTTTAAAAGGAATGCCTCGATGGCCCCTGGAACACTTCAAATTAAGTAAATCGCACAAAAGCCGAGCTGTGGATGGCGGACGATGGACGTTGGACGATGGACGCTGGACGAGGGACGTCAGTGAGTCGTGGAAAATGAAACTGTAAAATGCTTTTACTACATTTTCCCAGCGAGTGGCTGCTGTCGGGGCTCTCGTACTTTTTGAATTTATGCCAAGCCTCGATCCGAACAAGTTGGCTTGTACTTTATGGGCGAAATGAACCCTTTTCTCCCCGCCGACATTTCTTTTTTTTCGTTCTGCAGCTGCTGATGAGTTTCATTATGTGCGAACAAATCATCACATGCCAGTGGGTTGGGGGGAAATCTGAAGGGGAGACGGGGGGCAGAATCAGAATCAGAAGCAGAAACAGGTCCTGGAAAAGGACCTCAGAGGCTGGGCGGCAGACTGCACGGCGTCGTCCTCGTTTAAAAGCAATTTCGTGCATTTGTTAAGGACGCGCGCGCGATTCGATGTGTGCGAGTGCCAGTGTGAGGAAAGTCAACACTATTTCATTACGGACAAAGACCATTTCCATTTGGGCAAATTTATGAGAGCTCGGTGGGCATGCAGCGGAGCCTCTTAAAAAGAAACGCGTTAGGAAAATGGCCCGGGCACTCAATGAAAGCCGGGCCCAATAGCAAATCGATCAGCGCACAAAAAGATAAATAGAAAATGGAGCGTTTGACAGTGCAAACAATGTCAGTCCTAAGCCATCCGCCAATGTCCAAACTTGAAACAAACAAAATTGAAGGAAAGAACTAGCAAAAAAAACTATGATCAAGTAATACGACTAATAGATACCCGATTTATTAGAGTCTCATAAGGCATTCAGGTGGTTTACAAATTAATCTGGATTTTATAAAACACAATTTCTTACTGATTTTATCTAAGTAAATATTTTTCACTTTCATTCTGTAACTTTCTTTTTACAAACACTTTGACAATCCCAACATACCCTCTCTACACGGTATGAAAATGGGAAAAAATCGCCAGATAGCCAGAAAGGAAAAGCAAACGAAGCCAAACCGACAACTCCTGCCCGGCTTTTAGCGGCATTGTGTGCAGTCTAACGACAACATTCAATAAACAATTCACAATTGATTGACAAACGGACGGGCGGTCCAGTGTTATTCGGATTCACTGCTGACGACTGCCGATTGACGACTGACCAACAGGACTAACTGCTGTCCGCCGGACACTGCGAGCACGGCCATGAATGAGCAACCACGACAAGTCAGCGGAAGGATGTTAGTTCGAGTGGATGAGGAAATTGAAAGCGAATGCTGACAACAACAAAGTTGCTGCACACCAAAAAAAAAAAAAAAAACAGTAGAAAAAACTCACAGAATAGGCGACAGAATCCCCCGTCCGAAAAACAGGCAAATATAACGAGAGTCCTGCTGCTGGAACAAAAACAATGAAAGCAAATTTCTGTGCGGACATCCGGCGGCGATTAGACGGGGACACTGAGCACTGAACACTGAAGATTGAACATTGAAAAGTGAACAACGAACTCAAAACACTGGACAACGCTGGCTGGTGGTAATCGATTGCGGTTCGGCGGGTGTTTCTAGTTTTATTAAGTAGAATTCGTAAATATCCTCTGTCTTGGCTCCCAGTGGGATGGCCTCAAAAATCTGACTTTGATGTAGGCAGAATTACATGCTGAGGTCTGAGCGTACTTCCTTTAAAATTTGGTCACGTTTCAGTTGGTCACTTTCGGTGGTGGTGCTTCCTTCTCTGCCTTGGGATTTAAATAAGTCCACTGACTGGATTGGGAAACCTCTCATCATCATCTATCTTGCAAGAAGCCATTTCCTCTCAGTTATAATTAACTCCTCTATTGTTTACTCTGTTTTTGGGAGATGTCGATGGAGAGTTTAGAAATAGTTGTTTCCTATAATTGTTATTTGAAGAATTTGTCTCAAATAATCACCATTAAGCCTTAAGAAATTGCGAACTGAATTTATATCAAAAGATCTTACAGATTGCAAGACATTTCCTCTAACCACTTGACCCAATTGCAGTGTCCTTGGGAATATTAATTAGCCGATCCTCGGATGCCCTGGATCGTTAGGTGACTCTTAATTAAAATCCCTGCCCGGCTAATTGCGCTCGTGACTCTTGCAGCTCATTAGCTCGACTCACGTAGCCGAATGTTTGGGCATAGTTTGGCAATTGCTGGCCAAAAGTTTGCAGCGCAACAACAACGAAGGCGACCAGATAAAAAGAGCGATGGAGGTCAGCGCAACGTTATGTAAGGCTGAAGTTTTGCAAATCCTTTTGGCAATTAGATACTTGTAGTCGGGGACAGGAAGAAGCAAAGGACGAAGGACGAGGGAGCAGAAGATTGAGGGGCGCCCACAAATATTGCACAAGTATCAAGTATCGTCGTCGCTGGCCGCCGTGGCATTTCGCAGTGCAAATATCCCATTACTCGGATGAAACTTTTAATTAAAAAGTTGCCAATGACAAACGGGACGAGGTTGCTGTGGGTCCCTACCCCCACCCCCCTTCCCATGCGACCCCACTAAGAAATGCGCCGTAGTCTCACCAGAAATATTCGGTTCGGCCACTGGGATATGGTATATCTGCTATATGGCTTGCTGGATGGGATCTCTTGGTCGGTATGAGCTGACTCAGTCTGGCACGCACGTAATTGAGACAAACTTTGAGACAGTAAAACACTCGGCCAGCTCCTCCGGCAAAGAAGTTTGAAGGAGAGGGGACCAGGAGACAGGGGGGCCAATGGGAAAATTACGACATTTAAACCCGTAGGTTAAGTGTACGTGAAATATTAAGTTTAGCTGCTCGAGAGCACCTAAATCTTATTGTAGGTCATTTGTCGGCTGGCGCATTTCGGTGTCCTCCGATGTGGGACCTAATTAAAGTTCGAGGGGAATGGGTTCGATTAAGAGTTTTTAACCGGAGGGCTAAGCTAGTGCGGGGTCATAAATTTGCAGCAGACGTGTCTGTGTCACAAGGACTCGGTTGAAATTATTATCATTATCTGCGCAATCACAGCTTGGAAGATAGGGGTTGGAAAAGGGGTTTACCTCTAAAATTTTTGTATACGAAATCTTGTAAGCAAAATGATAGGAATATCCCTATGAATATTGTTTTCTGGCGAAGAGTAGAGCGTACAGCAAGAACATTTTGTTAAGCGATACTTCTGCGGAATCCAATTATGTAGTATGCGAAGCAGGAGGGAATATGCGAAGGGAATTCTCCTCGCTCATTTTAAGCAGCGCCAATGGCGAATGAAGAGGTCCTGGTCCAAGCCGAACAACTGAGGCAGGGGCTTTTGAAGCTGAAGGGGAGGGTGAGAAGCTGGGGCAGCCGACTATCGGATCCTGTCGTCCTGCAATTGCTAACGCATCGCTTGAAAAGGCAGTCGAGTGTGCACGCTGTGGAAATTGAACATCGAAGGCCGAAATTTTGCAGTGGCAGCTCGAAGCGGAGAGCGGGAGGAGGGGAGACCTGGCTCGACTGCGGCTAATTATGCTGCCAACGTTCAGGGGAGCGCCGCTGTGGGGCAGCGGTAAATGTTACGATTTTGCCAAATAATCAGAAAAGGCTCTCAACATTTTACGTAAAACGAAAATGCACGGGAAATGTGCCGGAGGGGCTGGTGGAAAAACGCCATCGGGAGCGGAAGTGCAGTGGTCGACGTGTTGTTGCTTTGTTACGTTATCTAATTACAAAGGAATTGTGCGGCAACGTCACACAGTTGCCGGTCCACCGATCCCGCCACTGTCCAATCCCTCCCCAAGCCACCCAACCCCAGCCACTCCCCCTTTCTTCACAGGACAAATAGAAAAAAAAAAAAAAAAATAAAGCCCATTCCCATGACCATCCCATCCCATCGCATTCCATCGCATCCAAACTGGGCTAGGGCAAAAATATTATTTCTGTTCAAATGCACAACATGGTTGGTTGTCCGGGAAGGCTGGCTGCGGGCATCCGATTGATATATGCAGATGCGTTCTCGCAGTCCGGGTATCTCAGTCCGCCCGTGGAACCCAAATGCCCGCAGTTAGTTATTCACACACCCACATGCACACATACCGAGCAGCACCCGCCCACTCACACACACGCTAAATACACTTGTGTCTAATAAGTTTTATCCGAACGGTCAACGAGGCGTGCACCCACACAAACACATGGACAACCGCCCAAAGTGCTACACTGAGCGCAACAAATAATCACTTTATAAAATTCTTTTTAAAATAAAATAAGAAAATAATCTTTGACAGGTGTCAAACATATTTGTAATACATTTTTAAAAATACAAAATTATATTGTGGTATTACATTTACTTACTTAACTTTGTTGCCTTGTATTCCAAATAAAACTTACTCATTAACACCTTGAAACTTAAATTGCATTATATTTTGGTGTATATTTTTTTCCCCTGTAACACAATGGGTGCTTTGGGGGGGCGGTGTGTGCCCCATAAACAAATGAAGGGTCGTGCTCCGGGGAACCCAGCTGCGTATGCCGCATATTTGAGCGGGCATGGCGAAAAATTGTCAAACTGCCGGCCGCGGCCCCAAAGTCAGTTAGGTTGGCAATCTGCTTAGCCAAAGCCCACCGCCCGGAAAATAGCACCACCCACGGACCATCCATCGCCGCAATCCACTTGCATTTAAATTGTGAAAATATTTGGACGCTGTCGACCGGTCGTTAAATGAAAATTGAAGCTAGGTCGCCCATTTCACTGGTTCTGACCATTTGCCGGTGGCCCACACGCAGAAAATCTTTAAGCAAACGAGGTCAACCGGGATTTTTCGGACGGGAATGGGCCAGTTAAGGGACGCTAATTGCGTGCTTGTCAACACTCGAAATAAAAATAATATTTGCAACAATTAAAAGAGCGCCAGCGTCAACAAAAGAGTCAACGTTTTGAGCGACTCAAAGGCTGTGGCCTAAAAAAAAGGGTCCGAAAACAAATGGCTGCCCAACGATTGCGCCTCTGCCACCAGGTGAAAAATTATTCAAATTATTCAAGTTGTAAATTATGAAAGGGACAACTCGTACACCAATTATGCGAGCTGTCAATGTGCCGCAGAGAAAATGCATAATTTAAGTTTAGAATTTAATTTTTATTCAAAAGATCAAAATGTATTCTGTGCTCTGTGTGATTATGTATGTTGTAATAAACAGAAATAAGATAGAAAGGAGTTTCTTTGCTTTGACTTGTAGCTACATTTTTTTGTTGAGTTGACAAATGAACCTTTTTTGTGCATCACATTTAGATTCATACATAGTGCCGTTATGAAGAAAAATACAGTTCCATGCTGTTGAATGTCCGCGGTAATTTTGATAGTTCCAATTTAAAAACGCGGCTGGCTCGCCAGAGTTTGCATACAAATACTTGCCTTCGGGTTCATGATAGATTATCCCAAGCCAATAGCTTCTTAGTGGGTTAACTTTTCTTTTTATGGCCCTGAGATCCTCTTCGTTTTCAATTGTGCCTAATTTACCACCGAGTTCTCGACATGCTTCTTCAGCCGAAGTAAAGTTTTTTTGAGCGCGGCTTTCGATGTAGAAGGATTTTCCGTTGATCATCTGGTATCTTGATTTTGATCTTGTTGGGGGCTTTTCTGTCGGGGGCTTTTCTGTCGGGGGCTCTTCTGTCGGGGGCTTTTCTTTCGGGTGCTTTTTTGTCAGAAGCACATTAAGACCTGTCTGAATTTTATAAAGGGCTGATTTTAACGCCTCCAGCTTTGTATGCAAGGACCCTGGAGAGATCGAATTCTGGACGGGTTGGCTCTCCTGCTCAATTTGCACGCCTCGAAGTTGGGCATCGAATTTAATTTGTATGTCTGTTATCTCGGATTCCAGCCATTCATTGATATTTCTTTGCTCTTCTTCGACCCTGTTCAATTGGGCCTTGATTTCAGATACGTAAGCGTTCGTCTGCTGCAGTGCCGAAATGATGGCTCGTGCATCATTATACTGATAATCAGCCAACGTTCCAAGTATGTGCCCAACAATTAGGGCCCAAGAAAAAAAGTATGCCAGCTTGCACATTTATTAATATTTAAACCACTCCAGACGAACAATCTTGAACTACTGAAACTGAGCTCTCTCTAAAAAAAGCAATCCAGTCTTCGGGTTTACTGATAAGCTGCGCTCTATGTATGCGTTATGCTTTCAGCTTGATAAGACTGTTTACGATTGCGGAATTAATGATTCAGACGACAAATTAATTCATACTTAAATTAGAAGTCATGAACCAACAGATAACATGAACTGTGCTACAAAACTTGTGCAAAAGAAAAATTCCCAAATATTGTTGTTGCTAAAAATGATTTTAAAATAGCTAGAATAAAAATTATTTTTTTTTTCCTATCTTCTTAGAAATTTCCATTAAAAGATCATTAGCGCTAGATAAGGCTTTTTATAGTAAAAATCAGATTTTACTCGTCCGAATGCAAATAACTTGCAGAATTTTGACAAACGAAATATTTTGTGGATGGGCGCGAAGAGTGAGTGACCGATTCAGCCGATGTCGTGGTCTCTACTTCACGGGAGTGGGTCTCTTGGGAAGGTTCCTCTTCAGGAGTTGCCAATTGATGCTGGTCGGTGTGCCCGTGGCCCGTGGCTTGGCCAGCTTCTTGTGGCTCGATCCCTTCGAGAGTTTGGAGCTGGCCGATCGCAGATGTTGGCTAACGCTTCGTTCAACTTTTGCACCGGCCAACTTGCTGGCCACTTTGTTCCGGAACTTGCGCTTCAATATCATCTTGCCGTGGCTGATTTGGCTCTTGAGACCAACGCTCTTCGACTTGGCCAACACTTTCGGGGCCTTCGGGTGCTTGGTAGCTGACCTTGGGGACTTTCCCAACTTTGTGGACTTGCTGGTCTTGCTGGACTTCGACCTCAGCGACTTGAGTGACTTGTTCGACTTGTGCGACTTAAGCGACTTCAAAGATTTCTGACCCTTCAGGCTCTTGTCCTTGGACTTAAGCTTAAGGGCCGCCGCCTTCGTCTTCAGACTCCTAGCCGACTTCTGTACCGTTATGATGGCACCGCCCTTGGCGCGCAGATCGACCTTTTCGGGGGCGGGGCCACCGAGTACTTGGGCATCATGGCCGGTTTGGCGGCCAAGGCGCGATCCGCCTGAACGATGGCATCGAAATTGCCGAAAACCTGACGGATATTGCGGTTCACGTACTCCAGATACTTGAGCGCCGAGTTGCACAGGCTGCACTTGGGACTCTTGTCGCTGTCCTTGTTATTCCGGATCAGGCTCTCCAGGTAGAGAAAGTTCTTGGCCATGTTCTCGCAGTAGCGGCACTTGGTTGTCTTCTCCATGGCGTTCGGCGTGGGATCGTAGAGACCGGGCTTTTGCTGCAGATTCAGAACCGAATTATTGGGCACTACGTATTCGCCTGCGGGTGTTCGCTTTTTTTGTAGTCCTATCATTTTACGTAATACCGAAATTTTGTTAGCCTTGTCTGGATGCGAATGTTTCTGATGGGTACACAAAAGTGAAATACCGATCAACGTCTGTTTTGATATCGAAATAATGAGATTTAAATTTCACAGCCTACCTGAGATAACATTTCCTTTTTGTGTGTGCTGAGAGGAACTACTGGGTTTCCTCCTTAGCCGCCGGCCTGCTACTCAGGGTAGTGCCTCAAGTCGGAAGGTCGAAACCGCTGACATTGAAATCGGGGCCGCCTCAATTAATCTCAATTTTTGGGCCATCAAAGGGACTGGGCAATTTGTCGTCGGCAAATCGCCAACCTTGCCCTGCTCAATTATCGATCAAATAAATTGCACTGAATATTTAAAGACTTGCTGTCAATGAAATTAAACGCTGCCAGCAAAAAAAGAAAAATTCGTATATTCGCCGGCCAGGAAGTTTGGGCCGTCCTCGATCCCGACTCGTTTAATTTCTATTTCCTTGGGCACAATTAGCGATAATCAGCTGGCAATGGCAGGCAGCGTTTTGTCGTTGGTCCTCTGGTCCTCTGGCTTCCCATTCGCGTTCGCATTCCCATTACGACTCCCCTCCCATTTCGCTTTGTGTATTTGGGTCAGCTCGTTGCGATGTGCACAATAATTTATTTCGTTTCAAGATGTAATCGGGGTAAATTTAGTTTGTCGTGCCGTTTGTTTAGCGCAGGCTAACACATTTTTAAATGCCCTATTGGTCACTGCTGACCTTGGGCTTTGATTGCGGAAATTATGCAACTAACTGGAGGAATGAGTGAATTAAATAAACTGTATTGGGACAGCCCTTGAATCGAAAAAGCTTTCCAGCTTACAGCTTATCCTATTGTCTTCCAATTAAATGATTGATCCCTGCATTCTTGGGCAACGTATTTACAATTCAATACCCGTGGCATGTCTCTATTTCAGCATTTTTATCGTGCTGGCAGTGGGAGCATCTTCAACATCCGTCAGTTGCCAGCCATTAAATTGTTGTGCTGCACACATCCCATCAATAGGATGCCGCCACCCACAACTCGGGCAGACAATTCCATGCGACACATAACTTCCAATTGAGAATATCTTGGAAAAGTCAGACACAAGTGCAAATGCCAATAAAACAGAGCGGCTCGGTGGAAAAGGGGGAAAGCTAAAACATATAAACTAGTGTGCACACACCCGATGCTTGTGGGCCATAAAGTTGATTGTTCATAAATGTACGGGGCGTATACGTAATGTCAGCCAGTGCACTAAAGTAAAGCAATGCAGGACTCTGTGCAGCGACGATTCGAATCTTGCAAGGGAGAACGGGGGTAAAAGGGGGGTAAGGGGAGGGTAAAGTGGAGCCATAAAGTGCCAGCGTAATGAATTTATTAAAAGTTCATTTTGTTTAGCTAACAAAACGTTTGTCTTGGGCCCAACTTGGCATGTTGGCCAAGTTTACGTAAATAATCGACTTTTGCATGCGACTCAAAATGTGAGTGTTAATGTTAATGGATTTGTGCCAAGTTCTCGCCGTACATTGTTGGCTCACTGATTTATTCGTGGTCAAAAGCGGGACACAATTTTTTTTGTTTGCCTTTGTTGCGTTTGACTTTGAGGTGGCACACTTCTGTCGGCCGCTTCTACTTTTTTTTTCCTTTTGACCCACAAAGGTTGCCGCTTTGGACTTTGGCATGTCCTTTCCCGCTCTAACGACTTCCTGAGACGTGGCTCACACTCGCACATACGTATGCTCGTACTTAGTCCAATTTGCATGCCGCCGTCGACGCCGACGTTAACTTGGCTCAAACGCCGTAGCCAAAGCCAAAGCCGCCGCCGCCGTCGACTTGGCCCCGCCTTGTTTATTCTGTTTGCTTTTCGTGCCTTACGTGTTTATCGCCTGCAAATGGCGATTCTGGCCGAAAGTGAAACCAGTCTCGCCTCTGGCTTTCCCAGGCTTTTCCTCGCTTTTCCGCCGAGTGGGTGGTTCGAGTTCAACCTGCTCGGCATTTCAATATCAACAGAGGCATGCATAATTTCTTGGCCGAGCCTATGTAAATTTGTTTGGAAGTGCTCTGCTGCTACTGCCGCTGCTGTTTCTGCTGCTTTTGCTGCTGCTGCTGCCGCAGCTGCTTTTGCTCCACATTTTCAGCGGCATTTTCAGCGGAAAGCGGGTCAACTTCATTTTTCGTGCTGACCCACAACCACAAAGGCAACAACAACACCATCGAGAGCGGCAGGAAAAACAGGCGGTTTTGCGCATTGTTGCTGTTTGATGTGCGAAAGCCGCAAACACAAATTAGCACAACAACAACAACAACAACAGTAACAACAACAGCAGCAACAACAAGAACATTAACATTGGTGGGGCGACAACAGCAACGCGTCCATAATTTCTTTTGCAACACTGCGATTTTTACTGGAACCTGGTCTTCCCCCACACACACTTGCACTTCGTTTCGTTTCGATTCGCGTTTTTGGGTTTTACTGCCTTTGGTTGGGTTTTTATTGTTATTATTTAACGTCGCTGCCGACGACTTGGCTTGCTTTCTTGGCATAAAGACCAAAGTGCAAATGTTCTGCGGTCAGTTTGGATTTGAAGTTGGCCAGCAACGTGACGCGCCGCTCCTGCAACTGGCTTGCTGGTAGTTTAAAAAAAGAAAACTGGGGAACAGAATAGAAAGGAAGGTCCTTCAGCAAACACCTTTGTTTGCCCGTATGTGCTGTGGTTTTCCCGAATTTCTCCCCAGCTTGCTGCGGTCACCTTGCGCCAATTCGCGTGTTCGTCGGCCCACAAGAAATCGCTCAGCGAAAAAGGGACAGAGCCGTCGACAGAGGATGCGTTTATCCGTCAGCACAATGGCTGAAAGGAAAAGCAATTACCAGTGAACAAAGCCGAACAGGGCTTCCAGCCGCAGCCCGAAACGAGATTTTTAAAGACACTAAACCATTACCCGGGGTAAGCAAATGTGCGAGTATCTTTGATTTAAGTAGACGTACTTATAGTATCTTTTCAGTTGAAAATTATTTTAAGTATAAGGTATTACATTTTCTATTTCCTTTGCCAAACATTTACTTCCTATACCAACTAGTAAAATTATGCATTTATCAAACTGAAGAGAGCTATATAGTATAGTGTGAATGTTCCTATTGCAATTAAGTTGAATTTTGTACAAACAAAATTTGGCGTTTCCAGCGAACAACGTTTAATCAACTTTTCCGCAAAAGTTTTGCACGTCGCAATAAAAGGTGTTTAAATTCCCGAACGTTTTTCTCATGAATAAGCCAAAGGCGTTTCATGAATTTCATGCTGATAAAATGTACGGCTAAAGCGCATATTAACACAAATATTTTGTATATGTATATATATAAACAAATATTTATTCAGCTTGCTGCAATTTTTCATAAAAGTTTGTGTTTTTGTGAAGTGGGCCAGCAGCGACGAACAAAAATGAGGCAAACACCGAAAAGTTAAAACTTTTCCGGGGGGAAAATGTTGGGGGATGAGGAGAAAAATTAAAGCACTGCCAAGATGTGTAATATTATCACCTGGTAGCGCCAAAGTCGGGGAATGGGAGAATGGGGGCATAAAATCTAAAATAATTTTATTTGCCACGCATTACGGCAGACATGCAGGACAGCAGCCATCCTCATCCTCGTGCTGCGAGTTGAACAAAACTTTTTACGCATAGCCACACAGCCCGGGATTCGCAACGCATTTTAGCTAAAAGCATTTCAATGCTGTTAACTATTTTTGATGGCGTTACGCACTATAAACCCGCCTGCAGAAGCCAAAAGGATCCCAGCTTCCTGGGTGGGTGTGCGCTACAAAGTCCCCGACTTGCTGAAATGGAAATCTCAACGGAATCGAGACACTTAATTTGCTAGCAATTTGCCAGCCACATCACTCGACTCGAATACAACGCATATGTGCTACGTGCACCTGGCGGATAATGAGACAAAGCCGCTTAGCGCTGCACGGACGCCCTTGATGTGGTTGAAGTTCGGGTGGTGCGGGGTGGTGCGGTATGGTGCATGGTGGTGCTGTTAATGAAATAAAAATTAAACTGCAATGCCTGGCAGGACGAATTAATTGTGTCGCCAGAGGAAGACGGATGCAGTGCAGAGACAGTCACGTGGCCAGCGGCACTGAAAGGTGTCGGCAATTAAGTGAGTTCAGCACTTGCCATTGACTGGGTAATCGCACTCGGGCACCGGGAAATCCAACTGGGAACTGGAAAACGGCAACTGGGAACAGGACAGGTGCGGCCCAATCAGGATGTGTGCATATAATGGATAATTAATCTTTAAGCTGCCGGCAATGGCACCCTCTCCTTTGTATTAATTAAGACACGCCGTTTATCGATTTCGATTAAGGGCGAAGCGAAATGATTTTGTTGTCTGTGGAGCTCTGCTGACCGACCCATTGAGTTGCCAGCTTGAGACAATTAATTTGCACCTGTTAGGTAGACGTATTAAAAACTCCACTGCAGACAGGTGATTTACTTACTTACAGAGGGAAAAAATGGAAAAACTTTTGTAAAACTATACATAATTAATTTTTTCAAATAAAAATTTCTATTATTTAAAGATTTTTTTAACAAAAGATTTCCAAGATTATGTTTATTATAGTAAAAAAATCATTGAAAAAAGGATATCTGATTAGTCATAATATATGATACTTAATGATATTTAGATTACACTAGAGCTCATGAATATAAACTTTATGCTATGAGAAAGTTTTGTATTTATTTTGCAAGTGTTACTCGGCACACCACGATAAGTATCTCTTTACGCCCGTGTGCGTATTAATGGGGCAAGTGTTGCTCCGCCTGGGGCAACAATGTATCCGATTGAGTTCGGCAACACCATGCCAATAGGATTAGGACAACAAAGTAGCGGACTGCGTATATGTCTGTGTATCTGCATGCGGCAAGTGCGTGCCTGAGTGCACCTGTCAGGGCTTTTAAGTCGTACGAGGCCGGCTCTGTTCGTGAGCCCAATAACTGACAACTTGACAGCCCCGGCAGAAGCACAAGTTCTTGCAAACCATTTCTAGTCTCACCAGCAACGGCAGAAGCGCCAGAAACGGCTGAAACGGCAGAACCAACTGCTGGTTGGCCCGTTTAGCAGTTCAGCATTTGAGTAGCTGGCCGGATCGCCAGGGCAAACAAACAAATGGAGCCTTTTCAGTAGGTCGACCATGCGGGTGGCTTATGCTCTTGTTTCAGCTACTGCAACTGCAACTGCAACTGCTGCTCCTGTTCCTGCTGCTGCTGCTGCTTCTGTTTTTGCTCCTGGCCGAGGACGAGGACATGCAAATGGAGCAGCCCCCGGCCCCAGGCAGGAACATCATCAACAAGTACACAAAGCCAGGCAGAAGTACTAGTGCGAGTTCCCCTCAGTACAAGGGTCCACAATAAGCTGCCAAGTTCAGTCGCATAAATGCATAAGCCGCAGCACGCACACGTATGTGGGCAAGGCGCTGGCAGGTGGGCAGCCAGATAATCACGCCGCACACGGAAAGGGTGGGCTACACCCCTTGGTAGTGGGGAACCCAAGATTTCGGCTGGAGACCCACTTTAATTAAGACTCTGGCGCTTTGGCCACGCCTCGAGCTCGGCCAAAGGGTGCCATGCAATCTGCAGGAGGACGAAGCCAGGCAAATTCAAGAGTTGCCCAGTTTGGGTTCTAAAATCAGAGAGAGAAATTTTTAAAGTAATCTCAGTCCCCCTGAATTACGTAATAAGGAACAGGACTTATGCTGCTATTATACATAAACAACAAGTGTAAAGTACTCTTTTGAGGGAAAAAATAGTTTCTATAATGGGTTGTGACCAAGAGAGCTGGTGAAAAGGTTTTGAATATGCTGAAAATGTGAAAGGTTTTAACTTAAATCTGAATTTCCGTATTTGAAATTCTTAACTTTATATACAAAAAAAGCTCTTTAAGAGCTTTTGTAAGTCATACACAAACTATTAGACAGTTAAAATCAGTTTTGAAAACAATCTTACAAAATATGTAAGCAACATTGACTTGTGAGCTTATTAGTGTTTACAGCGATCTAAAACCCTATCCAAATCCCCTGCCAATCAGCGACGGATGAAGAGCATGCCGAGTTCGCTTCTCAGCATCCTTTCTTGGCCCTTTGCGAGTGCTCGAATGCAGCTGCCAAAAGTTGTCTTAACTTGGCCAGACTGTGTGCAGTTTCAGTTTATTTCTGGGGCATTTAAGTGACTGGCCGCCTTAGCAGGGGTTACTTCGGCTGCTCTTCTCGGCATCTCTGGCTCCAGCTCCGGCTCCGGCTCCCTGGAAAAGTATAACCCCTCCGGTTTTACTGACTCTGACGGGCGACGACTGGGAACGCTTTTTTCTGCTCTGACTTTCGCCGCCAGGACGAGTGGTATGTCGGCCAAACTAACACATCCCGACACAAGTCAAGAAATTTATGAGCTGTAACGCTGGCTGGGGAGCTGCCGAGTGCCGATGGGGATGAGTTCCCCCCTTTCCATGTGTGTGTGTGTGAGTGTGTGTTCTTTGGAGCGTGTGGGGCTTTTGGCTTAATTGAAATTTAAACGTTTAACCCTCAGTGTCAGCAGTTAAGTCCTTTGTTTTTTGGCAACGTCGAGCAGCTTTCATGCATCTGACACTTGGCCATTTCAATTTGGCGAAGCAACTGCGAATGGTAACAACTGAATCGCGAGTGCATCAGAGCAGGGACCACTGTACCGGTACTCAGTTGGCCATGATTGTCGAATCGAAAACCAATAAACGATGAGGGAATCAACCCAATTATGCCACCGAACTTTTGTAAACTTCACCTGCTGATTGGACCAGCCAGACACGCAAGTGTTGGTATTAAACTCGAACGCACGAGCCAGCAAGTGGCCATTTGGCTGTCATGGCAACCGGGTGGCCACCACAATAACACGGAGCATGCACCGACCGCACCTCCATTATCCAACCACCCAACAGCAACCACCGCCTATCAGCTCCACCCACCCACTCACATGGCCAAGTGGCCCGCCAGTTGTGTCGGAGATTCCAGTGCTGCCTGGCCATGTCCAGCGCCACCTGCTCTCGCTAGGAGTAATATAAATTTGTGCAAATTCGTGTAATAACCAAGAATGCCAAAAGTGAAACAAATCTGCTCCCGACATTGGCTCAAAGGCACCGCAACAGCAGCAACAGCAGCAGCAGCAGCGAATTTCTCAGCTATGCGAAAATGTCAAGCATTTTCTGTTTGTGTGTGTGTTTAATTTTTGTATCAACAACCCGGACTTGTGGAGGTTCTATTTTTTTTTGTGTTGTATATATACTATATGCGAGTATGCATGCCTGCAGTGGACAGTTCGCGCACGCTCGTTCTCTCGGCCAGCTTTACGTTCCGCCCGGAATGCTTTGAGCCTGAGCGGAATTGGCCGGGCTATGCCTTTGGCCCGCTCTCTCGCGATTAACCTGCAGAATGTCAAAGTCGAGCCAGGATCGTGAGGTGGCTTGAACTGGCAGTGCCACCGCCAGAATTCCCCAACAAAAAGAGACTAGCTCGCATTCCCTTTCAGAGCAAGCAGTTTATTTTCTCGGCATTGCAATGCTCTGTTGAAATACACTGACAAAAATAACTTCATAAACAACAAACTATTTATAACAACTTTCGAAAGTGTTTAAAAATATGTTTCAAATGATTACATGCTTTCAAATATTATAAGTTTCTTTTGTTAGATTCAAAATTAAGTGTTTCGGTGGTATATAAAATTTGAAAAGACTATTTTGTGAAAGAATTAGGCCTGCAAGCCCTAATAATTATTTATTTGAACCCACTTCCTCTTTTCTATTGATTTGATTGCTTTTAAATTTACGTGTTAATTAATCTAAGTGTATTTTGCCCTTCGTTTCCCGTGGGCTTTGTCCTCGTGGGTGGAGTGGCTTTCCAAGTGGTTTTTCAATGAAGTGTTAAGTGGGCAAAACTGCCTGGCAGCCTGTCCTCTCCAACGCGCGAGTGTGTCTGTGTGTATTTGTGTGTATGCTCAGCTACTTTGGTCAGCCCAGCGGGAAAAACGATGTGGAAGATATGCTATTTTCCAGAGATTTCTTCATACAAGCGGAAGGGCAAAAACCTCCTTCACCCCTTACATTTTTGCCGTCTCTCCTTTCAAAATACACGGGGGTGACACACAAAAGGAAGGGGTAAAGGAGGTTTCTATGTAAAAATCCACAGGTTTCAGAAACCCACCCTTATTTAGCGGACCGAAATTTTCAACTCCTACCCCTACGCCTGCTAAAAGAAGTAGGATTTCCAGTAGACTTAAAACCGAAAACCTACTTCTAAAAACCTACTTCTCACTTTCCCGCTGGGAGGTTCCCTTCTCGCGTGTGTGTGGGTGAACCTTGTTGTGTGCTTAGTTGTCGCAGGATTCTCTCTCACCTGGCAAATAGTGCTGCGGTCTGTGCACACCTCGCTCCCGGCAGCCCAGCAGCCCAGCATCCCACTTCCCAAAACCCACCCAACACCCCCACAACACCCCCTTCGTCGCCATTGTTTGATGGTGGTTATAAAGCTGACAGCTGTCAGTTGGCAGTAAATTTGCTAAAATGTTTATTTGCCAAGCGGCTAAGTTTGCGTTTAACAGAAACATACACACACACACACATATGAGGTCGTCGCCACACAATCACAGACGTTGTGTGGGGCCACAAGGATACGCTCGGCCAGGGCCAAGGACCACTGCCCAATGCTCGGGGCCCATTTCAAGTTGGCCAGGTTTAATCATTTATAAACAGCTGCAGCAACGGCAGCAGCAGCTACTACAAATATGCGAGCAATTCCTGGCTGGGCCGGCACGACAAATGTTTTGGTACTTAATAATAGAATAATTATGGCGACACCATACTATAAAACGCTTTAATGATTATGATGCTCATATCCACATTGCTATTCAGGACAACAGGGGTCACATATGCCTCTGTGTTGCTCCGTAATGACATCGCCACTGTGTGTGTGTGTGTTTGGGTTTAATTGCCATTTTGCAATAATATGATTCGGTCCGCAGTCTCGTTGCCCGGGACAGCAGTTGCCCTTGAAGCATTTAGCCCACTTGCATTATCTGGGCCATGCCATTATCACTTGCCGGATGCCACTCAATTTTCAAATTTTCTCGATTGCCCAAAAGTTGCCTCGTTACTTTCGCTTTTACACTGGCGAAATTGAAAGCAGTTTTAAAACACTTTAAAATTTAATAATATTTTGGTTTATGCCCGAAGATTTCTATTTTAGGTAATGTTTTTATTTAGAAATTATAAGAACATTTTGAAGAATGTTTTTCCACCATGAGCACTCCAATTATTGTCCCAAAAATGGAACTCAAATTTTTTGATGTGAATTTCTGCCGCCATATCATCACTTTTCGCTCCGGCAGCTAATGGAGCTCAAACTTCAAACTGGGGAGTGGGCAAAAGTTAAATTTTATTGCACTTCCCGACCAACTGCTGCGAGCCGCGTCTCTTTTTTATTATTAATTTATTAAAAGCCCGACGCCTGTCGTCTGCCGGTGGCTTTCAGGCGGTTCGCCTGGGATGTTCAACGCCTCGTAAACCTTGCCAAAATCATCAGCGACTGGCAATGACTGAGAATGGCAACTGGCAGCAGCAGCAGCAGCGGCAGCGGCAGTGCCAGAAAATGAAATGTAAATCCAGAAGACGGAAGGCGGAGAAATCGCCTGAAAGGCAACAAACGAATCGAACTTAATGCCCGGCAATCGCCATCAATGAGCCTTTCCACTCCCGATACCCAATCCAATTCGCATTCCCCTTCGCTTTCGAGCTCTTGTGTTTATATAATTTAATTTCGAGTTGCAATCAGCTCGATAGGTTTTTGCAGATTTTCCCGCACTTATTTTTTGTTATTTTTTTTTCTTATATGCGCACACGGATTTGGGTTTTGAGCACCTCGAGAAACGCGTTCACATGATTATTACTTGTGGCTAAAAATAAGCAAGGAAATTCCGTTAGCTTGCGGTGGCATTTTTTGAAAACTATTTTCCACTCGATTTAGCAGCGAAATTCACTTTGATATCGCGTGAAATGTGCGGCGCTTATGTGTGAAAAGGGAAATTTAAATCAAATGCAGAGACAGTGAATTTTTCATAGCATACTTTAGTGGGCTACGCGCCGCGGTCCTGTCAACGCCCTTGTGCGCAAAGGGGGCTGCTGAGGGGGTGGTTGGGTGGTGGGTGGCTTACGGTGCGGAGTTGGAGTGCTGAAAGCCCGGCTTCTAGCTGTCTATTTCGCTGTTTTCCCGAGCATCAACCTATTCCCCAGTTGGCATGCATGTGTGTGTGTGTGCTGCTCGCTCTTTGATAAAAACCGAAATTAATTATTGACGAGGACGTTGCCGCGGATGTTGCCTTTGCGTTCGCCCGTTGAAAATTTAAAAGGCGTTCGACTGAAAGCGGCACACACACACACTCCGCACTTTCGTTTCCGCTTAAAAGCACCGACAGTGTGTTTGCTTTGAACTAGCGAAACTGTCTACGGCGACCGCAAACTATCGGCGGTAAGGAGAAGCCCGCATCGCAGAAGCCCCAACGCAAGCCAGTTGTGAGCAAACAAATTAGTGTTTAATTATACATAGGCAGCCAGGGCCAACCAGCCATTCATTAGGCGAGAAAAAATGCATCAAAGCGGTGGAAAATGAGTGAAAAATCCAGCGACAGCCGGCACAAAGACAAACACAAAGCGAGCCAGAGAAAAGGGCGAAAATCGGGTCAGAAACTAACCGCATTAGAGGATGCAGAAGCGTCCGAAAGCGGAAGTGAAGTCCGTGACGGGTCCGGCCAAGCCGCCCCGTCTGAAGGCCGCGAGGAAGCAGTTGCAGTTCGAGAGCCCGCTGCCACGAAGGACACGCGCCCAGCCGAAGGACGATGGACAGATGCAGAAACGAAATCCCCGGCAGCAGCAGCAGCAGAAGCAGCAAAAGCCAGCAGACAAAGTCATTGCTATGCCGGGCAGCAACCAGGATGCGGACACGGATGCGGCAGCGGAAGCAGCAGTGGACGTGCCAGAAACAGAGCCACTTCCTTGGCCAGATCCCCACCTACAATCACACCCACACTCGCACACACACCCAGCTGCAGATCCTGGCCAGCATTCGGTGTGGCACTCACAGTCCTCCTCCTCCGCCGCTGCAGCAAAAAGACGTCTCGCCGAGGGCTGCACCACACTTATGTATGCCTGTCAGCGGGGCGACATTGTCCAAGTGCTGGCCCAAATGCGCGAAAAGGTAAGGTACACTGGAGATAATTCTATGATAGTTCAATAAAAGTGTAAATTTAAATGATTATGAAGAGTAATTAATGATCTTTGGTACTTCTTAGAACCTAAAAACAAGGTTACTTCTTAGAAAACCGTAAAAACGTAATACAAATAATGGTGGCCTAGTTAAGATGTGGAGTTAATCAATTTTCTTGCTTAAATCAATCATTCATTTTAAATATTTTAAACATCTATTAAGCCTCAAATAAATATTTGCTCAGTGAACTATTTGTAAAAACTACCCAAAATAGTCTAGTTTGCCACATGGAAACACGTGTTTTAAGTTTGGGGCAACCAACAAGAAAGACTGCAAGAGTGTAATGGAAACAGGACTTGCCAGCTCCCGGGCAGGATAATGGCTAAGCCGAGGCGGTTCAAGCATGACAAGTTGACTTCTTCCAGGTCTGCGCCTTTTTGGCTTCCAAAAAACAAAGCCAGTCATCTTCGGGCATCCGACGACAAAAGGCCCGAAAATCGGGCAAAGGCGTAGCAAGATTCTAATCTTTTTGCAGTCACGATGAGCCAACACAATGCTTAAAGCCAACGGAAAACCCTTCCGAGGTTTCGGGTGATTCTGGTGATTCGGGTGGAAGGGGGGCTTTAAATTTCCGTTGCAGTCATTTCGGCGCATTGTTCACAGTTCAGAGCTCCTAATTGCTTCATAAACATTTATACAACAGGCCGGGGCCTCAACAAAGGAGAGTTGAATTTGAATGCTGTAAATGGCAGGACATTTAAAATTGACAAAATAATCCCCCAAGCTTAGTTATGCCGGCCGAATGGTGAATGCTAAATGGTCCTTCCACTCCTCTTTGCTCCTGCTCCTTTTTTGGCCATCATGGCCATCATTTGATTCCGTTTCGACCGGTCGGTCTTCAGCCGTCCGTTTGTCCATTTGTCCTCTCGTCCGCTCGTCCTCCGTCCATCAAGCGCCTAAATATGCCAATTTCACATTTAATTGAAATTTGAAAAGTTTTTAATTGAACGCAGATAAATTTTCAAGGCCTCAATTGGAAGCTGAAGGCGCCTGGTCATGTCCTCGAAAGCCTTTCCTTCGCTCGCCCCTTTCGTCGTGGGATTGTCATGTTGCTAGTTTTGCAATTATTCGCCAGCAATCGTTAGCCCTGACAAATGCCTTCATTTCCGGCCAGTTGGCGTGCCTTCGTCCTGGTAATTGATATTGACGCCAAATTTGATGTGAAATTGCCTGACATTGAGTATTGTGCACAGTTCGACGGCGACTTTTTGCGCAAATACTTAGATGAGACCCCACTCCACAGTTCGCTTCCCCTTCTGCCAGTTTGTTCGGTTATGTAATTGCTAAATGACATTTTTGTTGCCTAACCTTGGAATACCTCCCACTTCGAACGCTGCCGAGCAGTTTATTTGCCTGTGAAATATGGCAAATGCCGGCGATTATTACTTACTTTGGGTCGCGTATTTTATGAGCCCCATAAACAACAACAACATGACCGCATTTCGCATTTTACGTTGCCCGGCTGAAAAATGAAATCGAGGCAATGAGCCTGCCGCGGAAAAATCGGTTCTCAACTTAGAAGCAACGAGGCGTATGCGTAATGCGAATGTGCATTGCTTATGTAAATTGTTCGACGAAGGCTCCGCGTCTTCAAATGGCGCACTCGTATTTTTAGAACAAGTCTCGCTCGGTTCAAGGTGATTTGAGTAAATCTGTATATAATTACGTCGCCAGTCGCTGACTGATATTATTAATGTCGGCGGTTGCGGCTATATTGTTGTTCGCCGCGCTTATTATTGCTGTTCTTGTTGTTTATTCTGTTATATCTTGTGCCTGTGAGACATATTTTAATTTGTCTTTCCTCTGCATGTCTGTGTGCTGGCAGCCTTGATAAGGCCGCCTTAGCTATTAAAAGTTTTAATGTCTTTAATTCTCCGTCTTCTCTGGCCAACAGTTTTTCATCTTGTTTTTGTTTTTTTTTTGTTCGCCTCTTGGTCATAGAATAATTAAACAGCTCCACTTGGCTTTTTCGCCTTTGTTGGTGTTTGCTTAGCGCTTCTATATTTTTGCGAATATATTTTAATTGCGCTTATAGTCTGGAGGACTCCTTGAACTATACGACTTGCTCTCTTTATTGGATTTTTGTGTTTTCGATTTATTGCTGTGTTCAACATGGCGTATGAGTAACAACTATTGCAGAGCTCTTCTCGACTGAAGCGAAAGCTTCTTACACACACATTAAATACATACACATACATATATATATGAGTGTATATAGGGATGTACAGGGACATTGGCTTTTGTATACACTCGCACACAGCGATGGTGGCTTTTCTGCTTTTTGAGAGCACTCAAGCAACATTCATCGACGTTGTTTACTCGCCTGCTATTGTTTTGCTTAAACTTTTCATTGATGTTGGTTTTTCCAGCCACCCCTCAATATCTTGGGCTCTCGTCTTTATTGTCTGCTGGCGCTGTCTTTGTTGTTGCTGCTGTTTTTACCAATTAAGTCTTAATTTCTTAGAAAATAAAACTTTTTGGCTCCTGGCATTGTTGCCGCCGTTGTGAATTCCCTGAGCTCGGTGCCCGCCTTTAGTTAATGTTAATGGCGTAATTGTGCCACCTCCGCATCGAGGTCAGTTGTTGCTGTTGTTCAGCTCCTGTGAGTACTGTTCGTATTCCCCCGCCTCCCCCTCTGCCCATCTCCCCATCAAGTTTAAACCGCAATTTAGCCGAGAGTTCGAAACTGAAGTTTTACACCGCAAGTTGGTAATTGTATGTCTATCTAAGTGTGTGTGCCGCTGGCTGGCTGCCATCCCTCAGATTGCTGCAGGTGTGAATTATTTATTTTCACTTAAGATTTGCGGCGTTGTCGGGTCCTGGTCCGTAGTACTTCCTCCTCGGATCCTTGGCCACCCGGCCACTAACCAACAGCCCCTTTTCGCTTTTACAGCTTTAAGCAAAAGTTTTCGCTCAAAAGTCAGCTGCAGAAGTTGATTTTGGCCGGGCAAGAGCCGCAAGAGATGCTTTTGTTTGTTGCAAATAATGTAATAACAAAACAAGCCGGGAAGCTTGTGAGGGAATGATGAACTGATTGGATATCCTAGCTCATATTCTGGTGAAACAATGTATCCTGAATTTTATATGTATAATCAAGGAAACGGCCAATCTAACTAAACCACTTGATTTTGGTGCTTGAATAAATCAGTTTTTCAAAACATTTTACAAACTTGTATATCTTACAATTTCTCTAAAAATACCCTTTTTTAAACCTCAGGCCAAAGTTAATGAAAGGGAAAGCTAAATATGAACCTGCACTACCCCAAAGCCTTAATTTATACCCGGGGAAAATCTGCAAAGATTTATAATGCCCCGCTGCAAAATCTTCCTCACAGGGTATGTTTGTGCTAAGGGAAAAGCAAATGGGAATTCTGTGCGGTCCTGGGAGTGCTGGAAAAGTTGTCGTTGGAAATTAATTTGAAATTCAGAACGCCTTGTTTTTCCCCCTTTAATATTAATATTGAAGCAGCGGGATGTTTAGAGAATGTACTTTCCACCTTGTACAGTTTCCATTAGCTGCGATTGATTGACCTTCGGTCGGCATTTTTTAATTACGCCCGCTCAGAGGAGCACTTTTCTTTCCTTTACTGGGTTCTTTACCTTTTGCTCGTTGCTGGTTGCCTTCGCCAACGCTCAATCAACGTGCAAATTATTATCAATTTGGGAAAAATGGTGAAGGGAGTGAAGCTGACTTGGTGGCTGCAATGCAATCGGCAATTGGGAATCGGGAATCGGCAATCGTCCGCCGGATCCTCTTCCTCTTCCGGTTCCTTTGCCACCGCCACGGCTTGGTAATTTTAATTGCGATTTTTTCCAACCAGCCAACTAGCGCTGCAACAGCGCTCAACACGTTTGGCACATTTTGTTGAAAATTCATTAAAAATGACGTCGAAAAAGTTTGCATTTCACCCAGTTTCCTTCTCGTTTATTCAGAGAGAGTAGCTCTGGCTGTTCAATCGTTCTTTTATACGATTTGCCTTTGCCACTGACATTCAGATTGCTTGACGGTATCTATTTAACTTCAGTCGCAGTCGCAGTCATTTGAATTTTTAATTAATCGCTCGGCTGTTTGGCCATCCAGTCAGTCAGTCAGTTGGTCGGTTGGTCAGGTGGGGAAAGGTGGAAGGTGGAATGAGTGCAATCAGCGCCAAAGGTTGTCCAACTGGAGCTCCCTGATTGGATCGAAATATTTGGCCAAAAACTGAACCCCGACATTTGCATGCGATCGAAGGAAAGCAGGAACGTAGAAACGAGAGAATTTTCGACAGTTTTGCATGTCCGAATACAATTAATTAGGCTGCGAGGCCCAACAAATGTCCAAATAAAAGTCGACGCCAACGAGTTAAATTAATGGCAAATGGTGTACGGGTTTGAGGTTTCGGTCATCATCATCGGTGGAAGTTTTCGGCCCCGACCAGCGTCACTGGGCTAATTGAGCACAAAAACCCATTTCCAATTGGGTGGAGCCGGAGACCCAACTTTGGCCGGCGGACCATATGCGTCGGCTTAGCCGGACAGCTGTCCAATTAATTAGAAACCACCAGAAGCGGCAGACGACGGACTATGACGGGGATGACTCTCCATGCCGAGCTGAGTTGAGTCCGAGTCTCCAACCAAAGTTTGCAATGGCAAATTAATTACTAAAATCGTAGAAATTCGTCTTGCAATGGATGCCCGCTGCTGTTTGGCTCTCGAGATGACTTCCTGGCCAGAAGTTGCAACCAGAAGTTGGCCAACTGGAGTTGACGGCTCGCTCCGGCTGGCCGGAGCACATGTAAGGATATCCGTGTATGAATTTCTGCTGCTCCTGCTCCTGCAACGTTTTTGCTCAAGGAAGCGCCCGGCGGGCTAATCACATGCGAGGGGGCCAAATGGTTTGCGGGGAAGGGGCGACAAAACTTTTGCCTCGGCAACCAACCAACAATATTTGC